GAGAAGTTTCCTTTGACAGAACATTTAACCTTGCACCACTTTCCCCTTATTAATATAATTATCATTAGTCATTGACATTTCCAGATATCAGAGCAGTTTGAACGTGGACCACCAAGACTCCCTTAAGACCCAGGTGGGACTGAAACCTACAACCTCCCCCTCCTGAATGATGCTGCCTCGGATCCCTGCTCCTGAATCCACGGCCGGCCTCTCGGAGCATCGCTGCACGCAACAACTTCAATCGATTCTCTACTTCTGAACATAATCCCGACCTCACATTTACCGCCCTCATCAACAAAGCAAAGGGGGACTCCTCCAGTAACCTTTCACCCCATTCAAATTAAAGCATTAAAGCTCTAAGAATGGCAGAGGGTGGTTGTGTAAGATGAGGGCTGCACACAGAGGGGAGATTTTAAAGAGTGTGAAAAGCATTGATTTGATGAGGTCATAGGAAGAGAAAGTAGCTTTTCTGAACCACTGACAGCAGATATTCACTGGAATTTAGTTTTTTCCACAAATGAAAGTTATTTGTAAAATAAATGGTAATAGTTAACCACAGTCCTACAAACTAAATACACCTTATTTAGTTTATTTTAACTGTAATAAAGTATTTTACTCTTTTTTTCTTTTTTCTTTTTTTTGCTTAAGCCTCTAATTCCATCCTGAGTGGGTAAATGAGAGTTTTATTATTTTCCAGCTACATCATTAAACAGAGTCCATGTTTTCAGTGATAAAGGTTTGAAATTTTGTTTACCAAGAACATCCCAACACATTATTTATCTTAGTACATCCTTATGAATTAGGTTTTATAGCTGTTTTTTGAATATCATCAAATGGTGTAACAGGATGTTAAAGGGTTAACACGGAGGATACCACGCTCCTGTAGAGCCATTATGATTTAATGTGATCGAAAAGTGTTTTAATTTGATCTAATTTAAGTTTACCAGGTTTCTGTGGGAGCCAGCTCGGTTCTTTGTAGCTATAAATATTTGCGCACCTATCTTTTATTAAACCTCATTTAATTCATGTTATTCCTGAGAACAACCTGAGGTCTTTATTGCTCTACTTCTGTTGGTGTTTTGGTGTAAACAACTCGGCTAATACCAGAGAGTTTACACAAAAACAAGATCATCCAGTCTTTCTGTGCATGAGCCTGCAAACCATGTAATGAGCCACCACAATGCATCTGCACTTTGATTGTGTTTGAGTCAAATTTCACTCAGTTGGGTGATTAGTGGACCGTACAAAGGTTTAATGAGTTATTCATTGGAAAATGTGACAATGCCTAGCAGTTTTTATGAACGGAAATCGCACCTACATAATTAAACATCTTGTTCGGTGCGTGATGCAGAGGAAATTGAACTTTTCCAACGGGAATGATCCCGGGACTGAACATCAAAACAACAAAGTGGATGCAGAGGAGGGGTGTTTGTGGTGGAGGGACTAAATGCTGCAGGTCTCTAGCACAATCTGCTGGACAAAACGAGTAAGTGAAGCAAAGAAATGAGGAGAGAGTCTGTAAATCCGAGGAAAACTTCCAGTTTTGGCCACGGCTGTGCTGATGGGGGCCAGGCAGCTATGCTCAGTGTTCCTCAAATACAGTATCTTTTACCATGTGGAGAATTATGTGTTCCAGGATGACAAGGTCTGAATCCACTGAGACTGAAGTAGCACTGAAGGGTTGGACGGGTATGAACAAAAATGGGAAACACATCACAACAAATGGAAATCTTTGGTGAGCAGGAAAAAAAGCAGATTTAGGACTACATTTGGGGAAGATTTCTGTTTGACTCCATATGCAGACAAAACAGATTCTCCCTTCTTTTCTATTTTTTTACCAAACAGAAGGTGCAGACAAACTGGAGACACATAGGCATCAAAAGTCACCATGGAACTAAAACCAAAAGATCGACAAAGCATCAGAAAACAAAGGAAGCTTGAGCTGGAACCAAGTGTTTGTAGAGCAGAGGGCTCAAACTCCGATCCATTGGGCCGCTGCCCTCCAGGTTTTAGATGTTTCCATGCTCTAACACACCTGATTCAAATCAATTCTCCATCGGCTGAGTGTGAAGAACTTATTCCCCTGAAGAGATCCATTCAATGGTAATCGGGTTGTGGAAGCAGGGAAACATCTAAAACCTGCACAGTGACCCAAAAAAAGACCAGAGTTGAACTTCCCTGCCATGCAGGATCAGACAACAGAAAACCAGAGAGCTTAAAAGCTGAGGGGTGGGAACTGGTGACATAATCCAACCATAAAAAGTCCAGAAACCCCAAAGAAAACAAACAAAAACACCTAAAAGTCCCCAATCAGTCTAACTATATGAGGACTCTGTTGTATTATTCAATCAAGCTGGTTTATAGAGTGTTGGGTCTATTGATTATGCCCCAATTATGTGTGTGCACCAAAATGGACTTTGGCCAAAATGGACGAAGAACAGCCTCCCTGACACACAAACTACACTATTTGTGTTGGTTCGCACATGTTTGTCATTGTGTGTCTTTATAGTCTCCTCTCCTAAAGAAATAGCATCAAATGGCATAACCAGATTCAGTTAGATGTGGTTGTTTAGATGAATTACCTGATAGTGTGAGACCAGAAGTCCGCCTGGCAAGCAGGATGTGGAACACACCAACTCCATTTTTCCGAGGGTGGGGGGGGGGGGGGGCTTTGGTGGGAGCAGCATGCTGTTGTGGTTTATGACAAGCACCCTTCTGAATAGAGGTAAAAGTAAAAAAGCAGACATTTCTGTCAGAGGTTTGTAAAGATTTTTGCGGGTTTCTTGTTTGGTAGACTTTTTTTGTTCTTAGCTTGAGTTTACCCTCTGGTCATTTTTTTATTATTAGTTTGGGATTTTTTTGGTGACTTTGCCTCCTAAGTTTCTGCTCCTTTGTTCTTAGTTGATTATTTTTTGTGTTTTTCATGTTCTTAGTTTGTTTTCTTCTGCCTGATTTCGGTCCCTGTTCCTCAACAATTTCCCATAAACTCTCCTCAGTGTTTTTCTGGCCGTCAGCTCCAGTCCCGTCTCTCATTCCCGTTTCTCATTCCCCCTCCCTCTTTTCCTTTCCTTCCTCATTTTTGCTTCCCTCTCCCTCCCCTTCCTCCTTTTGCCATCCTACCCTTCCCTTTCCTTCCTTTCTCCTTGCTCATCGTTCCTTTCCATTACTTCTTTTCCCTTTATCCCCTTCCTCCTTTTCGAGGAGGATGAAGTTCCTCCTTTTCGCTTCCTTACCTTCCTCTCCTTCCCTTTTCTCCTATTCCCTTTCCTTCCCCTTCCTCCTATTTCCCTTCCTTCTGTTATCCTTTCCTCTTTTTCACATTTATCCTTTGGTCTTTAGTTGTATTGTTCTGTTTCAAATGTTTTGTTTAAGTTTTTTTCTCTATTATTAAGAAATCTTTCTTAAGAGTTTTCTGGTTAAAAACAATACAAACATCTTTAATTAGTTTAAATTCCGTTTCAGTTCTTGTTAAGCTGGTTTGAAACCGTCCGGTGGGTTGGATGCTCCACAGTGGGTAGCAGAAAACGCCCCCTTTGCCCGACGTGTCTGACAGATGAAGCGGAGCTTTGGCTCTTGGACAAACTCCACCCACACACACGTTCTCTTTTCCAGCCATTGAGATAAATTTAAACCCAATCAGTCCCTCCCGCCTGGATTTATATGCTCTTTTGCTTCTCTTCTTCCCTACTCACATCTGAGCTCCTCATTTCGACAGAGCGCCCCATTTACTCTAAATGTCTCTCTGCTCTTTATCAGCCACGTGTGAACTCTTCGATGGAGCTGCAAGCCTTCTCACAGCCAATAAATGTGCACCCTGCAATTGCTTTTGATCCCTCTAAATATGGGCCGCATGCATATAAGGGCAATAAATCACATCAGTTATTTCTATATCAGTGCTGCCCCACCTGCCCCCTGCTGTCTTCTGGTCACTTTGAACCGTTTCAATAGTTTTTTTTCATATATTTTGCCCTGAGAAAGCAACATATGGTCTCATATAAAGCACTTTTTGAGTATAAACCTTTGACATAATTCTACTTTTGATAGTACGTTGACATATGAGCCTCTATCAAAACTAAAATTCAGAAATTCCAAAAATTTATTCCAAAATGAGATGTTATTTCCTCGAAATGTGCCCTATTTTAAAATCAATTTTAAAGAAATTGTGAAGTCTTTGCTAATGTGTTGGAAACAAGTGGACTTAAAGGTGGAATACAGAATTCTGTGATCATGTCATGCGTTATGCTTTAGAAAAAAAGTCATTTTGACACAAGAGGACAACAGCTGGGACAATTTGCTGCCATTAAAAAAATCCTGAAAAGGCTTAAAATCAGTCAACTTTGACATGTGCCGGTTGCAGGTCTCCATCTACCTGTGAGCCTCAACTGAACTAGAGTGAAAATAATTACAATTTCTGTTTTTTTCCGCTCAAAACAGGAATAATTTTCAGCAGATGAGCTCGATTAAACCATATCCTAAAAAGATATCCGTTAAATACACAACAATGCGTTGGAAACAGGTTTTTAACTTTTGATTTAGAGGGAGAAAATAAAATTAAACTGTGAAGACTGAGTTTTAAGCAAAATGTGCCAGTTTCTGATGGTGTGTGTAAGCTGCATTTCACAGTGACGCAGAAATAATGCAAATGAATCGGAAACGCGTTCCTCTCGATGTGAAGAGATGAAGATTTAGTGTTCCTGCGAGCACCAAGAGCATAAGGACTGCGTTTCCTGCTAATGTTTTCCACAGTGTGGCATGCCTCTTATGAACAGGAGTTACTAGGGGCTCAGAGAGCTTTAGCTACTGGGGAGCAGCTCCCATCAGAGTTCAGCCTCTCAGCCAGGACAGCTGGAGGACACGGCCCATCAAGTGCAACTGTCAGCCACCAACACACCTGTCCTTTGTGTGCCACAGATATGTCCTGTTGTTATTCTTGGGCGTCAGTAATGGGGTATGTGTGTTTGGCTTTTATCCCTCAATCTCATGAACTCGGACAATGGAGGCCGGTGGCAGTGAGAGAATAGGCCTCTTTACCTGCGTCTCTGCCTAAAGAAGGCATGGAGTATTTATAGTCCATCAGCATGCGCCATTATACAGTAGAGGAGAGAGGGGTCAGTATATCTAGCCCTTGTTTTGCGTGCAGCTCCATCATAAAGCAGCAAGGACACGGCCTGGTCCTCATCCAGCTACCACTGAAGCATGGTGAGTCTGGGGAGCCATTCTGGTTTTGTTGCATGGTGAATGAGGTCTGTAACCTTTATATAGCAGGCTGTTCTGGTCTCGTTTGATTAATTATACATCCATCTCTGCTCAGATCAGTGTTATTCCGAGGCAATGTGCCGAATGCTGATCATTTTTAGAGAAAAATCAATAGAGAAGTGCAGCAGCTGTCCTATTTATTTTCCAAAATGACTTATTAATAGTAAGATGAAGGGATATTAGAAGATTTAAGAAAAGAGGAGACGTATAGAAGGGAAAAACAGAGGAAATAGAAAGACCTCAGAGGAGAGATGAGAATATGATGAGGAGGAAACAAGGATATTATGGATAAGGGGAATTAAAGTAGCCGAAAGACGACATGAAAAGTAAAGAAATAGTGGAAATAACCGGAGATGAATCTAGTAAAACAAAGGAGATGACAGAGCAACAGGTGCCGGCTGGATAGAGGTCAGCTCCCTTGTTTTTTTCTGTAAATATTTCTGCCGCCCCAACCGGCGAATTGTTGGCTTATTTCCAAAAAGTATTAAATGAAAGTCGGCCCCAGAAGTCCCGACCGGCGGATTTCCCACAGCAGCAGAGCTAATCCGCAACAAGGTTCAGACAACGGCTGTCCAACCCGAGCCATGTGAGGTCTCCCACTGATTCTTCCCTTTTCCTGGCAGATGCGCAAACAGCTCCAACAAATCCTTCCCTCTAAGGGGTTTTCTGATCAAACGGGGCTGGTGGTGGCGTCCTGTCATCGCCCAGGTTGCGCTGCGTAATCCCTCATGTGATCCTGGAGCTACTGCAGCTCAGAGAGCAGACTCATCCCCCCCCCCCCCCCCCCCCGAGCCCCCCCCTCCACCGCAGGCTTATCTGCTGCCTCCTCAAATGGGAAACTCGAGTGAATACTTCTACAACAGTGTTTATAATCCCTCTTAATTGGACGTGTGCCCAGGTGCCACATAAACAACACTGTCTGCCCCCTACCCCCCACGCCCCATCCCCATCAACGACAGCCGGACCATGGCGTCGTCTGAGATGCCTCTAACCATTTTGTTGTGGTCCAAACCCTACAGTCGCCCAAGAAAGCAAAGAAGAAAGCGGCAGAGGGGGCCAGCTCCAATGTGTTCACCATCTTTGAGCAGGCCCAGATCCAGGAGTTCAAAGAGGTGAGAGCCTGGCCAGATTCTGTCTCCCACCGCAGACGCCACATGTAACTGTGGTCAACTGTGCTGACCTTCCACAGGCTTTCACCATCATGGATCAAAACAGAGACGGCTTCATCGACAAGAACGACCTCAGAGACACTTTTGCAGCTCTGGGTGAGTCGCCTTTGTGTTTGCTCGTTTTTAGATTTAAGGACGGCTCCACTTGGTCCCATTTTCCAGAAACAAAGCGTCTGATTGGTGTAAAGCAAACATGAGGCTTTGCTCACACTGGCTGTCTTCCATGTCGATCAAATTTTTTCCAAAGATGCACATTTTTTGTAAGATTTGAATGACAAGTGAGGAGACTGGTGTGGCCTTGAATAATGAATGTTGAATGTTCACACAGCAGATAAAAGTGGCTTTGCTTGTATTTGGTTTTTAGGACAGTCTAAACAGCACAAATCAGATCCAGATCAGGTCCAATCACGTTGCTCCATATGTGGTCCCAAAGCACATAGAAAGCAGATGCTTTCAATAGCGACCTCTTTCTGAACACTAATGTCTCATTTCATCTGACTTTTACCTTCTTGAAGTAAGACAGATGTCACTTTTCTGCACCAGAATTAAAACCAGATATAAAAGTGAATACAAAGACTAAGACCATCCTAAATGATAAGATATGGGACACAAATGGGGGGGGGGGGAGTGGCTGAAATCCTTCATTTTTAGCCTCATATCTGATTTTTATCACTGAATCAGACCTCATTCTTAACAATCATATCAAGCATCGTGTATTTGTTTGATTTAGAACCAGATGTAAAAGAGAAAAATTTAAATTTGGATTCAGACTGTCATAAAAAGTTATTTTATGACTCAGAAATGAGGAAAAGATTCAGTTTGGGCCTGTGGTGGGAACTATGAACAGTCTATCGTCCAAAGAAGCAGACATCCCTTCAGGATTCTTCACAATGAAGGCCAAAGTGGCATACATTTTTTGCTCAGAATTCTGAAATTAGACCCAGACAACTTGCTTTTGTGGTCCTAAATCAGGTACATCCCTGATGTTTTTCAGCTAATTTATCATGTCAACGCCCACCCAGAAAAGTCTGAATTAAGACAAACCATCCATCCATTGTTCAAGTCTGCTTATTTCCCAGTTACCCTAACATGAATGTTTTTGATTGAGAAGGTCCTGAAACCTGCCTGGTTGTCCCATCTCTCTGCAGGCCGTTTGAACGTCAAACAGGAGGAAATCGACGAGATGCTGAAGGAGGCATCGGGACCGATCAATTTCACAGTCTTCCTCACCATGTTTGGGGAGAAGCTAAAAGGTAAAAAAACAGTGTCCCGCCGGCGAAACTGCAAAGCGACTCTCAGAGGAGACCTGACCTGGGTGAGAACCTTTGGCTTTCAGGTGCCGACCCCGAGGAGACCATTCTCAATGCTTTCAAAGTCTTCGACCCCGAGGCGACGGGGACACTTAAGAAAGACTTGTGAGTACCAGTGTGGCGTTCACGCGGCCTCTGCGGCTGCCCGCTCGGCTGCCCCCCCGGCTCACCCTCTCTACTTGCTCTTGCAGCATGACGGAGATGCTGACCACTCAGGCCGACAGATTCTCAGCCGAAGAGGTTTGTGCACCGACTCTGAAAGTTAGCTCAGAGCCCCCGTGGGGCCCCAGGCAAAAGAAGATTTCAGGCTCTCTCGTCACTCGCAGGCCTGCAATAAATGCCGGGAGTGATTGGCAACACTGGATGTGAGAACCTTTAGTTGGAGTTAGATCATGGAAGAAACTGGAAGCAGAAAACAGATTTTCAAACTTACAAAAAAAGGTTAACGCCACCTGATATGTACTGGTTAATATCTGTCACATATAAGAACTCCATTAAAGACATTAGAAAGTCTTGTTTCGATCATCAAACCAAACATTTATGGTTTGGTTTTAAGTCCACCCAAAGAGCAGCTTTGGGTTAATTTACATTAATGTTATGAGTAATAAAGTATTAAGAGGGATTCTTTATATCATCCAGGTCTGCTCAGAGTAACTGGTAGACAAAGAATTTACACTAAAACTGTAAGCTGGTTCAATATTCTTGCTTTAAATTAATCCAACAATGTCTAGGGACTTATATATCACTTTTCCAGTCAAGCTGACTACTCAAAGCGCTTTACACTGTGTGCCATTCACCATTCACACACACTGGTTGCACCAGTGGACACACCAGATGCAACCAGTAGGCAACCTGTGGTTCAGAGTCTTGCCGAAAGACACTTCAACATGTGGTCTGGAGGAACATGGAGTTGAGCCACTGACCCTCCAATCAGTGGGCAACAGCTTTCCTCCTGAGCCATAGCTGTCCAATGTGCAAAAAAACATTTGTAATGCAAGAATAACAGGAGGGAAGCAGCTCTGTTAGCATGAAACTGTGTTTGTGTATGATAATAAACCTTTGATAAGGCAGACATCTTCACACATATGTGCAAAAATAGAAAATGACAGAATAATGTATTTTGATGCTCACGGGGGCCTTCATGTGGGTGTGGGGCCTTAAGCAGCCATTTTTAGTTTATTTTTATGTTTATACATTTGGCAGACGCTTTTATCCAAAGCGACTTACGGAGTAGACACAATATTACATTTATCATCACTATGACAATAAGCTATACAGAGGAGAAACACTGATCAGAGTCAGTGGTGACAGCAAGAGATAGAGGTAGAGGGGACCACAGAAGGAGTTGTGGGGGGGATAGAGGTACGGGTTAGGATTAGGATAGGAGATGCTCTTTGAAGAGGTGGGTCTTCAAGAGTTTCTTGAAGTCTTTGTTTCCAGCAGTTTCCAGCAGTTCTGAAACTCAGACAAAGTCCTGACTGTTCGCTTTCGCTTCACATCTACAGATGGAACAGATGTTTATTGCGTTCCCTCCAGATGTAGCAGGAAACCTCGACTACAAGAACCTGGTCCACATCATCACACACGGTGAAGAGAAGGACCAGGAGTAGGGGCATTCATGCGGGAAAGGTGTCTGGATAACTTGCGGATCATGTTTGTGTCCAGATGATTCGACCAAACTACTGCAAAAATAAAAGGTTTGGGCCAAAAATAAATCCCCTCTCAGCTTCAGTTTCTTTATTTCTTTCATTATTAAGAATACGCGTTGTATCCTATCCCATGAAACTTGATTCAGTCGCAGACACGGAGACGTAGTCTTTACAGCATTAAATGCACACAGATGTTGGTGAATGCATAGCAACCCTGAATAAAACTTTTATATAGATCCACTGTGGCTGAACGTCACAAGTGAGTCGAAAGCAGCAGCAGTGTGCTAAAAACTGAGTCCATCCTCACTGTATCGATGTGAATTAGGAGTGAGTGGCTGTTTGCTTTTTTTTATCAGCAGCTCCATAAAAGCAGAAGCTTTCTCAGTTTGCTGCTCTGCAAGATCCAGCTGGGTTTTACCACAATGCCACAGAGGAAAGACATAAATACATAAATGAACAAAGAATAAATGAAAAATAAGTTTAAAAAGAAACAAATGTTAAGACATAGAGGAGTGCGCAATGTATACATTCATCTGACAATGAATGGGAACCCATGTAAATACAGACTGAGGGGGTCGTTAACTATAAGAAGATAAACCAACGAGAAGCAAAAAATTAAACAGATTTACCTAAATAAAACAGTAACTGTGGTGAGATATAAGGCGAACCAAACAAGGGACTGTTCATAAGGAGTTACTGCCCATCACGTAGTTCAGAGCTGAAGAAGTCTTTACAGTGAGAGGAGAAACATCTTCAAGATCCAAGAAGAAGAAAAAGAAGTCCAACTGCCTTTACCTGAGCTCTTTGGATGGTTCTAATAAGCTTCAAGCAGAAAAATAAAACTACTTAATGTCAGTTAAACTCAAAACAGAAATATTCTGTGGGACATGCCTCACAGAAAACAAAAATCTGGTTATTTAAGGCATAAATGTGCCCCCATTTCTTTGTTCGCGTTGTTTATGTCTGATGGAAGGCTGATTTGTGTACAGGCCATTAAAGAATATGAATTACCTAAGACTCTATTTATGATTCCCGTTTCCACATAGCATTTACATAGTAGAAAAACGAGAATTGAAGGTAAATGCATAATATTATTACTTTTAAAAAGTACCAGAGCGACTCTTTCCATAAAAATGCTATTTCTAATACTCAGAGTTGTTTATTTAATCAAGTTCTTTCCAAATCGATTAAATCCAGCTCTGACAGCGAGGATTTGGATGAATCCATCCTTTATTTAAGCGTTGCTCTGGCCTTACTGATGAGGATCAAACCATCTGGATGGGCCTTTCTCTCCCAGCCACACCGGTAGGGGGCGGTAGCGGGCGGCTGGCACAGGCAGCTGCTGGCTCGCTGCTGAAGGTGCGGCAAAGGGAAAAACAAGAAACGAGACACCGCAGCTAGCTAACAGCAGCTTTATATATATATTTATATATATGCTGAGAGAGGGAGAAGTCAGTGTTTTCTAACAAAATACGGCCTTTTGGTTTGGCCCCCCTCATTGTTTTGAAAACAAAAAACGTAGACATGGAAAAGTAGTTTGTTAAATTGTAAAAATTGTAAAACGAGCGGCTAAACAGCAGCTGGGTCATACCTACATCGCTCTCGCTCCGCCGGAAAACTAAAGCTAAGCTAACGCAGCAGCTAATGCTAGGCTAGCTAGCGGGCTAAAGCCAGAACCTCGATTTGACGGAGTCTCCTTTCGAAACGCGACCGCTTGAAATGGCTGATGTTGACAAGCTCAACATAGACAGTATCATCCAACGTCTTTTAGAGGGTGAGTAAATATACAACATCGATTAAAACCATATTTAAATGCCCGTGTTTTTGTTGTGGGCATGCATTTGTGACGAGCTGTCACACAAAGCTCACCTAACTGCAGCGGTGTTTGTTCACACCTTCCGAGCATTTCATAACGATTTCAAAGGTTTTTTTTTTTTTTTTTTTGACATTCAGCGTTTATTTGCGTTCGTCTTCTGGAGTATTTCTTAAAGGAGTATCAGGGAGACTTGAAGGACATTAAGTAATTTGGCCAGAAGCACATCATCATACCGGTGTAACGTCAGATTCTGTGACCTGATTAAGGTTTTAAAGGGTTTCAAACGCACAGCAGAGTGAAAAATAAGGATATCTTGCATAATCAGGATCATTTTTAAGTTTACAATTTCTTTTTGTATGTACTTGAGGTTTCCTCTGTTATTGAATTTAATTTTAAATGTCATATTTTCCTTTACAAATAGGACATTTTTTCAAATATAAACAAGAAATCCTATTTTTTTGTATTTGAAGTAATACATTTGAAGATATATGTATTAATATTCATTCTATTTATTCAAAATATTATTACTGTAATTCCTGTTTTAAATCTAAACAAATGCCTAGTTATTGCTAGATTTTTTTAAAGATATATTTAGGATTATACTGGCTTAGGGTTAGTTATCAATTACTTATTTGATGTAAATTTGCATGTTTAAATAAAGACAAAAAATTATATGTATAGGTTTTTTTTTCCTAAATAAAGAAAAATGCAGTATTTATATTTTCAATTATGGTGATATACATTTACAGATATCAGTATGATTACATAAGGGATCGTCTCATTATTGATTGAATTGATGTTCTATTTTAATTTTTAAACTAGAAAAAAAGCCCACTTGCATTTTTCTTTTTGACTAATGATAAAGATATATTTATAAATACAGATAATCTATCCGTAACTGGCCTTTGGTCGATTTTTCTCACACAATGTCTTTTAGCATCACAATGTCCTGTTTTTGCTGAGTGTTGTTTGTGTTTCTTGTTTGTTTCAGTCAGAGGAGCAAAGCCGGGCAAGAATGTGCAGCTGCAGGAGAATGAGATTCGAGGATTATGCCTCAAGTCCAGGGAGATCTTTCTCAGTCAGCCCATTCTTCTGGAGCTGGAGGCCCCCCTTAAGATCTGTGGTCAGTGACTTGTGTTTTTTTTATCGAATATGAAAATAATAGTGTCACTTTTGGGTGTAAAAGTGTAAATCCCTGTCCTGCAGGTGACATCCATGGCCAATACTATGATCTGTTGAGGCTTTTTGAGTATGGGGGCTTCCCTCCGGAGAGCAACTACCTGTTTCTTGGGGACTATGTGGACAGGGGGAAGCAGTCCTTGGAGACCATCTGCCTCCTGCTGGCCTACAAAATCAAATACCCAGAGAACTTCTTTCTGCTGAGGGGAAACCACGAGTGTGCTTCAATCAACAGAATATATGGTTTCTACGACGAGTGTGAGTAATGGGGGCATGAATTCAGTGGTTTCTTTTCCTGTTGCTCTGTCCTCTGTGTCAAACTTTCCTTTTCCCTGGTGTGTTAGGCAAAAGAAGGTACAACATCAAGCTCTGGAAGACCTTCACCGATTGCTTTAACTGCCTTCCAATTGCGGCGATCGTCGATGAGAAGATCTTTTGCTGCCATGGAGGTGAGTCTTTTGTTCCCCAAAAGTGTTGTTTTCAGGCTCTACTGGTCAAAAGAAGCTTTTGACCAGTTTTGACGTCAGCCGGTCTTGTTTGTCTTTGCGAAACGCTGCCTGTGCAGTTTGCCGCCAGCTGACCCTGATTGTTTGTTTGTGTGTGTGTGTGTGTGTGTGTGTGTGTGTGTGTGCTGCTGCTCAGGACTGTCACCTGACCTGCAGTCCATGGAGCAGATCAGGCGCATCATGCGCCCCACCGACGTCCCCGACCAGGGCCTGCTGTGCGACCTGCTCTGGTCCGATCCAGACAAGGACGTCCTGGGCTGGGGGGAGAACGACCGGGGGGTGTCGTTCACGTTTGGCTCGGAGGTGGTCGCCAAGTTCCTGCACAAGCACGACCTGGATCTGATCTGCCGCGCTCACCAGGTACCTGAGCCGCCTCGGCCTCCATCAGAGCTTTGACCCCTCACCCCTGTTTCTTAATAAGAACTCAACCAAACCTGCAGGGATATTTTCTAGCATCTGCCCTAAAATTTGGCCAAAACTTTTTCAATACTTGAACATTTCCTGAAAAACTCACTGGAGCTTGAATGTTTCTCTGAGAGTCCAAGTAGTTCATCAACAGCCTCCAACTTTAGGGGCCGAAAAGCAAAAAAGCTGCAAAATTGAAAATTTGTATTGAATGGATGAGTGTGTAATTGAAATCAGTAAATTAATTAGAATTTTTTTAAGGTCATAAATTCAAAGAACTTGTAGTCCAAAGCATGTCGAGCATAATGCTTCAAACCAGCGTTTGTAGTCGATATTTTGGTCAGAAACTAGAAACGACTCCCACAACTCCCATAAATTCCTCTAATTTGACCACAAACAGACTCAGCTGGATTCTGACCTCTGACCCCCCCTCTGACTTCTCTGAACAAAGTCGGAACGGGATGTTTTTTGCAACTAAATGACAAACCTTTCTCCTTCCACAGAGGAGGTGATTTTTGTTTTTTAACATTAGATTTGATCATTTTGTTACTATATAGGTTTATTTGAAAATTACAGCATACATTAGAAATGAGAAAATACGAATTAAGATAATGAAAAATGGACATTGTTTGTGCTATGTGACTCAGAATGGTTTACCAAAGGCGTCCAAATGTCCTCAAATTTGAATTGATCCATCTCGAATATCGGCTTATGTTTATTGAAGGTGTTTTCCTTTTGTTTGGCCCTAAATTCCTCTGAATCGTTGCCTAACAGACGCATCTCAGGCTACCAGGATTATCCGGATACAGATTGAAACCGATTTTCTCTAATTAAGGTTTTCACTGAAACTATGAGAGGTTTATTTTATCCTCTGAATACTTGGTAGGAGACTAAAACCTCAGAGGGAGCACACTGTGCGGGTGGCTGTGGGCTCTAAGAGCAGCTCAGTCTGCAGGTCGGTCATTCCCGTCTCCTCTTCATCGTTTGTCGTTGCAGGTCGTCGAGGACGGCTACGAGTTCTTCGCAAAGAGGCAGCTGGTCACTTTGTTCTCGGCGCCAAACTACTGCGGGGAGTTCGACAACGCCGGTGCCATGATGAGCGTGGATGAAACGCTCATGTGCTCCTTTCAGGTGATGTGCTCTGCAGTGAGGGGGCTTTTATTAGCCTCAGAGGAAAAGCTCTGTGTGGGTTTCAAAAGGGTTTTGACTAGACTCTGTTGCTGCCACCAAAAATGCCACCTTCCCACTCCAGTCGGGTTTATTCAGCAGCCAAACGCGCCTCGCGTTCGTTTTCACCTTTATCTCCACATTGATCCTGTCTGGTTGTGTTTTCTTTTGCAGACACACTACTGTTAATAATTGACCGTATTATCTATGTCCCCTGTGATAGTGTGAGAGCTTGTAGAGGAACAGTAGGAGGGGAAATGATGTGGGAGGCACCAGCCGTAGTCTTGGCAGAAAATAGAAATTACAATTTTAAATGGAGCAGAAGATACTCGCTATTGTCGCCATTATGCCTGATGCCAGAAATAATCTGAACCGAATTTTAAATAGAAGAAAACACTTAGTCTCAAACAATAACTGGGAGGAAATTGAAATGAACTAAATGAACAAACATGAGTGACAATGTGTCAGCAGATAGTGTTAAAGAAGCAAGCAACTAGCTAACATGAATGCTCCTCATATTGAGGTTTAAACAGCCAATGCAAACTGCGCACAGACAAAACAAAGGAGCTTATCTGTGACCCTATCTCTTCTTACCACAATATCTGCACACTCAATGCACACTAACGTCAGACCAGTCCCAAACCAACGTAGCCCTCCTATGAAGCCGTACAGTATTCCACAAACAGAAGGTCCTGTTAAAGTCCTCCAGGAGAAAAGTCCACAACAAGTCTGACATCCAGAAAGACACAAAGTCCATGCTGAGGTTGCAGAAAACAGACATTTTGGTTCCATTCCAGTCAAATTTGAAGTGTCTGGTGGCAAAAGACGTATCATAATAGCTCAAATGACTATGACTTATTAATTTAGAAGTATTCTGATTTTTAAGGAGTGTTTTCTTTCGAAAAAGATTCTCAGTCATGCATCTACACCAAATGGTACAAGACAAGCGTTAGATTTAATTTAGGTGTGTTAAGTGAAAACAGAGTTTTGAGGGGTTAAATCCTTAAACACACACATCTATTTCTATAACAGTTCAGTGGCAGTCTGATGAAATGACAGCATAGCCCAGATTACATCAGAGGGATGAATGAAAGGATGAAAGTTTGCTCTGAAGCTGTATTTGGTGTAAATACAGCTTTTGGGGAGAAATACTTCATTTTTTAAATTATACTAAACTTAGGCTGAATTAGTTTGTGTAGTAGTTTGCAGCTATACCATATAACCTCCTCAGATGTCTGTAATCTGTGTAAACTGCTTACAGATTTTGAAGCCAGCTGAGAAGAAGAAGCCCAACGGCAGCCGTCCTGTGACTCCTCCTCGCAATATGGTCACCAAGCAAGCCAAGAAATGAGCGGCCGATGGCCAGAATCTCACTCTGATCTACTCTCGTCACCTGCATTTGAAGGATTGTCTTTTCTTCAAGATGCCAATACTTAAAAGATACCCACTCCTATTTGATGAAAGCTATATATTTTATTGTTTTGTCCACGGGGGTAAATTGATATGTCACCATGAAAAACCTCAGGTGTTTTGCACTCCATTTTTGCAGCTAGTCTTTGCCACATATGACTGTTCAATCAGGAAAAATGTAACAATACAGCTATTTAATGCACAGGAATGCCTTGTTTGAAGCTGTGCACAATTTTTTATTTAATTTTGTTTTCTCCTGTTTTTTCATGTCTCTCTTTTGTCATCTTTTTCTCACTGTCTGCAATTGTTATTAATGGCTATAAAAAGTATGGGGAAGGTCACAGATGCCTGTTTACCTCTGAAAACTTTATTTACAGTTAATTCAATGTCAATTTGATTGTGAATTGACGACACTCCATCACATTTTTAAGCAAGTTGCGCTAAATTAAAGAAACAAAAATGCACTCTTGTTACGTCTAAATCTTTCTAATAAACTTTGAGTGTATTATGGGGAGAATTTGGTATGTGAATGTTATTTGTTTCTAAAACTTTTATGCCTACTAAGAATGTTAAACTTAAATAAAAGCTTAAAAAGTTGTAAGTGGAATTGTATAATCTTATCTAAGACCACTTTATGAACAGGAAATCTTCCCTTGTGTCTTTATAAAAAAACAGAATAAATTTGTGATGTATCATTTACTTGCGCTTGGAATAGCCCCTAAAATGTAATTTGTTCCCGTAATAAGGCTGCAGCACTTTTAATAAGCGCTATTAGATTTGACAGAAGAGGACAGAATGTCTTACTTCCATATAAGGAAGGCCCGATTGCGTAATGACCTCTGACGTCAGAGCAGTCACAAGACCGTGAGCGCGGAGCGGAGTGTGGTCCGGGGCCACGGCAGTTGCTCCTCACTTTGTGTAATGTCGCGTCTCAACTGCGGAACCATGGCCACGGAGAGCCAGCACTTGCGGGTCGTCGGTGTAAGAGGCGTCCGTTTCCTTTGAATTTCTTCTCTCAGACAGAAAACGTCGCGACACTGAGGTTGCAAATATAACCGGAACGCATTATCTGTGTACGCGTGTCGGCTGTTGTCTAACGGCCGGGCTCGTGAGCGAGTCAAAATTGTGAGCTCGCGCCGACGCTAAGCTAGCGGCGCTGCTAGCTTGGCCGGGGTCGTTTGAACGGAGCTGGTGTGTGGGTGATGTTGTCCGTGCTGTCGTACGGTCGACTGGTTGCCAGAGCTGTCATCGGCGGGCTCTCTCAGACGGACACCCGCGACTACAGCCTGGTGACGGCGAGCTGCGGCTTTGGGAAGGATTTCCGCAAAGGCATCCTGAAGAAGGGCATGTGTTATGGGGACGACGCGTGCTTCATCGCCCGGCACAGGTCGGCTGATGTCCTGGGTGAGTTTATTATTTTTTTTACTGTTCAAACAGGAACTTTAGCGTTGACCCCTGCTGCCATGACCGCTGACCCCTTATCCAACCAGCTGATGCAAGTGATCAAAAAGTGATGAGGCTGATGATGCATTTAGAGTGAATTTCACTATTATTGATTTCCTCTCAGGCATTTGCTGCTCTGTTAATGTATGTTTTGGGGGGATTTAAAACTGGTCACTTCAGTAAATCATGAAGAGTTTTTTCCTCTTTTTCAGCTATCATAAGAATTTACATAATATGAGCCTCTAAAGTCTACCCTGATGTGGAGATTTATGAAACACTGAATCAGAGAAGCCTTGGTTCTGCATATGCGAGCTGGTGTTGCAGACCTCGGCTGAATCTGAGCATTTAAGCAGATTGCCTGGTTGCTGCTGACGCACATCTAGCTGATCAGGATGCCCCGGGGAAGCAAAAATCAGGGCATCTTTTCACCCCAATCTTGTTATCTTTGATGCACTTGTTAATTTAGTATGTTTATGGCTGTTTCCTCTTCTTTGACTGGGTCAGGGGATGCTCTCCTTGTATGGTCAGCAGAGCAGATGCTAAAGACTGATATTTCCTTTTCGGGAAAATCATGCATCGACCAACAGCATGTTTGGGAGCGCGGCTCTTGTTTATGTTACTTTTTAAGGTAGCCACATTAATTCTTTACAGCTTGATCAGGAGTATTTTAAAGCAACTGTGGGATGGATCATGGGGAAACTTTATTTGATGCCTTCTTTAGGCTTTTGCACAAGTTTTGGCAGCTCCCTGGCTCTTATAAGCCTGTCCTCCACTGTACTGGCCATTCTTTTTGCATATTGATGAAAGTACCCTTTTATTCTTCATCAAGCATCTGCCTGTTTGTGTTTTTTTTAAATCAGCAGTGGATCAGTTATCAGAGATGTTTTCCCTTAAAGTGCATAATTAAACTTGCTATTGTTATTGAGCAACTAAATGTAGTTTGAGGAGGACTGTTGTAACAATGTCTTTATTGCTCTTTAAAAAGGGGTTGCAGATGGAGTAGGTGGATGGAGGGACTATGGCGTGGACCCGTCGCAGTTTTCTGGGACGTTGATGAAGACGTGCGAGAGGCTGATAAAGGAAGGGCGTTTTGTCCCGAGCAACCCGGTGGGAGTCCTTACAACCAGCTACTATGAGCTGCTGCAGAACAAAGTTCCACTGCTGGGTGAGTGAATCTACTTTTTAGGACACATCTACTTTCCCTTTAACTAAAGGTGCCCTATCAGTGACTGGCCTTTTTGTTTGGTTTCAATCAAACATTCAGTCTTTGTCATTGTACCTAAACTCTGGATCCCAAAGCACTACTAGTGCCTCCTTCCTTTGCATGTAGCAAGGTGTTGTCTTTCTGTGGCTAATTTAAATATGTTTGCATATGACACACTCATGGAGCTTAATGCCAAGCATCCCGCAGGACACACAATTTGTCTGCCAGTAAACAGCAAATATCTTTGGGGTTTTAATTGAACGGTTTGAGTCGAGCCTGTTTCCATCTGTTCAGGGTAAGCTGTGGCTGGATAAAGATTTTTGCAGCATGAGTCAGAACAACCCGAACGAATGAAAAGAAAAAAAAGAAACCCAGGGAATGTCCCAGCCAGTATCCCTTTCCTGCTCCGGACTGCTGCCTCCCAGCAGATCTCTGTCTGGGATCGTGTTGGTAATTTTCCACCCCGGCCAGACAACACCACATTGTGCTGCTCTTTACCCGGCAAAGGGGACGTTCTGGAGGCTGGCAGCGGGGTTTGATTGTTGTGCTGCAGAGGAGTGAGTCACAGTGCGTGAGAGGTTTTAAGGTGGATCCCAGAGAGCATGTTTTGGTGTGCTGGGTGAATCACCAGCAGGGTGTGGCGTTTGTGCTCCACCGGCTCGTGTTTCACATCAGTACAAATGGTGGAGAGGCCACAAAAAGAATACCTCCTGCACCCTTTACGTTAAAACGCCTGCTGTCCTAACCCCGTCCGTCTGCCCGCAGGTAGCAGCACCGCCTGCATCGTGATTTTGGACCGGCAGAGTCACAGGCTGCACACGGCCAACCTGGGAGACTCGGGTTTCCTGGTGGTCCGGGGTGGGGAGGTGGTCCACCGCTCAGACGAGCAGCAGCACTACTTCAACACACCCTTCCAGCTGTCGATTGCTCCCCCAGGTGCTGAGGGGGCGGTTCTTAGTGACAGGTGAGACACCCAACAGGTAGAGCGCAGTAGATTTACAACACAATGTTCTTTACATAATTAAAAACAGAGAAGGAATACTTTTTTTTTTTTAAAGGGAAAGACACAAAACACTCCCTCACTTGTCCACTCCCCAAACCAAAGGCCCACAAGTCGCACATAAGCACACAAATACACACAGCATGACGTTATCTAAAACGGTCTTAACCTGAATTAGGTCAAGACGCTAGAACACTTTGAATAAAAAGAGTAAAATGGTATTAAATAAAATATGAATACAAATAAATACCAAAAAAACGCAAACAATGAAATATAACAAATGTATATATGGGTTGAATATTAAAACAGATGACTATTTAAAGGATACAAATGCTTTAAATAAGTCACTATTAATAATGATAAAATCCTCAGTTTAGCTAGCTGAATGTTAGCTGATGTCCTGACTAAAAAGGAAATATTTTTTACTTATTCTGAACGTAACTCCAGCTACTGTGCAGGTATTTGTGCAGAAATTGCTCTTTTAATAGGTTCCATTGGCTGAGTAATGAATATATGGTTATAACAAATGTAATTTGGTACTGAGATGTCCAGCATCACCAAAACCCCGTCTTGCTGTAAGATTAAGCCGGTATGAAGGGCCACACATCGTGCCAACAATGCAGACTGCACGCAAACACAACAAAGAAGCTTATGTGCCCAAAAAGACAATTTTTTTCCTGCTGCTTTCCGTCGGCGTGGCTCGGGGGCCACGTGCGGCTGTGTCTCGTTGCCGTGGCGTGCCAAGCGGCGGCTCAGCAGACGTCAGCGGAGCGCGGGATGTTTGCCAAGATTTCCTATCACCCAGGTCAAAGTCTGCGTCCACAGCCAATCCTGCACCCGCTCACTCGGCCACCTTTTCTCATCTTTAATCTGCCAGATTACTCTAAAGCTTTAAGTGTTTTTAGAAAACTGACAAAATGATGATGGTGGAACGGCATGCCGCCACACTAATCTGTCCCGAGCTATTACTTATATTTTCCTTTTAATTTCAGTTATTAAGTCCAAGGATTACGCTTTCAGAAGAGAGCAAGGGTGAAATCAGACATAAACAACATTCCTGTCTGTTTTTCATGACTAGAACTGGAGCCACTGGAAATGTAAAAGCTTAATTAGTTTGTATTTAATTTTATTTCTCATCCTTCCATGTGGAAAATTATGCTAATGAGGGCAACAGTGTTGCTTTTATCAGAGGCGAAAACATTTAAAGAAATGAAAAGTCAAGCTTTTTAAACTGTGTTGAAAAGACTGAGTGCTCAGTGCACGCGTGTCTTTATGCTGTCTGCGTGTTGGGCTGCTCAGCTGCTGCTTGGCCGATAAAACATGCTGTAAAAATGGCTGCATAGGACGGGTTGTTCCTGGGAATGTCAGCTGGGTGTCCGCATGCGGTGCAGGTATTTAGTTATGAATGACACTCGGGGCTGTGGGTGCAGCCGGCATCTTCCTAGAAGCAAACATGACACTGGCGGACGTTCCCTTCCTGTGTGTATTTGCAGCACCTTTTATTGGACCGGACTGTTCTTTCCAGCCCCCCATGTGATGAATCCCTGAATTTCATCCTTATCGGGTCTATGTGATTTTGCCCGTGGGGAAAATGAATCTGCTGCCAGCATAGTATTGTGCCACCATCAGACGCGCGGCCAAAAGTTTAGATCGATCCGCTCAGATAGGAGAGGCTTTTTTAAATTTGTGCTGCACATTTTGGATTTGTAGCTCCGGTAATTTGACACCTTATTGATGAAGATTCCGGCATTTCTGACCTTGGTGTGTCTGTGTCTGCAGCCCTGACGCAGCAGACAGCTCCTCCTTCGATGTTCAGCTGGGTGACATCATCCTCACCGCCACCGACGGGCTGTTCGACAACATGCCCGACTACATGATCCTGCAGGAGCTCAAGAAACTCAAGGTAAGTCCCCAACTGGCCGCCTCCAAGGTCGAAAAAAATGAATATTTTGGAAGTAAAACCTTGTCTATGCTCGTCAGAACTCAAACTATGAGAGCGTTCAGCGGACCGCCCGCAGCATTGCCGAGCAGGCCCACGTGCTCGCCTACGACCCCACATACATGTCACCTTTCGCACAGTTTGCCTGTGACAATGGATTGAATGTAAGAGGTGAGTGTTCTGGCCCCCCACTGAAAGGAAAACTATGCATACTGAAGGTTTTCAGGCCCTCATCCTTTCTGGTTTGATTTTTTTCTGAGAAACTGTGAACTGCATGTTGGTCTGAATGGTGAGCAGTATGGTCTGTTTGACTGTAAAAAGAATCCTGTTGTAATTGTTTAAACTACAGACCTCCTTCTTAAGGTAAAGTGTTAAAGATATCTGGGTCATATTATCAGGGGGGTTATGTAATGATGTCCTGAGCGTTGCAAATGGTATGCCCGAGCAAATGTTAAAAATAGGCCTTTTACAGCTGAATGTGCTCATATTTATAGATGTATGAGAAGTGCGGTTATATTAAAGTGTGATTTTTTTTTAAAAAGCATTCACAGTTTTAAGTGTGCTAACATTTGAATAAAGGAGAAATTTCCTGTGTTTTCACCGTTTGATTTTTTGAAGCTGTTTGGTGTTTGAGGGCTGGCTGATGGTCAATTTTCTGTCTGTCCAGGAGGAAAGCCGGATGACATCACAGTTCTGCTCTCCATAGTGGCGGAATACACAGACTAGACTCTGCAGCTCTGATGGGAAGTGATGAACCGCTCTAATTCCTGCTGGCCAGGATGACGGACCGATGTCTGACACTTCGGATCATCCTGTCTCACCTCACCCTCTCTCTCCTCCCCAAAACAACCGCTCTCTGTGATTACCAGCGTCAGAGAGTGGTCCAATACATCCCAGATTGCACCGTTGCCATCTTTGCACGGCTCACCAGATAATCCCGTCTGACGGTGAGCGGTCACTGGGCTTCTCGGAGATGAGGTTAAGTAGCCTTTTTCTGACCGGTCGGACATGGGCTGAGACGAAGAGGAGACTCGGAGATGGAGGTGTGGGAAGAGACGAGAGGGCTGCCAGAAGGGAACGCCGCTCCACCGCTGCTGCTAAGAAGGGAAATGGCAGCACTAACGGTGGACGTGAGCCATCAGATGGCCTGTAACCCCCCCCACCCATGTTCAGAGGATGGTGTGACCCATGAGCTGTTTGGGTGGATATTGGTAAATGTTAGCAAAAAAAAAAAGGTGTGTGTGATGTTTTTTGAAGGGCGGACGCTGCCTTTTCCTACCGCTGCAAAGCACTGCACATATTTTGTTACTCTGTGTTTTAAAATGTCGTGCCCCTCTTTAATCCTCCTGCTGCTGGTGAATTGTTGAATGTGACCTGTGTGTGTGTGTGTGTGCGTGTGTGTGTGTGTGTTGAATGCAATGTGGGTCAACCCATAACCACTGGACTTTACACGACTTGAACGCACAAAGCTAAAGAAGCGTAAGTGGAAAAAGCTCAAAGCAGTGGAAGTTGGTCATGTGACCAAATGTATTTTTGTATCTTTTTTTTTTTTTTTTCAGTGTGTTTGTTACAATCAAAGTTTGGCTTTCCGTTCAAGAAGAAATCAACAATTCCCTTCATGTTTCAGGTCAGACTGCAGTTACTTTTCAGTGGAGTCTTAACCCCCGTGTCCACATTGTGATGTGCCTTGTATCAGGTGGGGTTGATACTGGCCGACGTCCACAGTTCCTTATCCACCAATCAGAGCACAGAGCCTGAAATTGTAAAGTAGCCATATGAGTCAAAACCGCGTCTCGGTCAGGCTGTGCGTGTCACAGGAGCTGCGTAAGGAGCTTAGGAGTCGCATTAAAGCCATCCCACGCTTAGAAAATCCTTCCTGTGGATCTTTGTTTACAATCTGCCAGAGGACTGTTTTCCTGCTTTATCTGCGTTCACACGGCCGGCCGCGGCACCAGGCCTCAGTGCAGAAATGTGAGTCCAGAAATGTGAGAGCAAGCAGCCTTAATGGGAACACAGAGCTGTTTCCCCGCTTCCTGACTCACTTCTGCCCTGAGACGACTCCTGCGTGCCCGTTTTCTTCCAGCCAGAGCAGGTTCAGACGGTGGACAGTTCAAAGCAGATTCCAGCTCTTTAGGGGGGTGTCAAATCTGTACTATATTTAATAAAGACTATAGTATTTATTACCCTGTTGTTTGTTTGCTTTTGTATCCAGATCTTTGTGAGGCAATTTTCTGCCACACGCCCAGCTGACAGGAAGCCTCCAGGGCTGTATTTTCCCTGTTGAGGCATTATCACGTTCAGGTCTGCAGGCAGAGCGCCTGGCTCGATGAGCACGGGCCAAATGAAGATAATGCACGGGAACACGTTGTACCTCTCATCAGAGTGTACTCGCGCATTCCTCAGACAATCAGGAGCGGCACATGTTCCCATCAATAAACGGGCGTGGCGGCTCCACGCTTCAGCAACGCTCTGACAGAAAGAGACTGATGGTGTGTTTGATCCCAACATGTTCTTAAATTAGCATTACAAAGAAGAAACGATAGAGTTAAAACACTTGTGAGGACACACACATACAAAACAGTTTAAACAGGTTTGTACATCCTCTGCTCTTAAAACGATGAGTGTGAAAACAGGCATTGATAACGTCAAAACAACCCTACTGCACTCTGTCGCCCCCTTCTGGCAGAAATTGCAGCTCTGCCGCTACAGTGAGGGGCTCATGGGTCGGTCAGGGGCCTCATCATCGCTGTAACAGGCCAGAACTGCCCGGGCATCATCATCGTCATCATCATCAGGCTCTGAGGACAAAGCCTTGAACAGAAGGGAGCAGACCTGTGGGGGTAAAAGGGCAATAAGTGAGTTACCTTTCAAAGGGATATTTAGAACCATCAATATTAGCAAAAGGTTTGGACCATCAGTGAGGGTCAGAATATTTGGTCTGACCAATCAGGAACCAGACAGAGATGTTCGAACCTTCTCCAGATTCAGTTGGAGGTCATAATGCGCGTGCCCAGATATTTATTCTAGGCAAGAAACTATTACAGAGAATATTCTGACTTAAGAAGATTATTTTACAAAACGTGGTGTCTTTCAGAATTTTTCTGAATAAGACAATTCTTATTAAAAATTCTAAGGTTTTTTACTTAAATATTTAACAAGATGCATTTAAATAAAAAAGCCCCAACAAAATAATATTTTTATTTGAATCGACAAAGTAATTTTATAAAAAGAAAATTAAAATGTACTTTTTTTGTAGGAACTGTTATAGAAAATAGTAAAATAGTTATGAGCTTTGTAAACACACTGTATTTCAAAAGCTGGTATAATAATGAATATTTTAAATGCATTTTTAGTCAGGTGTTTAAAGTGTAAAAATATTCATTCATAATTCATAACTGCAATTTTTAAAAGCTCTGATGAAATCACTGGAGCATGAACAACTTTTGATGGTGTTTATCTGATCGGCTGTTTATTAGTTTTATGTCTGGTGTCCTTCATAGATGAGAAATGAAGAAAAAAAAGCGAAAGAAATCCAAACCATTCAGCCAGCTTTTTTAAAAGAGTCTTTCAGGCTGTAAAATACAAAACAAAACAGTGATTTCCTTTAGGTTGTGAATGACTTGAGATAGTTTGGTGGCTTTTATATGTAGAGAATCAAACTAAACCAGCTTTCAAATGACTAAAAAAACTCATAAAGGTTGCAAAATACTTGATACAGAGGAATCCAGCCAGACTAAGAAGAAAATGAGTTTGGACATAAATCCAACTAAAGGAGTCAATGTGTTAGTTTTCTCCGATCATTCCTCTCTGACCTGAATCAGAACCTCAGAGTGAACGGAAACCAATAAAGTTTAAAAGCCAGCATTACTGTAGAGGAGGCCGGTGTCCCGCTGGCGTCGGCGGGTTCCTCCTGAAGCAGCCTGTAGGGACTGTTGTGCTCCAGCAGGTGCCTCAGATCAGCCGGGGACGCCATGGGGCTGCCCTGGCTGGACATGACCACCTCTGTCACATCTGGAAAGGCCCCAGGCAGGCCGCTGCGTCCCTCACACACACCTGAATGCACAGAGGCTTCATCCGCACACCTGGGAACACAAAACAGACCCACACGGCACATAAGACATGCCTCTGTGCAGAAATGTGTCTGTTTATAGCTTTTTTTCCTCCCTTTATATCTGCTCCCTCTTCGGCCTTAAACCCTTTTAAGGGCATCTCGTATCACTGCTAAGCAGATGACTGTCCGCTTTTTATTTCCTCTAAACCCAACATTGATTTGAAGGTACAGATCCTTCTCAGGTGCTCAGATTCTGTCAAAGGATGGATGGCTGACAATTTGCTTCAACTAAATGATGAAAACTGAACTCCTTGTTTGTGTTCTTGGGAGATTTTTAACAAAAAATAATGGAAACTCATCTTATTTGTTGAACATTTCTGTTCTTTGTCTTTTGAGTGTTAATTATATTAGGTTTAATGGATGTCCATTGTACAGGTTATTGCTTTAGACCTGACTATTTTACTTGGATTAGATACCAGAATGAGGGCCCTTATGGTAAAATCCATAGTTTTATGGATTTGACGGGCGGGTGTGAGGCTGCCGTTGCCTCCAGGTTTAAATGTGCTGTAACTTTATGGTACAAATTAATAAAACTATACTGTTTGGCTTGGCTGGGCTTTCATCCCACACAAACTCTCACTTCTGTATTTCACTGAGAGGCACTCTGGGATTTTTGTCATAAAAGGTGCTACATGAATGAATAAATATCAATAGTATGTAAATGAATGGAGAAAGTGCCACTATACAACAAAAGTAGAGAGATTTCACCGTTAAAAGAGGCTTCGTTTGTTTGTTTTCTTCTCCTAAACTTCTTCTTGGATATTAAAAGACATTTAAAATCTCATCCAAAAGGCTTCAAGTCTTACTTTTCAATAAAATGAACCCATGGAAAAATCTAATATTCTAAAACTAAATGGCCAAATGGAACACGGGGAGTTATAGATACAAATATTAACAATATGATTGTTAATCTTTACAGAAAACATCTTGGGTTTTCCATAAAGGAAGTGGCCTTAAACACAATAAAAACCAACAAGGAAACCGCTTTAGTCTGGAAGCAATCTGCCCGTCATCAGCCTCCAAGAAGCACCCGGCAGACAGTGAGAACAATTTACCACGATGGTGTAAACGACACTTCTTGGGGCTCCTCTGCTGCTCTGAGACAGCAGAAAGGCGGCATGAGTGGTGCTAATGTTCACAAACGCCTCTTAGCTAGCACCTCCGCTCACAGCCGGGGGTGATGTAAGCCAGAGGGATCCACCTGGATCCCCACGGCAGTGAGAGTCCTGCTGAGCAGGCTCTGACAGCAGAGATGAGGGGATTACAGACGTCTGGCTGCCAGGCTTTTAGCTCACCCTGCTTATTCCTGCTGCAGACACCAGGCAGGCTGCGGGGACACTGCGTCTCTTAAAAGGCTAAAAACACCAAACGAGGGCATAGGCTTTATCACCGGTCCTACTCTCCCCTTCCTCACTCGGTTGCAGATCAAGAAAAGCTGATCCCCTTCAAAGCCTGAAGTGCAGCAGATGTGGGGACAACCTCTGATGGTGCAAACTGTGTTGGCTACCTGGGTGAGGAGGGGGCCGGGGGCTCCGCTGGCTGTGAGGGGGCCCGGCTTTCACAGTCGGTCAGGGTGGCCAGCACCACAGAGGCCTCCAGGAGCATGTCCTCCACGGAGAAGCACACCGGCCTGCAGAACACAGAACACTGACCGTGGGGAAGATCTAAAGATCGCTTACAGGCCAGAGACCAGAGAGCTGCACAGGTGGAGATGCAGTGTGGAACAAACGCATGAGTGAGAGGTCTGTGCCTCTCACTGAGCAGCACTGGTAGTTCCCAGAATAACTCTGTATGCAGACGCTCTGAAGCCCAAATTATGGTTTTAACTCTAAAATCAAATTTTTATTGTTATGAATGCATTCACCAATATTCAGTTTAACTAAAAAGTAGTAAAGGGCATCAGTAATTCTGATTAAGATTATTATTTCTGAAATTTCAGAGGGGGATTTGGTTTGAAATCCTAATTAGCTGAAAATGGTGAAAAACAGAGAGTTGATCTGAGATGTCAGCGTGTGACTTAAAACTCTTTGTGATGCTGGACAGTCTCTGGCATAAACCTCAAGATCTGAAGGGGCAGCGAAAGAAGGAAGACCACAATATGACGTTTAAGGCTTATTAGGAGAAAAAAAAGAAAATTTAGCAGCTCCACTTTATTATGTAACAAATTAATTACTTTGCATTTTAAACCTTTAAACAGCATTTTGAAAGTTTTCCTTTTTTTCTGATATAATAGTTTTTCTAATAAAACTATCAAGTGCGGTAATATGAAGTGAGTCAGGCTAATCAGAAAAAAGAGGAAACTTACTGTCCTGCTGCACCAAAGTGAACTGACACTGGAAGGCAATGCGACTCTGCAAAGGCTAACAGACCCTGAAATTATGAGAAAAAATACTGTGAGGATGCGTTTCATGGTAATAACAGTCAAACATCTGGCCATTGAAGCCTCAGAGTTTCTACCCAAATTGAACTGAGTATTTCTCTTTATTAAACTGAGGACAAGTCCTTTAAAACTTTGCATGAAATGTTTTGGTCTCAAATTGAAGCTACCAATGTGAGAATTCATCCGAAGTGGAAGCATCTCAGCAACTGCAATCATGTCGAGCTAAAGAGGATCTTTTGTCTAATTTGTAATAGAAAAAGCCCAAATCGGCATATCTTTTTCTTTTTCTTTCAATGTGTGTTTGGTGGTCACAGAAATGCTTTTGTGAAAGAGAGAGCCCTATTCGGGCTTTACGACAACCCAGTGCTCCCTATGAGCCAGACCACCACACAAGTAATTTACTCATGTGTCAGGAGAAAAGAAGCCTCCTAAAATAACCATGTTACCCTCAACTCCTTCAGGCAGAAGGTTATGTCTGAGTCCATTCCAATCTGAAAGGAGTCAAACTCCTCTGGGTGTAAGGACATCTCGGTGTGCATCACCTTCATGTGTCCTGTGGCAGGAGCACATCCAGGCATTTTAGGAAATCCTAACACACCCGAGGGGTTAAAATGTGCTAAACCCGCTGCTGCTGTCACTTTAAGACATTTATAGACACATTAGAACATGAACTCACCCTTTCCGCCCTCACAGTAATTTCTCAAACTGACGCTCAGAGAAGTCATGGACAAAGTGATTTCCTCTTGAAACACTGGGAAGTGCAACACCATATCACCAAGAAGCCTGAAGATACACCCAAAAACAAAGACTTACCCATACTGGTTTTCTAAAGGGTGTTTTGGGGGTAGTTTTTATGTATTAAAAGTCAATGACAAAGAGCTTGGCTTCCACAACTTGCAGGTGACTCTAACCCGATGACAAAATAAAGTGCTAACCTGGCAGGGGCTTTTAACACATTAGGACAGAGGTGTGAGGCAAACACGGCCTGCAGAGCCTCACTCTCCTGGAAACGTATGTTGTGGGTCTTGGTTATGCCTAACACAAATGAAAAGACAGGGTATTTGGAGCACACTGCCACCTAGTGTTCACAATATGGGTTTTTAAGTGGAAAGAATTATACCAACAAACAACATTTTTCAAAAAAATCCCCATATTCAACTTGTACTCACTATTGGCTCAGATTGTAAAAAGTTTTTTTCCTACCATGTCTGCAGTAAAACTGGAAAATGACTCTGTCACAGGGAGCGCTGACTGATATCTCGCAGCGTTCCACATTGCGTTCAATGGAAGTCAGACCCCGGAAAAGTGGGAGGATGGACTTAAAAACAAATTAATTTTGAAGTTACCCATGATGCAATGTGTGTGCCATAATAATGTATGGTTTGGCTCTAGGATGCATGCAGGTACAAAGCTTTATTCACTGTCTGATGCACCTTCATAAGCAGTTTGCATCTGATCGTTTCTCGGACCATTTCTGACTCTGATTCAAGGCGGTAATGATGGAAGAACAGCGGCGAGAAGAGGAAGCAAGCATATGCAGACTGAGCAGAATTCACAGATCTCAGGGCCAGCTTTCAAAAACACAAAGAGGTTAAGTTCAGATGTGAGAGGTCAAGGTGATGGGAGCACAAATCCTAGAGGTGCCCCTTGTAGTTGCACATGTAAAAGGCAGTGGAGGTGTACAAGAGATAAATCAGTTCTAAAAGATGTTAGTTGTGGTTTGCCCCTGTTCATACACAATAAAACTTAAATACATTTGATCCCAACTGTTTCTGTCTATTTTGCTCACCCCTTTGACCATTGGATCCAACCACAAGTCATCTCCAATCCTTGACAGGGCATGAATAGCCTTTCCAAACACTGCAATATAATGCCAGCACAGTCCAACGTTAGCACAAAAAAGTCCCTGTGAATACATTCCAGGTGACATTATTACAATTTATTACATTATTTTTTCTGTACTTGAGGACAGCTCACCCACAGCAGACCTAAAATATTTGAAGATTTTAACGTTTCAAAACATCCGCTAGCTTAATTGGCTAACAAATTGCGAGCTAAATTAGGCAAAAAGTAGCTTGGCTAATGCTAGCAGTAATAGAACTTCCCTTCTTTTAATATATATTTTATTCCAAAAAGCAGGTCTATTTCTATATTCTTTGTTTATTACTACCTTTTACGCAATTCCCTTCGATAACACAATTCATATTTTCGAAAAGCTGTCGATGTTTTCCAGAAATAAGTTTTTCAGACAGATTCAAGCTATACTGACGCCTTCCGCATAGGCGCCATTTGCAACTTCTCCTTGTCGTAGGTCCGAGTCCTTGGTTGGGCTATTTTAATTACTATAATGATAGCACATTTAATAAAAATAGCCTTCCAAAGCATCAAAGGCATAAAAATAATTGAAATAACTTAAAACAACGTAAAATGGTAAAACATCAACTTCTCTATATTTTAATAACAGGCCCAGTACATTTTGCATTTTCAAAATGAAGTCAACCTCATTCAGTTGTTGGGATGATGTGGGTGCCTTTTCTACCTTATATATTTTTCTATATGTTGTCAATGTATTTACACTGCATCTTTATTGTGTTAATAAATAAATGAAAACTATTATATTAATAATAATAAAAATGCATCACAAGTGCATGACTTTAGCTTCATTCAACTTACAAATCATGAATCTCCCAGTTTTAGAAATATTTTCTGAGCATCAGATTGTGGAACAACATCAAATTTACTAATCTTGAGTTCCAATTCTTGTGTTTCCCGAGGCTGCCACACTTTTATCAGATTCCAGTAACAGAAAGCAGGTCAAATTGTAAATAAGATCAGGAGCCGCTCGTGTTTACACTCTTTATTGAGCATCATGTCCAATATACATTGCATTGACACAAAAAAATGGAACAAGAAAAACAACCCAAAAAACAAACAAACCTACGACAAATAAAATGGCGTTGTGGTGGATTACCTGGACAAACCATTTTTCAGAGCGTATTGCTTAATGACGTTTCAAACGCACCGAATCTGTGCAAATACAGTGAACACCGGTCAGAGGAGGTCATGGTAGGTTAGAAATTCTGATTTAAAAAGGTAATGTCGACAGCAGGTATGTGATCAAGTCTACACAACTTTACTAACTGTACACATCACATTCACTCAGAATGTACTAACAGGGTTCCTAATTAAACAGACCGCGCTCCTTCGAACCTGATTGCATGCGCCAAGAGATGGTTTGCTATGTTTCTGTCATTGATCAATCATGGCTTAACAGTTAGAAACACCATCGATAAAGTGAAGACTGGCCAGTGGCTTCCACACTCCACCCAGACTGTTTAAAAACAACATCTAGATTCAGAGTTTATCATGTTCTTTACTAGTGGGCGAGTTAACTTAAAGTCTGGGGTTCAGTGATTTGGTTGCAGTTCTAAAAAAAGATTGGGCCAATCAGAACTCCAGATGTTTATAGAAGAATCTAAACAGAGAGGTGAATGTGATCTTACCCACACACACACACTAATGTGCCACAACAAAGAAAGGATCACTCACTAACTCTACTATGGAGCCCCTAAAACCTCTAAAGAACCCTAAAATAACTCAACCATAAACCTGTCAGATGTCTCCTCCTGTTCAATTGAGGTAAGCTCAGATGCCAGTTTGGAGCATCTAACTGATAATTCACAGACTTCCTTGCCGACCGGCTGGTTCGCGGCATCCAGAACTCCGGCTTACAAACCGCTACTCAAGAGCTCGGCAAAAGTCCGATCCTGAGAAGTTGGCACAGACCTTCTGCCAGTGTGTGAGCCAGACGCTCAACAACGACCCTCAAAACAAGTCGCTCGAGGGGAATTAACGGCCGTCTGAGGGCATCATGCACGTTTGTCTGGGAGCTTTAACGTCTTAGACACACACGGAAGAGAGGAGGGAAATGCACACAGCAGGCGGCTTCTCAGGACACATTTAAGACTTCAAAACTAGACGGTGCTCTAAAAGTTGTCAGCCTTTTTTTCCTGGAGACCATGAGCAGGAGGTGGAGCCAACAAAAGGCAACGGCGTCAGAAATAAATCACAGCAACTGACGGGGTTTGTCGGGGAAATGAAGGAAAACACCCGGTTAGTATGCAGCAGGGAGGACAGGTGACCAGAACAGGCTTTAGCTTTACACAACCTTGACCACTAAATTGCATAAGAAACCTGGTATAAAGTAGAAACTGTTCAGCAGCAGATAAAAAAGCAAGTTAATTTACAGTAGTGACATATCTTACATCATTTCTTTTCTCCATTCAAAATAAATAAAATTAAATATACAATTCCAGGTAGGAAACAGGTCAATTTCGCTGGTAGGGTTTCACAAATTGGCTCAAGTGACAGATCGTTCACAGAAAGGTGGTGGAGGCCGACCGATTCCTCTGACTGGCAAAACAAGGGGAGCGAAAGCCTTTCTCTGGAGATTTCCCTCTGAAGGCCTTTCCTTTAACTGGAAGATGTAGAAAAACAAAAACAGAGGTGTTATTGCTTTGGGAGGCTGCGCGTTTCACTCCCCCCTGCTCTGCTCAGTTCACTCACCCTGGAATCTACAGCCAGCTCCTAGTCGAACGCCATCTCTTGACTTTTTCTTACGCAGCGAGCCACCTTCCTCTTGAACTCGCCGTTGGGGTCCTCCCTCCACTCTTTCTGCGAGAAGGAAATCAGACGTTGTAATTGCAGAGAAAGTCTTTTGGAGGGGGGCTGTAAAAAGCAGTGTCACTCACGGCGGCGTCCACGTTGGCGGGCGAGTCGCTGTTGGGGTCGGCCAACATGGAAATAACACTAATCATGATTGTCTCTACTGTGTGGATGGGAAGCCAGCGCTCCTCAGGCTTTTCATAGCCAAACTTGTCTTCTCCTGGCTCATGGAGGATCGAGATACAAACGTCTCCGTTCTTTGCAACTGCGAGGGAACAAAGCATTAAGATTTAACCTTAAAGAAACACCAGGCTTTGTGTCGTTTATGGGGAAGAAGGCTTTCCTTTACCATTTGGATGCCATATTTCAGTAATAAACTTCATCTTTGGTGGCCGTAGAGGATAGTCATAGGGAAATGTTAGGTAGGCTTTGAAAAACCCTCCTTCACTGCAGTAGAAACAAGCAACATATGAGAGGCTTGGCTTCAAGTACTGGATGTAAAAACAAAAAACAAGCTCGGAAACGTGTCCTCACTTACAAAAGAGTATCTTGTGGACCGATGATCACAACCTCCCACTTGTATATGTCATCGTCATCGATGAGACCAGCTGAAAAGCCCTCCACGGGGTTTTTGTTGAGCTCTGGGAGACCAAAAAATAAATAAAATCACAATGCTTTTCTAACACAATGAACTGGAAATGCTAAAACAGAAGGTGTAACTGAAAAGAAAGAAAAAACATCCCACTGTGTGATCAAATCTGTTTGTATGAACATGAAACAGGAATAGAAGTTCTTTTTTGAACAGATTTTAAAATATTCCACAATATGAAACAGCAGATTAAAAAAGTATATATATACACTGATTGAATGGCTGGAATATCAACGATTTAAGATGAATGACTAAAAGTCTACATCACACCTCTTTTTAAACTCCTGCTAATGAATCGTAAATCAGGGGATTAACAGTTCAGAGGGGGGGAAAAAATCAGCAGCAAGTACAATGTGGGCAGCTGTGCAGCTCGGGGAAAATAGCTGTTATCTGACAATGGTTCGATTTCAAAGTGCCCTTGGGCAAGATACTGAAACCCAAGTTTCCTAAATGTCTCTGCAATCCGTTTCCTTGTAAGTTGCTCTGGATCAAAGTTTTAGCTAAATACATAAATATCACCCCTTACAATCAGGCCGAGTTCAAACACACAAAGCATGAAATGTGCTGACTGGATCCCCTGAGCCGGGGGGGTCAAACCCCAGCCGGTGAAGGCCATTTTAAGCATGTTAAACATTTCCCTGCTTCAACACACACGATTCAGATTAAATTGATCTATTCAAATTATTACTTCCTCACAGGACTGCTAAGGGTGCCTTGATGTGAATCAGAGTCTTTGAAGAAGGGAAACATTTAAAATCTGCAGGACAGCGGTCCTCGAGGACCTGAGATTGAGACCCCGCACGCTTTTCGGCCCCCTGCCAAAATGTTGCCACCTTCCATACACCATGTACTTTTCGAATTTACAACAAGGCACCTCGTAACAGTGAAGAATGTCTTTAAAATAAACCCACAACATAATATGGCCATAATATGAACCTCTGTTTTAGAGCAATATTATTTTGTAACCACTTTCTAGAGGTTACCAAATGGCAAAACGCTCTAATAGCATTTTTCTGCTTTCTTTAAGATGGTAACATCATTTATTGAATTTCAAGTATATCCATATGCTGATTTCTGATGTGTGGCAGTAAGTCAGTGTTGGATGAATAGTATTAACAGACACCATGAATTACATCATGTACAGGCCATGCCAAATGCTAAAACAGCCATGTTGACATGACTTGTTGCACAAATACCATCAAACTTCACCACCTTTATGATGCCTGGAGGTTACATGATGTGCACCAGCCCCTGATGTAACCTAAAGACTAAAAGCACTCCGACTGCTACATTGAGAGGCAATACGGTTCAAATTCAGCATCTTCTCCTAATACTTGATGGTTAAATTAAGTCATGCCCATTATCAAGACAGGAGCATTTATATATTGGCAGTTCTTTTCTTGTGCACGTGCTTGGCATTAATCACCGATGCCAATTTTTTAAGAATGGTATAGTTTTAAAAAGCAGTAACCATCCCATATCATCCATAAAATCCATATATTGTCAACATCTGACATGGGGGCTAACTTGACAGCATCACAGTCCGATCTGGACAGGGCATCAGAAACGTGCGAGATTACCTAACATAGTATGATTATGAGTCAGTCGTTGATATTAACTAGCTAGTGATAGGGTAAAAAATATGTTTATACATTTCTACGGTTGTTCATGTCTATAATAACTAAGGCTAAAGTCGTCAGGGTAGATGGGTCCCTTGGTTGATTATTCCTTTGTTCTGTCCGATAACTAGTGCCGAACTCGCTCGCTAGCTAGCAACGTTAGCGTCGATAATGAGTCGCTAAAGATGCAGGTTTCCATTAAAAATAATAAAAATAATTGTTTTTCTTGCCGTGGTTATTTTAGAAAATAAGCGTTTACTCAAACTCAAAAGCATCTTTAAATTCACCAATTATAGAGCTGGCTTAACAAGCCGATCTCGCTCCTTTGGCGTAAACATAGCTCCGCGTAGCTTTAGCGAAGAGCTAACGCTAGCCGCTCGGTAGCTAGCCTTTATCTCAACCACATCAACGTCCAGAGTTTTGTTCACGTTACCTGCCAGTTGCTTTCGGAGAAGTAGTGCTGATTGTTCGGTCATGGTACGCGGACGTAAATGATGAAGAAAACACACTTTGTGTAGACAAACAGTCACCAAAAAATAGAGCTAAACCCAACGAGAAACGAGGACCTGCGCTGCCCGCTGCTAGCTTCCCTCTGTGTTTTGACACCAGCTTCAGCTGCTTGGTTTAATCGCATGTGCGCATGCGCAAACACAATTGTCAATGCTTTTCAAGTGTAGCGTCAACAAAGTTTCCAAATTTGTTCAAAGATTTTCAAGTCCTGGCCTGAATAACATTCTTTCCAGGTGTACAGACTGCGAAAGCCAGTGTGATTCATGGTTTCTGACGTGGTAGCCGACTTTAACGGTCATTTCTCATCAGAATGCACCACACAAGACATTTTGGGGGAAATGACTCATGTAATAGTCATGGTTTTTGCTTTCAAAGTATATTAATGATAGCTTATCATGAGAATGATATTGAAAATACTTATTTTATGAGTTTGTCAAGTTCGAATTATGAGAATCTGCAACTATATTTTATTTCACTGTAGATACTATAAAACCCAAGCAATCATAATTTCTTACCTCTACTGTTAGCATAATAATGTATTTACAGTAATACATAAAATATGTTATTACAAATAAATAATTATGTCAGCTTGTGGTGTAATTATAATTCTTATCCACTGCTACATGTATTGATGTACACAGGATGAACTGGAGGGATATGCAGAACTTTAACTTTTTCTGTAACTGTAACTGTTGCTATTCTAAATCAATGTACTTTGTGGAAAGTATGGAGGGAATTATGATATTACTGTGCTTAAAGTGACAAATGTGATTATATTTCCACAACACAACTATTTTGGCTGATACCATCGATGGAGTGGTGTCAATGTTTTACATGCAGGACATTTTACGGATTTAGTCACACTCTCTGCTCAGTTTTGACTTTTCGCAGGATTTCTGTCAGAATACAACATATCTCACCACTGAAAACATTAACATATAACATTAAAGTCTCAACGGGAATAAAAATTCTCATCTGTGTCAGCATAAAAAAACATGCAGCAATTTACAACCTAACATCCAACCAGCTATTATCGTTCCCTAATTGTGTAGCAGGGGGAACTGGAGCCTATTCCAGATACAACCTAACATAGTGTTGACAATATGTCCAAGATTATACAAAGTGAAAATATCCCACTGTTTATTTGTTTTGTTTTTTGTCATTTAAAGACAGTGAAGGGAGATGCTTTGAAAAAAAGGGGTTAGTTAAGGGGGTTTGAGGGGACTCTTTAGGTTTAAGGATTCTTTAGAGGTTAGGGTGAGGAATTATTCGGGTTTTCTGCCTCAGCGAATATATCTGGATTTAACTTTAAAGATCACAATTATTACTTGAGATCATTTTCTCACATCTGTTTACAAAATTAAAGACAGTGCTGTTACACATGGTGCTTTCAAAACTGTCGGAGAAAGGGTCACATCGTCTTTTAACTCTACGAATAAGGCAAATAATCAACCAAATAAACATTAACTTTAAACTACAATCTCAGGATGTTGAAAAATTCCAATGTAATGTGAAAATATATATGTTTTTGTAAACATGGCTGATATCTATTATCATTTCATGGTGCAGTTGTTGAAAATACGAGCCAGCTTTATGGCACAGAAAGCCAAAATCCACGGAAGGAAGTCCATTCGGCGCCATATTTAACACAACAGATGCTAGTAGGCGTTAGCTGTTTTCGTGCTGAAACTTTAAACCTGACGCAGAAATCAGTAACAGACTCTCAGAAAAAAAGAGTAAAATGAATGTAATTGATCATGTGCGGGAAATGGCGGCTGCCGGACTCCACTCCAATGTCCGGATATTGAGCAGCTTGTTGCTAACGATGAGCAATAACAACCCGTGAGTACAGCGGGGGCCGTCTATTTCATGTTGTCACCCCTTGTTGACGGTAGCCCAAATATATCTCTTCAACAACAGCCCCCTTTGTATTGCTTTTGTTGACATTTTTACCAGAAACAACCCAACTTATTGCATGATAATCATAACAAAAATAACTTATATGACAAGGTGAATGCGGTTAGTACTCTCTCCCAAGCGTTAGCCGGGTGCAGAGTACTGAAAACCACGGTGTAACCAGTTAGCCAAAAGTGATGCTGAGCAGAATAACCAATAATGATGTGGTAATGTTGCTGCTATTTTGAAATATTTTGTGTATTTTTCGCACTTTTGCGATTGCTCTATATGACATTTCGTCTTTCTTTAGTAAAGGTGCTGTTTTTCTGCTTTGTTGTGGTGTAGATTAAATGCTATGAGATATAAAAACTTTCAACAATGTTTTTATCCTGATGTCGAAAAGATTTTTTTAAAGGTGTTACTCAGTTTTAATGTGTGCTTTCAGCAGTTAGGATAGATCATTCTGGTATAGTGTGTGCAGCTGATCAATACGTGGAGTAGTTTTCACCATGTGTGGACTTGCTGTTGTGTTTTTATTAAAGGGAGTTGCTGTCTCCTGCTCAGAAGTATCAGCTGTTGGTTTACCACGCTGATGCCATTTTCCATGATAAGGAATATCGCAATGCTGCCTGCAAATATAGCATGGCTCTGCAGCAGAAGAAGGTGCTCAGCAAAACATCCAAAGTTCGCACTTCCACAGGTGGAGCCGCATCCAACATCCAGGCACAGGTTTGTGCTTTTACAGTATCTGTTAGTGGAGTGACTTAACCTGCATATTTCAAGGGTTTTCATTTGATTTAAATGTTCAGTCTCCACTTAAATGGCAATTTTCATTGATACAGTTATTTAAAACATGTTATTGCTTCATGTGTTGGACATAGTACTCATACGGTTGGACTGCCAGTTTCCATTTTTGGGGACAGAAAACTGGCACCCTAAAATCCAAAAGGTCCATCATCGGCTATCAGTAAAGCGTCAACTGTAGCAAATTATTATTTGATCATTTTTTATACAAACACCAGCTGTCACAGATAGCAGCAGCATATGGCTTAAAATAATATGTTATAGTCTCCATAGTACTAGTATCCTTTCTCTAAAATAATTTAGATTAAAACCTTTTTTAAGAAATTCCCTAAAAGATGCCCTTTACCATGTTCATTTAAAGGCTGTTATGTTGCTCTTAAAAGATAGCAGACGTTTTGATATTAAGCTTTTTCTGCTGCTCTGAACTTAGAGCCACACCATAGACGTCAAAGATGGGTTTGAATGTTCTAAACACGTCATTTTCTTCTTCTCTTTTGCCTTTTAGAGCTTGCCCTCAGAAATAGAGGTAAAATACAAGATAGCTGAATGTTACACCATTTTGAAACTGGATAAAGATGCCATTGCTGTGCTTGATGGGATCCCATCCAGACAGAGGACTCCAAAGGTTAATCCCCTGTTTTCATCCTGTCCTTTTTGCTTTTTGTATCATATATGTATGCTTGATAAATTTATGAGAGCGCTTGATGGGAAAAACAAGAAACCTGCCCATTGTTAACTTTTGTTTCCTGCTTCTGGTAAATTTTAAACTCTGTATGTGAATGTAAACTTGTCAGAGTAATGTTTTATATTCATGTCTGAATGCTAAGTAAAGACTGTAAAACGCACATTTCTGGCTTTGTATTATATTTAAGGTTCTATTATTATTCTGTTGTTGGGTACTTGCTGTATTGTTGTATTTTTTTGGCCAACAATCATATCCTCTGCATTTGCTTCTGTGGGAATCGGGGTCAGTATGATCCTGTTGTTCTTTCTTCCCTCAGATCAACATGATGCTGGCTAACCTTTACAGGAAAGCTGGCCAGGAACGCTCTGCTGTGACAAGCTACAAAGAGGTGCTCAGGCAGTGCCCTTTGGCCTTGGACGCAATAATTGGTATGCAACATTTTACCTCCCGAGAGACACTTTTACTCATGTTTATCCAAACAAGACACCATTTGCTCAGCGTGGCTTTGTGTCTAATATCAAACTGCCTCAAACATTACAACGCCCTCTGGACCTCAGTTATGTCCTACCAGTTATAAGTATTAATCAGTTGTACGACTCCACACTGGGAAAGATCAGTAGAGAGCTGTAGGGGAGTGTAATTTGAATCCAGTAAAATGCTGTTCTGGTTTAATAAATTCACCCAGACATGTTTGAGTTTGACAGGTTGTGTGAAATATTTGTAACTGTTACCCCCCCCCCCCCCCCCAAAAAAAAAGGTTTAAAGTAAAGTTTAAGAAAAAATCTGTTTTTGGATCCATAAAAAAGTATTACGTCCTTTGACAGACGGGGATCTTTAAATCAAATTCAGCAATGCAGCACTTTCCCGCTGGATTGTGTGGTCATATTTCTGCCAATTCAGGTTTTAAACAATGTCCCAACATCATTTGAATAGGGGTTTGTTCCTAAAGATCCCTCCAGTAAAGAGCTAAATCTTTTCTATGTTTGTTTTAAAGTGTTAAAATATCTCACAAATGCACTTAACTTTGTTCCCGTCGTCTCTTTTACTGAATTTATTGTAAACATGTGGCCTCACTGTTCACAAACTCTGAATCTGTAGTGGCTTTGCTATTTTGCTAAAGCTGATTGACAGTCGAGCATAAAACCATATTTTTTTCCTTCCAGGGCTTCTTTCTCTGTCGGTTAAAGGAGCTGAAGTGGCGTCCATGACGATGGATGTGATCCAGAGCATCCCAAACTTAGACTGGCTATCTGTTTGGATCAAAGCGTACGCCTTCATTCACGCTGGAGACAATCAAAGAGCCATTAACACAATTTGGTGAGCAGAGCAAAAGGATGAGCTGTGGATGGAGCGCTTCAACTTCACATGTCTGCTGACTTCTTTGCTTTTTGGGTGGGAATGCCGTTTCAGCTCCCTGGAGAAGAAATCTCTTCTGCGGGACAACGTGGACCTCCTGGTGAGCCTGGCAGATGTTTATTTTAGGGCAGGTGACACCAAAAATGCCATTCTTAAATTTGAACAAGCCCAGATGTTGGACCCTTACCTCATCAAAGGTAAGGCACAGAAAGAGCAGCAGCTGTCATTTCCTAATGTCAAATAACCCAAAGAACATAGTCTGAAGTGTGAATCAGTCTTTTTAATGCACAGCTTTTGCTTCACACACCTACAGGAATGGATGTCTATGGCTATCTGATGGCCCGAGAGGGACATCTGGAGGACGTCGAGGTCCTTGGGGGTCGATTATTTAACATATCCGACCAGCACGCTGAGCCCTGGGTGATCTCTGGGTGAGTCTCTGTTTAAATGCGACACATTCTGCCATTTTCAGCAGTTTGATTCAATGTTTGTACTTGTTTTGTTTTTTTAAGCTGATATTTTAAATGGCCGAGCAGGGTTTCTGTCTCCTACTGCGCCTCTGATTGTGTCTGTTTTTGTTCAGCTGTCACAGCTTTTACAGCAAGCGCTACTCCCGGGCCCTCTACCTGGGCGCCAAGGCCATCCAGCTCAACAGCAACAGCGTGCAGGCGCTCCTGCTGAAGGGGGCCGCGCTCAGGAACATGGGCCGCGTCCAGGAGGCCATCATCCACTTCAGAGAGGCCATGCGTCTGGCGCCCTGCCGGCTCGACTGCTACGAAGGCACGTGGGCTTTTTTTTTTTTTCCTAATCCTGCCTCCCATTGGCTCAGTGTTAACGTTTTCCATGCTGACAACAGGTCTGATCGACTGTTATCTGGCCTCCAACGGCATCCGAGAGGCCATGGGGATGGCCAACAACATCTACAAGACTCTGGGTGCCAACGCGCAGACTCTCACCATCCTGGCAACGGTGTGTCTGGAGGACCCGGTCACACAGGAGAAGGCCAAAACCCTGCTGGACAAAGCGCTGGCCCAGAGGCCCGACTACACCAAAGCTGTGGTGAAAAAGGCCGAGTTGCTCAGTGAGTACCTCTGACCCCTGACCTCTGAGCTCTCAGTGCTCCACAAGCATGTTCACGGTGTGAACCGGCTGGTTCAGATTGTGTGTGTACCCACCATGCATTGCACACTCTGGCACAGGGGTGGGCAACTCCAGGCCTCGAGGGTCGCCGTCCTGCAGCCCAAGCACACCTGATTCAGGATCAGTAGATCTCTACTGGAGGTTGTGGAGATGCTGATCTGAACCAAGTGTGTAGAGGCAGGGAAACCTCTAAACCTGCACAACGGCGGCCCATAGAGGCCGAAAGAGTCCTGCTCTCGAACAGAAAACAGAGGAGCTTCTTCTAACACAAACAGGGTGGGTGGGCTCACATTGGATAGCCCGGTTTGGCGTGACAGTTGCGACCCAGACGTTGTTCAGGCCTAAACCTTGAATTTTTCTTTCGGATCAAAACGCGGTCGCCCTCCAGCTCATCAGGGCTCCAGTCTTCCTAACGCGACCCTCGACTCTGTCCAGTGGTGTTATCAGCGTCTGGGGGCTCACAGCACAATGCGGCCTTAGCTAGCCACGCCCACTCACAAATCTGATCCGGGACACCTTGCAAGAGAAAACTCTTTTGTTCTTGTTTTTTTTGGCTTTCTCTGAATGTGTTTTCTCTCAAAGGTCGGGAGCAGAAATATGAAGAAGGCATCACTCTGCTGAGGAACGCCTTGGCCAATCAGAGCGACTGTGTGCTGCACAGGATGCTGGGAGATTTCCTGGTGGCCGTCAACGATTACCAGGAAGCCATGGACCAGTATAGCATCGCGTTAAGGTAGGCGGGGCCTAAACGAGGCCACGGACCGCATTTTTACAGCCCTTTGATCTGTCAGCCCACTGTCGTACACACTGTACAGATCATCTGCTCTGTTTAACGTCTGTACATTTATAACCTGTATATTCACACAGTTAGAGCATATTCATGGATGGACACAATTGGATTTCCTGGCTTTGTACTTGAGACAATAAAGTTGAATTCTATCATATATCTGTCATAAAACCGGATATTGAGGTTTGAACTCTGTCTTAAAGCCTGGATCCCAACGACCAGAAGTCTTTGGAGGGAATGCAGAAGATGGAGAAGGAGGAGAGCCCCACGGACGCCACCGTCGAGCTGGACGGCGACGACATGGAGGGCAGCGGCGAGGACGGCGACCTGGAGGGCAGCGACAGCGAGGCGGCCCAGTGGGCCGACCAGGAGCAGTGGTTCGGGATGCAGTGACACAGGACCAGGCCCAGTCTGTGCCTCCCTCTAACACCAGAAGCCTTCAGCCACCAGGGGGTCAGAGGGGACCACGGGGGCCCCCCGAGGCCCGAGCTGACCCCTCCACACACCGCCGGGGGGGCGGCGCCACAGCCACAGCCAGACTGGAGCCCAAACCCAGCGTCTGCTTTATTTCCAGATTCTGTCAGCAAATCATGAACCGGACTGCAACACGGGCCCCGGGTTTTTAAACGGCCGCCAGACAGAGGTCAGAAGCGCCTCCAGTTCCCTTTTTATACGAGCCGCTGAAGGTTTTTTCATCCAGGTGCAGCAGCAGTCGTGAAATCATCTCCTTTCTGTCACAGGACTCGACTAAATATGAAAGACAAGGCTATCATCAATCCCTTAAGTTGTAAAGTTTTACCAAACGATCCAATGTCAGATGTTTATATTTTGTACATATTTGAAAATGTAAAATAAAACCGTTAACGCTTTCCAGCTGAAACTTATAAACGAATCCTCATTTTTAACCTTTTCAGAGTTTGTCTGCTTTAATTAAAGGAGACTTTCTGCCATTTCTTTTAGCAGGTTTAACCAGATGTTTGATTAAAATCTTCTGGTTTAAGCACAAACGTGCCTTTGTTTTAATTGGTGGAACTCCGCCTTCTGAGTACAAACCATCCAATCAGGTCAAGCTAGAGATCTAATTGTGTCTGAAATGAGTGGATCAGGCCTTAAGGGCTCTGCAGAAGGCCCAAGAAGCCAAGCGGACCCTTTCTTCACCACTCTGGTTTGACCAATGTCTCCAAATGTTTTCATCTTCAGGAAGCTTCCAAAAAGATTTCAATTAGGAGTCATTACAGCTATTAGGAAGGCCAGAAGGCCTTCCTAATAGGTTTTAAGGAGTTTTGCCTCCTTTCAAGACCTAAAAAGTGTCCAGATTTGTGTTTTAGTGTCATTTTCCCGTTTTCTCAGAAATCATCAGTCTGAGCCACAGTGCATAAACTCCTCATGTATGACAGTTTTATTTACCTGAAACAGTTCATGTGATACGTTGTACAATCATCTGAAAATACAGTACAGCAGTTTGGCAAAACAAAATGCCAGTCGAGGGGACAGCCGCCGATCTTACAGTGAAACATCCACATCACCGCACGTCCGCCTTCCAGATGTGGCAAAATCCTCTCCGAACATGTGGAAAATCTCAGTGCAAAGTGGGGAAAATATTTATTTCTTCTTTTTTTTTTTTATGTCCCCATAAAAGTATTTCGGTAGGAAAATGAGCTTATTAGCGTTTTGTACTATCTGAGGAACGTCTAATCTACTCTACGCTGCTTATTAGAGAAGTCTGCTGGCATGCAGCAAGGAAAATGCGACCGGAGGCTCTTCATGCAGGAGGACGGTAGGACTGATGAGGTGGGACCGGCTGTTTTCCAATCAGACATTCATTTCTGGCCTCTCTGCCGCACCGGGCTTGAACCTAACGAGCCCCCCGTGGTGGCGCTCGCGCTGCGGCATGCAGCTTCCTGCACGGCGGGGCCGCCCAAAAACACACATGCACACCACAAAACAACACCCGGGGTTTCCTGCAGGAGGGCCGGGCTTACTTGGCCTTCGCTGTGAGGGGGGACACTTAACAGAAAAGAAAGAAAGAAAAGGAGGGAAACAAATCATTGAAGAGCTCAAGAGATCAAAGCCAGAGGAAAATAACAGAAAATGATGGAAAAAAAGCTCATGCTGGGACACAGTTCCAGCCCCATAGCCTGAAAACCCAAAGGGGTGTGCATGCAGTTCAAGGTGTGCTCAGTCTGCAGGTGGAGGAGGGAAACAGGAAGCTGGCGCTGTCAGCGGGCATGCAGGAAGGCGGCGGCTGGGCCTGAAGAAGCTGCGGACGCACAGAACATCCCGACAGCCACGTATAAACACTTAGACTCTACTTTTCTGTGCTATGTACACATTTACAAAGCAGCTGTTCGCGTTTGTGCTCCGTTGGTAAGTCGAAACAGCTTCCTGGTGCCTTTTTTTTTCTTTTCTTTTGTTGGTTTTGTTTTCTTACATATTCAAGTACAGTATGTGCACATTTTTACATACATTACAAAGGAAGGCGTTTCTAAGATGGAAAAAAAAAAATCGAGAATAAAAACGGAATATTTGAACTAAAAATCAAAGCGCTCTTCAAGTACAGAATTTTAACAACAGGCTGTATCAAAAAATTGCTCAAACTGGTGAGTATTTGTCCTCTCTACCCTCAAATAACAGAGGTTCTGTTTAAAAAAAAAAACATAAAAATGTGTGTGTTGGTGGAGGTTCTCAGTCATCCAGGGGAGGGTGATCCTGAGAGCTGGAATGATAGCAGCCAGCTTTAGTCTCTACTCTGAAAGATTCTAAACCAGATTTTGGTGGGGTCAGAGGGGGTCAGGCTATAAGCACAGAGGCCTGATACAGTCGTGTGTCGAACTATAACCCGAGCATAATTTCCTTCCTCTAAACCAAACAGAAATCCAAACGCTGCATAAACTTGTTGTGAAAGAGCCGGCTGAATTTTGGGCTCTGGGTGTGCTTCTTCTTGTCCTCTTTTCAGCTCTTTCCCTCTACGATCAGGTGCTTTTAGCTGATGGAACCCCCCCCCCCAAACAAGTGGGGTTTAAGTGGAAAAGGGTGCAGTTAAACTGGGAAAGTGTCTCTAAAGAAGACGCTGTTCGGGCATCACTCTGCTGGGGTTTCTGCTTATTCTCTGAGCTTTTTTCCCTCCTGTTTGGGGCACTTCAGGTGGTTTAATCCACAGTCTGAGTCCTCCAAACTGTCCTGGGCTGAAAGCTCCCTTAGAGGACTTCCTGTTTTGCCCCTGTCTGAGGGGACTGTCTGAGACCCGGGCGTAAACGCAAAGCTCCAGAAAGGAGTCGGCCGCTCTGGGAATGTCTTTAGGAGAAGGAGTTTGAGGACAGGGAAGTTAGATAACTTGGGAGAACTCCACTTGGTTTAAAGAGGTGCCTGTGTGTGTGTGTGTGTGTGTGTGTGTGCCATAGTAAGACCTTACAAAGAGACAAGTCTAAGTTAGACCCTGGTTAGAACGTTTTTCTTCCTGGTGCAAAGGTGCAAAAACCAAATGGAAAACAACCAAAAAATAGACTTTAATGAAAAGGTTGATCTGGGGAAGCTGTTTGTGAATGGAGGAGGGGTCACAGGAGACCCTCCCAGCAGCTCAATCGTTTTTCCACCATTAACACCCTCTCAGATTGGAACCTGTTCAGTCTAGAGGGACACCTGTGACGGCTTTTTCTGCTCATAAGCAGCCCCCATGTGGCCGCACTCTGAAAACAACCAGATAAGAAACCATGCCAGGAGCTCAAAAGGGACAAACGCCAGGGGATCTCCGCCCTCGACCCGGTGACGCGCCGGGGTCATCGAGCCCCAGGCCGCCCGAAGCAAAACAATACAAAACATTAATATTATAAAATAGTGAGACTTCTCTGTACAGCTGAACACACACGGCTCCAACATGTCTCTAACTGCTCACCATGAGCCACAGAGCTAGGAGGCGTGCCGGTTAAATAATACTCTAAGATGTCAAATCGGTAAGAAAATATGACTAAACCTCCCACCCCACCCAAAAATATACTTCAGTGAACATGTAAATGCAACAGATCCGATTAATCCGAGTTAATGTAACCGTGTTAGACGTGTGTGTGTGTGTGTGTGTGTGTGTGTTAATGTCCACTCCACACGGGTGCTCGAGGGGGTTGGGGGCGTGCTGGGGTCAGTCAGGGCCACAACATGGTGGACACGTTAGTGTCGGTGCTGTAGATCCACAGCACCAGGGGCAGGGAGACGGCCACGAAGGGCCAGGAGATGCCCTCGGCACATGCAGATAGGGAGCAGCCCCTGGGGGCCGGCTTCTCCAGCTGGTTACCGAATTCCAAGTAGTTCCTGGCAAAGAACTTGAGCGCCTCGTCCAGGAGGATGACGGGCAGGGACATCTTCAGCACCATCATCCACTGGGTGGTGTCCAGAGGGGTGATCTGGAAGATGACCTGGGGGGAAAAAGGGGCAGTTAACCAGCAGCCAGCTGAGAAAGAGACTCCTGGAACGCCTCCGGAGAAACCTCAGACCTAGAATCCTTCTACGGGCTACAGAAAATCCTTTTTTCCTCTATAACTCCTCTGGGAACTACACCGCATAATATTTTTGGCTTTTTGGGACTTGTGTTCTTATAAACATCTACAAAATCTTTGTATTCTGAAGTGCAATATGCCTTACTGTCCTTTTTACCACAGCTTTACTTGTATTTAAGGGCTTGTGGAATAACCACCAGCCACTTAACACTTTGTGTCATTCAGTGCAGAGCAGGAGCACAAAGGTTAGGCCTATTTGGTCTCATTTTAGTTGTTTTGTATTCAACTTTTAATCTTTATTGTCATTTGCTTTCTTATTAAACTGCAATTAGAGTTATTTCCACCTGGATAATAAATAAAAAAAACATTTTGGCTCCATGTAAGCTCGTTAACTATCTGTAATGACGGCTTGTGGCCACTAGAGGGCGCATAGCTTCACAAATCTGCTAAAACTCCCTTTTTTGTGTTTCAAGAGGGAAGTTTTGAGTGGTTTTTTTGGACAATTAAAACTTTTGTGGAACTCACAGGGAGGGGTTCCACGTAGAGGATGAGGAAGTGGAGTGACATGGAGAGGCAGATGGCCCCCAGCAGCCACACGTTGTCCCACGGGGGCATCCTCAGGAGCGACTGGTTCTCCGACAGGCTGAGCGGGAAAAAGGACACCGGTCGCACCGTCAGCTCCGCCTTGGACGTCAAGTGTTGCCTTCGTGAGGAGCCCCCCTTATTCACCTGTTCAGAGCGTTGCACATCTCGATGGTGACGAGCACGGACAGCGCCATGGTCATCGGATAGGGCGACTCGAAGACGTGGCAGTCCAAGCCGTCGAACTCTGGGTTGTCTGGGCTGCACTGCAGGAAGTGGCTCTGTGAGGAGAAGGGGGGGTGGGGGGGTTAACTAAAAGACTAAAAGGTGCCAATCGGGCAATTTAAATGCAAAGCAAACACTTCTTATCATATTTAAATAGTTTAAAGTTATGGTAATAAATGTTGAATAGATTTTTTTGCCCCCCTGAGACTCACCAGCTGGTACAGAGTGAGCTGGGGCCCGTCCTCTGAGACCGTGAACCACCAGGCGGCGGCCCCCACCGTGGCAGCCCCCACGTACCCTGAACGCACCCAAACCCAAACGTCAGCATATGCGCGGTAAACACCGATTCAGCCGACCCGCGGCCCTCCGCCAGCTCACCTCCGATGGCCAGGTATCTGAAGAAGAGCCAGCCGGAGATCAGGGGCTCCTTGGCGTTGCGGGGGGGCTTCTCCATGATGTCCAGGTCGGGGGGGTTGAAGCCCAGGGCGGTGGCGGGCAGCCCGTCCGTCACCAGGTTGACCCAGAGCAGCTGGACCGGGATCAGGGCCTCGGGGAAGCCCAGAGCGGCGGTGAGGAAGATGCTGTCGGGAGGAGGAAGGTCAGAGGTCAAGCCGGCAGCGGCGGGAGGGGGGGCGGGTCGTCTCCGGCCCCCAGACTCACCAGACCACCTCGCCCACGTTGGAGGAGATGAGGTAGCGGATGAACTGCTTCATGTTGTTGTAGATGGCTCGGCCCTCCTCCACCGCCGCCACGATGGAGGAGAAGTTGTCGTCGGCCAGGACCATCTCCGAGGCCGACTTGGCCACGGCGGTGCCGGAGCCCATGGCGATGCCAATCTCGGCCTTCTTCAGAGCCGGGGCGTCGTTCACGCCGTCTCCCGTCTGCAGACACACCCGAATTTTAGACCCAGAAGAGACCAGCAAAGACCAGTAGAAACCAACAGAGACCAGAAGAGACAGATATAGACTAGCAAAGACAAACAGAGACCAGCAGAGACCAGAAGAGACTAACAGAGACCAGCAAAGACAAAGAGATACCAGAAAGACCAGCAGAGACCAGAAGAGACCAGCAGAGACAAGAAGAGACAAACAAGGACCAGAATAGAAAAACAGAGACCAGAAGAGAAAAACAGAGAGCAGAAAAGATAAACAGAGACCAGCAGAAACCAGAAAAAGACCAGAAGAGTCCAGCAGAGACCAGAAGAGACAGAGACTAGCAAAGACAAACAGAGACCAGCAGAGAAAAGCAGAGATCAGCAGAGACCAGCAGATACAAAGAGAGACCAGCAGAGACCAGAATAGACAAGGAGACTCCAGCAGAGTCCAGCAGAGTCCAGCAGGCCACGCCGCCACGCTTACCATGGCGGTGATCTCGTCAAATCCCTGCAGGAACTCCACGATCTTGGACTTGTGGGAGGGCTCCACGCGGGCGAAGCAGCGGGCGTGCGTCACGGCATCCCGCTGGGCGGCGGGCGCCAACTCGTCGAACTCGCGTCCGGTGAAGGCCATGCGCTCCACGTCGTCGTCCTCGGCCAGGATGCCGATGCGCCGGCAGATGGCCACGGCGGTGCCCTTGTTGTCCCCCGTGATCATGATGACCCGGATGCCGGCCTGGTGGCACAGCTTGATGGAGGCCGCCACCTCCTGCCGGGGGGGGTCCAGCATGCCCACGCAGCCCACAAAGGTCAGGTCGGCCTGGACAGGACAAAGATTTTAGACACGCGGTCCGGTAAGGTCAACCTGATCAGGTGAAAACACCCCTAACTCACCTCGTACTCTGCGAACCTGACCGGGTCGGACAGAACCATGTCCTCCATCCTGGGGGGGCTGTCCCGGGTGGCCAGGGCCAGACACCTCAGGGTGTCCCGGCCCGTCCCGTACTCGCGGATCACAGACGTGATCTTCTCCTTGATGCCGTGGGTGAGGGGAACTTTGCTGTTGCCCACTCTGACGTGGGTGCACCTGTCGATGACACCCTCCGGCGCCCCCTGTGAGCCGGAGAAACCACACCGTTACTGGCCACCTCACTGGTCACCCCTCTGACCACCCCACTGGTCAGCCTTCTGGCCCCCAACTGGCCATTCCTCTGTTCATTCTACTGGCCACCCCTTGTCCCCCCCACTGGTCAGCCTTCTGGCCCCCAACTGGCCACCCCTCTGACCGTCCCCATTGGTCACCCCACTGGCCACCCCACTTGTCCCCCCTCTGGCCCCCCCCTGGTCCCCCCCTCTGACCACCCCACTGGACTCCCTCTGACCACCCCACTGGCCACTCCTCTCATCCCCCCACTGGTCAGCCTTCTGGCCCCCGACTGGCCACCCCTCTGACCACCAAACTGGCCACCCCTCTTGTCCCCCTACTGGTCATCCCACTGGTCAGCCTTCTGGCTCCCAACTGGCCACCCCTCCGACCACCTCACTGGCCACCCACCACTGGACACCCCTCCGGCCGCCCCTCTGGTCAGCCCTCTGGTCGCCCCTCTGCCCCTGAGCGTACCTTGACAAACATCTTGCCCACAGAGGAGCGGGACTTGTTTGGGGAGCAGTAGACGGACATGGACTTCCTGTCTCTGGAGAACTCCAGCGTGCACTCCTTCCTCATCAGCTGTTTGATCACCTGATGGGGCAAAAAGCCAGAGTCAGCCAGAAATCCTGCTGAGCGCGATCGGCGGCCGGCAGCGGTCACTCACCGAGTTGCAGGCGTTGGCTCTGTCGATCTTGGACAGGCTGTGGACTTCGGTGTCGAACACGTTCATCTTCTCCACCAGGCAGGTCAGCGCCGTCTCGGTGGCCTCGCCCACCTTCTCGTACACGCCCTTCGCCTGGGGGCCCAAAACACGGACGTTCAGTAGCCGGTCCGAGCCGACGGGATGGACTCCCGTTGCCGCGGCGATCCGTGCCTGCAGACCTCGTTGAAGTCCAGCGAGGAGTCGTTGCACAGGGCGCAGATGGTGGCCAGCTCCACCAGCGCGTCGAACTGGGAGCTCCTCACCTGCTGGCCGTCCTGGTACCTGAGGAGAAGCACGGCTGATGAATCGGGGCGACTGCTGCACCGTTAACCCTCCCAGAGGCCTTTGGCGAGTACTCACACTTCCCCCTCGGGAGCGTAGGTCGAACCGGTGATGTTGAACTCGGACAGAGAGCAGCTGTCACCCTCAGCTTTGTTGACGACGAACATCTGGGGATGAAAGAGAAAAAAAAAAAAGACTCAATAAACCAAACAAACGCACAGATTTTTGCCTCCAGTGACACAGATGTGATCCGATTTTGAGATTCTTTTCTGCTTCCAGCTCAGAGTTTTTACGTGGTACATTTAGGTGCTAAAGGAAAGCTGGGACATCTGGGTATTAATCCAGTCTGCTTTTATGGGGATCGGAACAGTTTATCAGTCCCTGATTATATACATATGTGATTATATACTTGGAATAATAATTCTGATTATATAGGTAAATTATTAGAATGATAAATATAATTTTATATGATTTGCAGATTAAGATGCTAAACGTTAATTCAGTCCTGTATGCATTAAGATGTTTAAAATGAACCCCAGCTGGAAGGCGAACTGGTTCTTTTCAGCCAATCAGAGCAAGATGATGCTATGGGGGAGGGGGGGGTATAATGTAGACTTTCTTAGGGGAGGACAAGTTCAATCTTTATGTTTTGAACTGTGTACTCTCCATCTGACACTTTCCTGAGCCAACAGGGGGCAGCGCAAAGTGCCCAAACCAATCCATCAATCCCAGAGAGGAAGCAGCTCCTTGAAGGCACCAGGAAGCCCTCAGAGTGACAAAGTGGGCCTCTGAAGGGGCCCGGCCGGGTGGCCCGATGCCTAATGCTTCAAAAAACAGCTTATCATGGCTGTGGATCATCTGTACACAACTGTTATATTTCTATTTGTAGCCAGCAGGTCATTTTGTATGATTTATTTAATGAATATTTGCACAGGAAGCACTTTTTTTTAATTTATTTATTTTTTAAAGATTTTGTTGGCTCTAGTGGCCTTTAATGACAGTAGCTTGACAGGAAAGGGGGCAGAGACAGAGAGGGGGAGACCTGCGGGAAAGGGCCATGGAATCGAACCCAGGACACCCGCTTGCGAGCAGAGGCTCTGCATATGGGCCGCCCGCTATAGCCATTAGGCTACGCTGCGGCCCACACAGGAAGCACATTTTAAATGAATTAATGCAGCTAGTTTTCTCTCATTTGGCAAATTAAATCCCCTTACAGCCCAAAGACAGGTGCCATAGAAACAGTGTGATTAGAAAAAATAAATAATTCAGGATGAACCTTTAGTAGCACCGAGCTGCCACTCAGAGGCTCAACAGATAAAGAGAAACAACAGGCTGTGAGTCACCCAGGAGCTCGCTGTGGATCAGAGGAGCAGCAGCATGTCGCGCCCCCCCCCCCCCCCCCCCCCCTCCTCCCAGTGGGGGACTCACCCGGCAGACGGACATCTGGTTGGTGGTCAGGGTGCCCGTTTTGTCCGAGCAGATGACGGAGGTGCAGCCCAGCGTCTCCACGGAGGGCAGGCTGCGCACGATGGCGTTCTTCTTGGCCATCCGGCGGGTGCCCAGGGCCAGGCAGGTGGTGATGACCGCCGGGAGGCCCTCGGGGATGGCGGCCACCGCCAGCGCCACGGCGATCTTGAAGTAGTAGACGGCGCCGCGGATCCAGGAGCCCCCGTGCACGGGGTCGTTGAAGTGGCCGATGTTGATGATCCACACGGCCACGCAGATGATGGAGATGACCTTGGACAGCTGCTGGCCGAACTCGTCCAGCTTTTGCTGCAGGGGCGTCTTCTCCTGCTCCGTGGCCGCCATCTCATCCCGGATCTTACCGATCTCGGTGTTCACGCCGCTGGCCACCACCACGCCCACCGCCTTCCCCGCCGCGATGTTGGTGCCCTGAAACGGCAACAGGCGCACGGGTCGGCTCAAACAGGCACAAGAGAAGAAGAAGAAGAGGAAGCGGGGAAGGTGATCATGCGGCAGCTTACAGAGAACAGCATGTTCTTCTTGTCCTGGTTGACAGCTCGAGGGTCGGGAACGGGGTCGGTGTGTTTGATGACGGACACAGATTCACCTTCGAAAACAAAACAGGGTTCAAACTTAGGACCTCTCAGTCTGAATCCACCTTTAATTATTATTTTGTTTCTAAACAGCAGCTCAAATAAGAGCGAGGAAACAGAGAGAACTGACAGCCTTCTGAGGATAAAGTGCCTATGTTTCACATCTCAAAAGACGTTTTTTTTTGTTACCTGTCAGTATAGACTGGTCCACCCTCAGAGTCGTTGACTTGATTGAGCAGATGCGGATGTCAGCAGGCACTTTGTCTCCAACTACAAGCGAACACATCGGCAATTAGAGAAAAGACAGAGCCAGAAAAAGAGAGAACAGCCTCACCTGGAGCCGGTTCCTAATTAAATCTGTGACAGGGCCCTCGTTTTGAGTGTTTTTACAATGTCCAAATGGTCTTTTCCACCCTGTGAGCAGCAGCCTGCTGACAGGGGAGAGTTGTGTGATGTCATAGGGTGCTGTTTGTGTGATTAAACGCATGAGATGTTGTTTGTTTTCTGCAAAGTGAGCTGATGCAGCACAGCCTATCAGAAGGAGCGAGAAGACGGGCCGGGGAAAGAGGCCAGAGACGGCCTGTCTCCAGGGAACAAGCCAGCAGAACCACCGTGACCCACTTCGGTCTCATAAGCGCACACAAAGCGGGTGGAAACTGGGGAAATGGCGCAGGGCGACGGCACAGTTCCCGCCGGCGCCGGCCACATTTAGGCTCGCCTAGTTAAATATGTAAAGTGTGTCAAAACAATGCGAAAGACCGAAGAGTCCAGGAAACCGCGCCGGCTCGGCTAATATCGAAGAATTCATCCCTAAAGCGGAGCCGAAATCAGAGCTCTACACAGAAGAAATGATCTGCCGCCCCGGGCCCATCTGGCAGAGACCGGCACCACAATCCAACACCAGCCGTGCCCTTGAGGAAGGGAGGGGAAAACTGTAGTGGAACCAACTATGTGGGAAGCCAAAAATGGAAAAAGTGCTTGGATACGTTGACCGGTTGGCTTATCAGCTTTGCAGGATGGCAGCTGCTTCCTCATCGCTGACACAAGGAGAAGAAACCAGAGGACACTGGCATACATGTACTCATAGTATTGCTATTTTTTTCAATTCTTTTATTTCTCCAAAATACCATTTCCACCCTTTATTTAACAAACAAATGCATAGACCAAGTCAAATAGACACGACTCCCTGAGACTTGCAGGGGCTCTAAACCGAGATATCAGCAAACACTTCATGTTCCTCCTCTTCTCTGCAGAACTGATGGGAAGAAGTTGGCAGAGGACTGATGTTTGGTTAGCGGCTGCCTGGTGGCAGAGATAAATCAATATTTACCCACTGCTGATCGGGTTTAACGACTCCGTGCTGTATTCCCGTCACAAACGCAAAACTGTCAGCTGACTCTTAAAGCCCCCCCCACCTATGAACCCAGTCATGCCAGCACCATGTCTACACTGCCTTCTCTGTCACCATGGAGAAGAAAGTCGTCCCAACACACACATCAGATCCTAGAAGTTGTACGCTCAGCGTTTTTGATGATATCTGGGAATAAGATTAGTGTTGAATCTAACATGTTACATGCCACTAAACACCACAAATCTGGACTTTATATCGATGAAAATACAACCAACACAAAACATGATTAATGAAGAGAAGAGGCAGCCAGGTGCTGCTGACCAAATACATGTTTTTTCTTTTTTTTCTGGTCTGGAGCCATTATGCCAAAGAGGAAAAACACCAGCAAGGATCTTAGAGAAGCAACTGTTGGTGCCCATCTATATGAAGGGTTAGAAGGTCATCTCCAAACTATTTCCAGCGTCCAGCGTTCTACAGAAAGAAAGACTATTCACATAGTGGGAAAACCTTCTGGAGAGCTGTCACTCCATCAAGGAGTCGGGTCAAAAACCCAAAAGCTGCCTCTCAGGCTTCACAGGCCCCCGTTAAAGGTCAAAGGTTATTATAGCACGGTTAGAAAAAGACTGAGCTTGTTTTGTTTGCGCGGTGGCAGAAAAGCTCTTCCCTGGAAAAAAAGAACATGGCGGGTGGCACGGTTCAGGTTTGAAAAACTGCATCAGAAACCAAACACAAACACCTCATAGCAGGTGGCAGCACGGTGGGGGAGGGATGATGATTTGGGTCGCAGGAGCTGCAGCCATGAGCGTTTTTTCCCAACAGATTAGGAAAGTACTGGGTTTGTAGTCGAATGAAATGTCCTTCATCTCCAAATAAAACAGATGAAAAGCCAGAGTGGGTTTTAAAGACAAAGGTGTAGAACTTAGCTCGCCTTCAAACAGCTGTGAAGCTCCATACAAATGGTTCTTGATAGCAATAAAAATTAATAGGAAAATAAAGCTGCATGTCGATGCAGGATTTGTTCCTTCTGCAGGGCGCTGTCTGTCGTATCTTTCAGCAAAAGGTTAAAATGCCGCATCGTGAGCAGCCTGGGATGATTAGAGGTTGAAAAAAAACAGAAACTGATTGCTCGATTTCCATGTAAGTTTATGTAAATCCAGTGTTCTAAGGAGGAGTGAATGCGACCATCTTTGGTAGAAAGTGCTGGTGAATGAGGCTGAGGGGATGGCCTGCCGCCTGTCCTGGAAAACTCAGCTGCAATTTGCAAAATAAACCCCCTGGTAGAGCTACAGTTTTATTTGCTCTACATAATCCTTTATGTTTCCTCTGTGTTCATTTAGCATTTTAAAGATTTGAGATCATTTTGTAAAGGCAGTTGGTTAACAAGAAGAAAAGGCGGCGTTTGAATGGTCCCGAGTCTTTAAACAATGTAAAGCGTGGCGGCATCCAACTATCAAGATGAAGTCTGCATATCGATTGGAGCCTTTACGACCTGTTAAGCGGGGACACGTGCTAACAGCATTTCAGAAGTGCACATTCCTCTCATGTCTCAAGTTCAAGCATGTGGCCGGTGGCTCCTCTCTGCAGCGTTCCCAGGCCTCCGCCCGACATCCCAACCAGCCGGGCGGCATAGCTCGGATACACGGCGCAGAGCTAACAGGGCCGGGGCAGAGGGGCTGAGTGGAGGATCTCAATGAATCAAGATGCCTGATCGTTAACACCGACGCCGGACGTTTGGGCCTTTTTGCGCCTCGCTAAAACTGAATTTCTCCGCTGATCGCTGCCTGTCACCTGTCAGCTGGCTTTTCCGAGGCCAGAAAGTGGCTGATTCTCTCCGTCTTGCTGACAAGCCAGAAGCCTTTTGCTAACAGACAGCCCCTCGGTGTCGGCCGACGCTTGCCAGAGCACATTAAAGGCCACATACTATCCATGGTGTCTGGAATCTCAGTGGTGGGCGCGGGTGCTGGTGGGCAGGGTGGCTGTGCAGAGCACGGTGGGCTGGGACGGTTATCGGCCGAACACTTCCCTATAAGGTCATCCATCTCTGCTACAAAGGAGCAAATGAGCAACACCACCCCTCCCTCTCCCCCCAGTCACTGCCCAACTCCCCAACCTATAAACCAACAGAGCTCCTCTGCTCTGAGAAAACACCCAAATCTGCGAGTACTGAACACCAAACTGAAAGAAAACAGACTTAAATTCAACCAGAGAACTCTGTTATCCCGTGTTGTGAATCCCTGCCTCTTTTAGGGTGAGTTAGGCTCCCTTTCAGTTGATGCTGTTAGTAAACACCGGTCAATCAGTAAATAGATCCTTATCTAAATGATGGTAAATGCAGGATGAGCTCTCAGATTAAACTGACTTATTCCCTCTCAGGTCTATCCTTCAAATAGATGAAAACGTCTGCATAAAGGCCCGCTTCCTATTTCCAAAGATCGGAGAAATGCATTAGAAAAGATGTTACCACGACTTTAAACACAAATGGAAGACATTTTTGATCAGATTTGAGCAGAAAGCATCAGTGGGCCAGAGGCCTGACGAGAGCTGCAGCCACAGAGGGATCCTCTCTGTGTCCTCTATCTCTGCCCGCATCTGCGTCACCGCTGTCCTCCTCTGCATGGCAAACGTCACTTTGAAGCTTGGGAGGGGAATTATTATTCATAAACAGCCGGGCATTGTCAAGAGACACTTGGAGGATTTGGGAAGCGAGCGGAGCCGATGAGCTCGCTCTGACTGCGGGATATAACCTGCATTTTTGCTCTTTTAAGTCGGCTTCCTGCTGCTGACTGCGAGGTTTTAGCAAGAAAAAAAAAAGGGGGGGGGGGGGCACGTCTGACTCACTGGTTTCTCTTTCAACCTGAACCAAAAGCTAAAGCTCTCTATGATGTGCAAAACAAGACGAAAGCGTGCGTAGACACTTGAAAGGCAGTAGCTGTTAGCTGCTCTCACATCCCCGCCTCACTCGTCCTTGGGAAGGTTATCCAGGAATCCCACTGTAGTCATGCTCCCCTGAGCTGGCGGGGGGGGGGGGGGACCAGACACCTGTCATCTGAACGATCGTCAGTACCTCTATAAATACGGTGTTCCATAAGCTGTCGGCCCATGCGAGCTAAAAATAAACCCGCAACTATGCGCAGAAAATCTATGCATCACTTCTGTGGCTCAGGGGTCAAACCGAGTGCCAAGATAACGCAAGTGTTTCAAGGACTCCGGCATTCCTCAACACGCCAGTTTCCGTTCATCCCTCTGCAGAATTATATAAGTGAGTGACTTGATGGGGTGGTGGGGGGGTTGTATAACATCAAAGCTTAACATCCTGAGACTTTCAGCAGATAAAACGGACCTGAAAAGACGCAAAAAACCCAGGAGGAACGAGCATGTGCACGCTGATGTAAGAGGGCCTTAATAGAGGTCCCACCCTCCCCTCAGAGACCAGGGGTTAATAAGAACTTCTGAAAATACTCTGCTCTGCCAGGCTGAGTCACCCCTGCGGCGCTCTTCGGGATGTGGGCGGGGCTAAATGTGCGCTCAAAGGGAGCCATGACCGCACCTGTGCCGGTTCGAGCCGGCCTGCTACCTGAGGCAGGGGTCCCAAAACAGAAAAGCCTTTCACCTCCAAACAAAAGTGGCCTTTAAACCAGCCAGCGGGGCGTTAAAATGCTGATTTTCCCCGCTAATTCAAAGATTTGCTCCAGATTTGCTCATGTGATGTCAGGATGAAGCGCCTGCTACCTACCAGCCACCTCCACGATGTCGCCGGGCACGATGTCCCGGGCTTTTATTCTCTGCACGGTTTTCCTGTCCTGCCGGTACACCTTCCCCATCTCCGGCTCGTACTCCTTCAGCGCCTCGATGGCGTCCTCGGCATTGCGTTCCTGGGAAGCAGAACCGGCATTTTTGGACCTCTCTCAAAGCATTTGTGGTCACATTAAACTCTTTAGTTTCAGGTTCAAGTGGAATGGAGATGAGGGCCGAACAGACGGGGAATAAAATAAAAAAAAGCCACAGTTTTTCATTTAAAAGGACGCCCACTTTGAGACAAAAATAACTAGCAGGACAGCTACTGTAAAGTCTAACCGATGTTCAAAAGCGCTGTGGACCGTGAGCCAACGGCTGTGTTTCAGGCTTTTTTAGTCTTTTTTAGATTTTAAACGCTGGCAAAACGGAAGCTCATATTAATGTCAACTTTGGGGGTGGACAATTCCAGATTTTAGATGTTTCTCTGCCTCACACCCCTGATTCTGATGAAATGGATCTCACAGGCCTGGTAATGGCTCACTGGTGTGAATCGGGTGTGTTGAGGCAACAAAGTTGAATTTGTTTGATTTTCTCCACCTGATTATCTGTGTCTTTCATCAGTCTGAAAGCTTTGGGTTAATAGACCGGTTTTCTGAGAATTTAAACACATTCGAACACCGATTAGGTTTATTTTTGGTATGGTGACATCAGCAAAACCAGAGAAAACCTAGTTTTCTGCTGAATATCCAGACAGCTGCTCACCTGCCAAACCCCAACGATGGCGTTGGCGATGAGGATGAGCAGAATTACGAAAGGCTCCACAAATGCCGTGATGGTTTCTTCTCCCTCCTCAAACCAGGCCAGAACCTGAGGGGAACGCACAAAAAGGACAATTAAAGGACAAAAAAATAAAAGTCTTAGAACTTATGACTCTTCAGATCAACACCAGAGAGTTGAGGAAGGAGCTTTCAGCAGGTTTTTAAAGTCAGACTTTGTGTTCTGTGGAAGAAAGAAAGAAGCTAAAGGTTTAAGTCAACACAATTGTGTTTCAAATTCCCCTCTGATCACATTAGAGCTTCAATCTCCATCATTACCAACATGCTTACAACTTAACTAACCGACAACCAACCGTTAACCAGTATTAGTTCATGTGTAGCATTCACTGTCTGGAAATATATGCAATTATTGTTCCAACACTGGGGATTGCAATGAAGTTTTATGGGCTTCAAGGCAACAACAGAAAAAGATATTCAAACAGTAAAGAAATAAAACTAGATGCAAGGAAGGAAAAGTTTGAAATAAAGAAGCTCTTTAAACCCATTTGTGTCTAATCTGGTTAATTTTGTGTTCTGGCATAAATGTAAAAAAAAAAGAAGAAAAAACTTGCTCTAAATTTACTTTGTGCGTCACAAGCAATTAAGTCAAACAACCCCTAATGTAATAAAACAATCTGACTATGTCCTGAAGGCCGGAGATGTTCAGAAAGACACGGTGGAACAAACAACTCTTTCACTCCAGTAATCCCAATGATCTCCTTTATTGATCCTTGGGTTATAGATACCATCTCGAACAGAGCTCCGGTAATGACTAACGGAGGTGATCAGTTATCCAAACACTTAGCAACATGTTCTCCAGCCTCTAATCCACTCAGTGGCTAGAACAAGCTACAGATAAAATGACCACTCTGACCACTTATCTCATAAAACGCCTAATTTTCAAAACCCTTGTGCATTCTTACCCCAAAAACGTATTTTTAAAAAAAAGATCTCCCTTGTTTTATAAGAGCCTGTTTTAGGGGATTGAAAGGGATTTTGGAGATCTTTTGTTGGCTTTGCGTTATAACTGTAGTAAATTAACTTTGGAGGTGTGCTCCAGTGCCATGGAGAGCCCTCCCACAGAGGGATGAGGGCCCAAATTTGGTCTGAAGTGGTGCTCTGTTCCACTGTCAGACACCAGCCTCTAACACCTCTGTATCACCTGACCGCGCACGGCACAGACTCCTATAACCTTCTGCCTTCTGTTCACCGAGAAGGCAGAGTGAAAATTAAATATTGGAGGAATGAATCATACCACGTCAATTTGGAAGTTAAATTTAAACAAAAAGTGTTCAAAAGACGCTTCCCTGTCCAGCTAAGTCGCCGCGCGTAACGATGGAGCGCTGGTGCGTGCGCCTGGCACGAAAAGCCAACTCAGAGGTCTTAATGCTCGGTGGCGCGAGGTGACAGCAACTCAATGCCGCTAGTGCTGTTGTCACCATTCCTCAGATGAGTCCTCAGCCCTCTCAGCAGTTCAGCTGCCTCCTGAGTGAGTGTAACCTCAGCCTCATCACATAAAGTGAAGACGTTCGCACCTCGGCGCCGCGCGAGGCATCAAATGTCGGGCCACTGGGCACATTATCCAGCTGATTACAGCCTCCTCCGAATCTAACAAGAAAATGTACCCAAAATAGATATACAGAAAAACAACAAAACCAATTTAGGGCGAGGGGGGGTTAACCCCCGAAAAGCCGCGTTGGTGCAACATGGGTTCAGGTTTCAGACTTACGAACGATATGCAGGCTGCCAGCAGGAGAATTCGAACAAGTAAATCTTCAAATTGTTCGAGGACGAGCTCCCATAAAGATTTCCCTGCAGGCATGAAGAGGTGGGGGACATAGTGAGAGGGCCATTCATCACAGAAACTTATCAACAACAATGTCGGAGGCAGCGGTGGTTACCTTCCTCTGCCGGCAGCTCTGGGGGTGTGCGGCGAGTCCAGGGGGCAAGCAGCCGACAGGGGGAGGGGGGGGAGAGGGAACAGAGGGTTAGCGGAGGCTGGATGCTGAAAGTTTCTTACCTTAATCGCGCCTCTCGGTTCTCATTTCTCAAGAGAGGAACTGATTATTTCCTCCGTCTGCTCCAGCGCTAAATAAGCATGATTACATGCGGGAAGTGGCCTGTTTGGGCATTCATTTTTGCACTTTTCTTTGAGTTAATTTCACATTACGTTCAAGCTTGGAGCTCTGCAGGTTTTAAAGTAAGGGGTGTAAACCCCAAACGCCCCATCCGGCAAGCAGATGTGGAAATCTGACAGCTGAGGTGAACTTTGACTGTCCGGCGGCCGCCGCCGGGCCGGTGTTGCCGCGCACAGCCGTGACTTTTGGGCAATAAGGACCCACTGGCTACTGAGTAACAGACCAAAGACGGGAAACCCTGATGACGTCAACCAGACCGCTTAAAGAGCCGGGCATCACCGTCCGGCCGCCCGGACCCGGTGACTTTTACCCCACATAGCGTTACGCGTTACGCGTGCCGCGCACCGGTCTCCGGGGGTCTGCAGCGGGGGGTTAGTGTCGTACCGTTTAGGCCCCATTTCTCCCGCTGGCGCTTCACCTCGTCCAGGGAAAGTCCTGTGCTCTCGTTGACGCAGAAATGGCCGTAAACTTCTTCCACACTCTTGGTGTGAGCGTTCTCCATGGCGGGCGGACGGACGTGCTCCTTCCCGCACAGCTTCAGCCGAAAAGGTGAGCCCGGAACGAGCACCGTCTTAGGATGGACTACGTTGTCCCCCCCCCCCACCCCCCTTCTGGACCCTGTTTGAGATATTCTTCACAAGAATGACGGGTTGTTGTTTGTTTTGTTTGTTTGTTTTTCCTCCAGGAGAGCCAAATTCCTCTGTCCTGTCCGGGTTGGGGGGTTAGTCTGTGCGGCCGCTTGTGTCCGAAAATGGTGGAAGGTGTCCTGCGGCAGAGTCCGGTGTGGTGCTCCGCATTGGTGTCCGGCCGTCCTTCCCTGTGCTCCCCCTGCTTTAGCCCGGCTCACGGTGGCGCAGCTCCCTGTGGCTCCGCACGGCGCCGACAGTCTGCTTTTATGAAAGCGCCTCTCTGCTGCCCCTCTTCCCTGCGCTGCATGTGGACCAATATCATTGGATGAACGCTGGCAGGCACGTTCAAACCAGGGAGACGAGAGAAAACACAGGAAGTGACCACGGAAACGAGAGGGTACCATGCTTATATGGACATCTCGGAGCAAAGCAAGTGCGTTCTCAGTTCAAACCGAAAACCCATAATCTCTCATTTTGTCCGTTTTTGCTCGCCGTCACCTCTGACACAATATGCGGAAACATGACTGAATATTAATATGGTTAACCCGGGTCGGGGCTTAATGATGCAGGTAAAAGTTAGTTTCCCACATGGGGGAACCCAGATTGTTTTCATTACTTCACCTCTTTAACCTGTTGGAAACATTTTCCTCAAAAATGAAAAAATTCAATAGATAATGAAATTATATAGATATCTAATATCACACAATACATATATATATTTGTATATGCATATATTTAATGAGAAAAAGGGGGATAACCAATAGGATACTCACATTATAGCATGAACCCCCATTCTCCTGGGACTCTGGGGTTACACTTTGACACTGCAGTCCCAAAACAGTTTAGGAGGACTACAAAGTATGTCAAAGACACTTTCAACTCGATTTGATACAATCAGATGGGATCAGATTTCTTCTATTGTAAGAAGACCCAACTTACACCACTAACAGACACCTATCTTAGCCAAGGTCCTGATAGAAGGCCCTGTAGGACACCTCCAGCTGTTCTCCTTTAGCAGGATGTGTCGGTCATAATGTAGTGGCTCATGTTATGAGTTCGGGTTCAGAGTCAATAGCTTGAGGTGCATCACCACACAAACAGGATAAGGAGCGTGCAGGATCCCACTAAACGCTTGTCAAATCTACACATGAGAAGTGTGGGGCTGTGCGTGTGCAGGGTTCACACAGATTTGTTTTCATGGTGGAGGCAAAGCGTGAAACATATCCAAATCCTCCTCCAGCATTACTCACATATAGATAAAGAAATGTAGACAAATTATGATGTCTTTTTTTTGTATGAGATGATGAGTTTCATGTTCATAGTGTAACTCTACATCATCATATCAGAAACATGGAGGGATCTGGGTTAAAGTCTGAAGAGGAGTTTTTTTTAACACAGAGGAGCCACACAAGAAACAGAAAGCAATATTTAAATACCAGTCCCTTTTCATCAACAAATAAATGAAGAAGTAATAGTTTTAAATGTATTTGTGGATGTGTTTGAAATGACTAACCTCTTTTTTCTAAATTTATTATGCTAAGTTTAAGGTGTGTTGGGGCCCAACAGCTTGGAGCTGAGACATACTTTTACTTCAGGATTTCTGGACAGCTTTTTTTGCATGAAATAAAGACAATTATTACTCATTTCCCAAACAAACACAAAGGCAGCTGTGGAGGTGTGAGGGCAGGAGGTTAATACCATAGCCTGGTCTGTGGTCTTTTGGGGGGGGGGCATCGTGGGTGGATGTTTCACGGTGCTGGCGTGCATCCTCCATTAACATGTCTTTATAAGGCCCAAAGAAGTGCAAGGTGCTGTATCCCCTGATAATGAGGTGGACACCGAGCTGCCACACTCGATCCGTTTGGCTGGAGCGCCGCTAACGCTGGCTGTCGACAGCAGATTAAGTTTCTGTGCGAGGCCGCGTTCTGATCCTGAAACATTTGCATGCGCATTTGTTAGGGCCACACGAGGCACTAAAAAGACGTCCCTGCGGACAAATGAGCAAGTCATGTGTTTTATTACATCCACCGCAGGTTTACAACTAAAACAAGTCATGAAAGCATTAAAATGCTTCTTCTAAAGAGCACCCGCTCTCATAGCAAAGCTGTAATGTTTCCCATTATTTTAATAGGACGACAAGCCAGAAAGCACCTATGGATATAATCGGGAGATAACAAACCAGCGCAGAACTGAACAAGCAGAGAAACATGTCCAAAGTAGCAGAGGTCCCAGTGAGATCCAGAGTTGGACTCCCAGTTCCTGTCCAAGGTCATGCTTGGAGCAGCCAAAAATAGCCGGCTGCAGCCACATCCCAAGTGCAGCACTTTGTCCACTGTTATCTTTGGGCTCTTTGAATGAAAGTGTATTCTCAAAGACGTGTAAAAAGGATTCTCGTGTGGGTTTACAACACGTGTTCCTCAAGCTGTGGTCTGGTTGAAAGATAAACTACCAAGTAAACCTTAAAGACGGGAAATCAGCCCCTTGAGAAATGGAACATTTGGGGTATGATTTGCCTGAGTGTGAGATGTTGTGGGCTCACAGCACCAGCCTGTCCTCTCCTCCTTCCTGAATGATCTGGCCAATAGAAACCTGGTTCTGGGCCTTTATAAAGCACTGCTTCTTGCACTCCATCAGCTTCTCCAGGTCCCGCCACATCTTCATCTGCTCCATGTTGTCGGCGTGGCTCTCCCTCACCATCTTTTGCTCCTCCCGCAGCTTCTGCAGTCCACAAAGGAGAGGAGTGTTTTAGTTTTTTAAGCGATTATTCCACACATCATCTATCTGTCACAAGCAGACGGCAAGTCTGAAGAAAGGCCCTTGTTTTGAGGGGGAAATGAGAGTACTGTCACATTTTAAGGGGGGTGAAAATGGTCTCACTTTTAATATGAGAATCAGGGAGTTCAAACGGTGGACAGAAGCCACTCTTTTCAACAAACTCATACAAATATCCATCAATGTGCCGTATTTTGGGGGAGATGTGTATTTTTGGGGAATTTTTTTTTTTGTTGTTCATAAAGGGGGAAAATACATGGTCTTTACTAGATGACTTTAAAGCTCTCTAAGTTTCAAATACTTTTGGTGGCATTTCTTAGTCATCACACCGTGTTCTTGACAGAATTCAGGACTATTTCCAAGTATTGGTCGGCCGAGTCAGCACTTGGACTCTGTTTTCTCACCTTGCCGAGTAATTCCTGTTCTGAGATGTTCTTCATGTACACTTCCCTAAAATGAAGCACAAATAGGCAAACATTTAGTGAAAGCCACGTCTCACCGCCAGTTTTGAATAAAGCTGCGTTATATCAGCCTGTCTGTAGCTCACGAGGCTCTGTGATGATGTATGGAGGCAGAAACTGGCAGCAGATTAACCATCTGTGCTGTAATAAGAGCCTCCCAAAGTTAAAAGGGTATTCATCCTGTGAGCAGCTGGCTGGCCAGGCTTACCTGATGGCCTTCTTCCTCTCCTGTGGATCAGGGGACACGTAGGCCTTCATCTCTTCAGCTGCTCGCTGAATTTGCATCTCAATGATCTGCAGATGACAGAGATGCAAAGGTCCCTCAGCCACAGTGTGTGTTTGTGGAAAACGCTGTGCACTAATTCTCGCTTTGCATAGAAAAACCACCACGCCAAAGCACTTGCCTCTGACATGGAGTTGATGTAATGGTATCGGTTTTCCCTCTGCGCCGTCTCCTCCCTCAGCGTTTTCACCTCCTGTGTGAGATCAGAGAGAAGAAACGAGAATAAAAGAGCACGCGGTATTTGAGGAACACATTTAATCTGTTGCTTTGGCTCTCTACCTGCTCCAGCTTGGACCTGTTGCTCTCCAAACCGGCAGCACAGCTCTCATACTGAGTCTTCTTTTCTTCATACTCTTGACTTAGCTCCTGTTGGGATGGTTATCCCAGACATTTTACACAGAAACAAAGAAATAAGCCCATCGTTCCACGGCATAAGATCTGACACAGCCAGAAGAGTGCTGTTTGGTGTCAACGTGACAGCACAGCTAATATTTGAGCAGTTTAGCTCATAACAGGCTCTTGTGGGGTCTATTCATGTCACCCTGTTGCTGCTCTTCATTAGCAGACATTACCCAGTAAGGCGACGCTGGGAACATATACAATAAAATGTAATCCTCTGCTCTAGCCCACCACAGTGAGGGGCTTTCCCATTGTGAACTTTGTTTATGGACTTTGCTAAGTATTCCTAATGGAGCTTGTCCGCATAGCTCATAGCACACACTTAAGTCCCTGCCTGTCCGCCGGCACAAAGTTAATATCAGAGCATTAGCTTTCACATTCATGACACTAATTAATCACATATCTCTGCCTTTGTGGAATGAATTAGATTAAAACCCTGGATTCCTTTGCATAAATTGGGTTTCCACATGACGATGGTGAGCTCATCCTACCTCACGCCGCTGTCTCAGGCTCCTCAGCTCTTTGATGATGGGTGCCAGAGCTGACTTCTTCTCTGCTATCATCAAGTTTAGCTTCTTTACCTGTAAAATAAAGTCCAAGCTGAAACAAACAGGATTACTCGTTCTGGACCTTCACAGTAAATAATGATGAGACAGTGAATAAGTACTCAACAATTACAAAACATTGTAATATTTTATTCTAATTTTTTTTTTTTCAAACTACTATCTTTTGTTTTGGATAAATTATTCTGCTAAATGCATATATTGGAAGAAAAATCAATGATGCTTCAGATTTATCTAAAAGCTTGATTCTCAATTAGTTTCCTGACTAGATGACAATTAAACCTTTATCTGATACACACTGGTGACAGATTTTTTTTTACCTGTCCCACAACCTCTGGCAACGAAATGACAAATCCCCGTTGTCAAATCTAGAGTTAAAGGAGAGTTTGCCAACTTAAATCTGGTTCTTTGATGGGAAACACGTCCCAAGCTGGTAGGTAGAAACTGCAGATTATAAAACTAATAACTATAGTGATGTGGGAACATATTCTGGTCAGCTTCAACAACTTGAGCAAGTACACAGCCCTGCAGGTGAAACATGGGAACTCAGAAAATAAAAAATCTACAGCACAGTAAATACAAATAAATGTTCGTGAATATAAAAAAAAGGATGAAAAAAATATATTCATATCCAGAAAACCTAAAAGACAGGACCTGATAATCTCCTATAAGAGCAAAGAATTCCAATTCTTCATCAGAAAAGATAAATCGACTCTACAACATCACCAGAAAACCATCCAGATTATAACCAACTGAATTTTCATGCTTAAAACGACTTGTAAGTATGCTTACAAGATTCTGTCCTGTGGAGCACATCTGTCAAAAGCTGCCTAAGACAGTCATTCTGACTTTAATCAGCGTCCCAATTTAGGAACAAACCTGATGTGTGTCCACGGTGGTCCACTGCTCTACTTTAAACAGAGATATTCAGAGGCCAATCCAGTGTTTATTTCCCTCCAACTTAATCAATCCATCATACTGACATGAATTTCTAGTCTATATGATATCAGATGGACCTGTCTTTTACTAACGTTATAGAAAAATTTAAGGATTTCTTCATTTTGAAGAACTCCTCTGTATTTTTTCATTCACCATTTCAGACATGCTGTCCAGAGTGCGGCCCTTCTTCTCGTCTAGCTCACTCTTGATGGCAGACACCCTCTCCAGCTCTTCCTGAGTGTCGCTGTAGCCAGAGATGCCCTTCTCCGCTTCCATCGCTTGCTTTAAAACAACAGAAACGACGGCATGTCATTTTCCCAAAAAAAGGTGCTTACGAACACAACGCGTCAGTCACTTTCTTTCTGCTCTTGGACCGCTCATCAGACACAAACTCAAAGCTTATAAATATCTATCAGAAAGGCATCAGCGTTCATTATATTTTTGGGCCACCTGTTATCTAATACTGAGAAAAAAATGCGGTATGGTGGAGGAATGATCCAGCTGAGAGAATCAGACGCCTATAAAAGGAGAAGACATGCTGTCAGCCGCACATGTGATCAGGAGAAAAACTGTCACTGCTTTAATAAATGCTGGTGTGGGATGCAGAGAGAGGAGGAGCAGCAGATGCTGCCATCAGAAATAGCAGCTCAGCCTGCGTCAGATGGCCCATCAACAAGTCAGGTGATCAGACCGCACAAAGGTGTGAAGCCATTTCCAAGAAACTTCCACCACTTGGTTGTTAAAACAGGCTGCGAGTGAAGAGATAGAGGTCAGAGTGGTGGATCGAGCAGTCTGACATAACTTTACTGCGCAGAGAGGGCAGTAACAGACATTAGAGGGGTTTCTCTGAGCTTTAAAGGAGTGAGTTAAAAAATATTATATTTGATGGCCTGGTTAGTAGGAATAACCAGTTTCTTTTACTTTTACTCATTAAAGGGATGTAAGAAAATGCTGGAGCACAAATACACTGCACATGAGATGAACTGTTCCCTCATAGTTTGAATGGGTTTGGTGAGTTACCAGTTTCTGTTGTACGCTGTCGTGCTTCTGTTTGAGGACCTCCTCTGTCCGCTGAAGGACGCCATATTCTGCTTTCAACTCAGCGATTTCCTGCCGTTTCTTCTTATACGCGGTTCCCTTGCTGCGCAACTTCACCACCAAACGTTTCAGCTGTGAAGAGCAAACACACAGAATCCAACATAAGCTTCACAGCAGACCTAATACTCAGAATTCGGATGTTTGAAGCAGTAAGGGTTAAGATAGTTTTTAAAACTCTCTTTCTGCATTTTGGATTAGTTTTTGTGCACTAAATAACAACATGGAGTCTCATTTGTGAGTCAAATGTGATAAGTTGTTCACCTGAACTAATTTTTACCCATTTTTAAAACCCAGGCAGGACAGATAGATCTTTCTAAAATCACCTCCCGGTACTTCAAACCTTAGACTTGAAAAGGAGTGCTCCAAGAATGCCTGTCAATGCAAGGAAAGGCATAAAAGCTGTCTAAATTTGACATCATGGTGTCCGGCACAGCTGAGGCGCAGTGAAAAGCCAAGAGAGAAGACAATGGAGCGAGGCAGGGGAGGGAAGGGATTAGAGAGCAGCAGGGGCTGCAGCCGAGGGGACCCGGGGTCCGTGACAGGATCTGAAAGTCCTTTCAGAGTCACAGCCGGCTCTCACAGCAAACAGCTTGATCGGACAGAACCAGCGCTCTGAGGGGATGTTCAGTCACCGCCCGCTCCGACTGTCAGCTGGGACGTGCTGAAACTCCCCCGCAGTGAAGAGCAGCTATAAATGAACACAGACACGGGAGAACAGCCCCAGAAATCACAGAATGTGCTCCGCGTCCTTTGGGGATCGACGAGGCCTGATGTGGGTGTGTGTGTGTGTGAGCAATTGTGCATGAACGTTGATTCATTGTGTATTTTGGGACATCAAGGGCAGCCATGGCAGAAAGAGGAATTAGCACAGGAGGATAACGCCGCTGTGTTTCCAACACACAAAAAAACACAGAGAGCATCAGCGCAGATATTATCGCGGAGAAAAATCTACAATTAACAAACAAAATAGAGAAAGCGATGGCCAATGATGGCCAATTGCTGAGAGGCAGAGAGCGTTACCCTCCCCCCCCCCCCCCCCCCCCCCCCCCCTGCAGTTGGTGGCATGTGATGACATGCAATCGTCAGAATGGAAAATACCTCTGATAAAGTGATCATCTCCATCAAGGCTGAGGGGCCAAAACCAGGCAGAAGCCTGATAAGCTGACTTTGACTAAACATTTTCCACTAACTTCATTCATGCAGGGTCTCAAGGGCCTCTTTGTCTCAACAAACAGCCCCCACTCGTAATTTTAGTCAGACTTAAAGGGTTTCAATTTCACGGTAATGTACCGGCGCAATTGTAAAACACGGAACCGCTCAACACAGCGGCTCGCGTTTTATTGCCTGGGCTTAAAAATAGGACCCACATTTTCCACAACATCTGATAACTCCATCCTGTCAAAAAAAAAGGGAAAAGGACGTAGCTGCTTCTCCCCTAAGTGCACGGGTAAATTGATTGTTTTTTCTGCTCTTCCTGTGCAGAATAAACATGTTGGGAGGCATTTTCCACTTATATTTCACTCCTCGCATTTTTCCAGCCAGCAGTGAAAGCGTCGGTTGTGTCTCTTCAACAAAGATCAGCTTATTTCAGCTGAATTTCGAGCACCTCGCGTCTCTTCTGCCTCTGCGGAAAACACACTCAGCTCTCCTCTCACAGAAACATACACGTGTCAAACGCTGGGTTATGAACAACTAAATCCTCGCAGTTCTCACAGTCACAGCACCACCCCCAAGTGACAGCATCTCTCTGTTAATCCACAACTGTCCACAGTCAGCTCTGTAACTTTAACTTAAAGTATACACTGTAAATGGCCGAGTTCAGTGTTCAGTGCGAGAGCACAGAGGAGACCATGCCATGGGTATGAGAGGAGGGATTACATCTTTGTCATGAGATGTAAACAAAGAGTAAAGTTTCTGAGCCTCAAGTCTGCTGAATACGTCCATCTGACTTGAATTAAAAGATTGATTATAGTGGAGATGAAGAAAAAAAGCCTCCTCTCAGGAAGTTTCTCCGGTACAGTTCCTTGTTCTGGATATTCTCTCTTTTGTGTTCTATTTATGGCTCACATGGGAATGTGGGGGAGAGCGGGGAAAAGGGATAAGTAACATTAGACAGTGAGCCTGTCTGTGTTTGGATAAGAACAGAAATAGCCTCTTGAGTTTTTGCTGCTTTGCTAATCTTCTGGAGAGCATTTGGATAAAGCCGAGGTTTGTCTGTGAGGTTAGCTGTTACCTTTCAGGCAGAGGACAGGGGGGGGGGGTCCTGCTTTGTGTCTTTTTCTCTTCTTACTGCTGACAGTTGCATTCTTAGATGTAAGGCCAGCAATCTAAAGGCAGCATTACGAAACTCTGAGATAAAGATATTTACTGACTGCATCACTTTGGGAGTGGAAGTGTACCTCGTCACCATGGATGATCTCCTCCCCCTGTGAGGACTGTGCCTGGCTGCTCCTCTGCTTCAGCTCCCGCTCCGCAGCCACCAGCTCCTCCCTTGCTTCCTGCAGCTCCTCCGCCTTTGACTCCTTCTTTCGAACGATAATGGAGGCCTACAAGTGGCATATTGCATTAAATAGAAAAACATGCTGAGAGCCTGTCGTGAGAGGTATTTTTACAATAAATCAAGAGGATAAAGAGACACTCAAAAACCTTTAACATTACAGACAGTTTCAAACACGCAACTAAATATTCAACAAAGGATTACAGATATTCAATAAAAAGAATGAAGTGGGCACCTGCTGCCTATAAAGGGTCAGCTTGTCATCAATGGGATCGTTTCGCATCATCTTCTTCTCGATCAGCTGATTTATCTGAGAGTCGACCTCTTTAATCTGTCAGAGTGCACATCAAAGCTCAGTCAGAGATGAGCACATCAGAGCCTGCAGTTCTTAGGACACACTTTCACAAACTGACCCTGTCCTCCAGCTCCCGGACGTCGGCCTGGCCCATCGCAGGTTCAGAAACCACTTTCTGCAGGTACTCCACTGAACTCCTCATGCCCTCCAGCTCTTTGGGGAGTTTCTCAGACACCATGTAGGAGTTGATCTTTATCTCCTCTTCCAGTCTTTTAAATAGGCCTACAACAGACAGAGGTTTTCTAAACTTTGAGGAAATTACCTGTCCTGATGGTTAAAGCAAAATAAAATGCACATACTGTACACCAGCAAAGTTGGTAAAAATATAAACTGCACCAGTAACCTTTTAATAGTGACCTCAGTTTGCTTTGCAACAGGTAATTTGGGAAGCTAAAAGGATGTGAATCAAATGGGCCCGAGACCATCTTAACATCAGATCAGCCACATTACAGCACTGCAAAGTTCAGAAGATCTAAACCTATGTGAGCTGTGCCCCAAAACATCATAGCCAGCTGTGTGCTGCAGAGGCAAAAACACTCACTCTCTGGGTTGGCGTCTGCTGCTGCCTGTCGCAAATCCTTCAACTGCTGCTGCGACCTCAGCAGTCTCTGCTCTGCCTGAAACAGCTGAACACACACAAACAGTGACGAACACGTGTAGCCAGGGCAAGTTAGCAAAAATACTGGCAGTTTACAACTATTTTCTCAGGATTTTTCAGAACCCAAAGTGACATAATGATTTCTAAAAGGTTATCATATCTAAGAATAAATATATTTTCAGATTTAACAGTGATGAACAGAATTACATGAAAGAACTTTTAAAAATTACATTTGTGAAAACTCTGATTTCTTTAAATGACTTTATAACGTAAACGGGAGGCACTTAGTCGAGGAAAACAACGTGTTACCTTCTTGCTCCAAATCAAACATGACCCTGTGATGTCTGATTAAATATACATCAAATATACAATAAATATACATATACACAAACATTAGGAAAAGTGTTGATATGAAAAACATTTAAAGGCATTAACCTGATTCTTCTGCTCTTGCTTTTGGTGATTCAGGGACTCTTCTCTCTCCTTTTCCACTCGAAGCTGCCTGGCCTGATCCAACATCCGCTGATGGTTGGACACCGACTCCACCTAGTGGAGAAACAACTTAAAATGATCATGCCTAATGTAGGGCTGTGGCATGGTGAGCAGACATAAACAGCCTCAGACAGAGTCAGGTTTCACCTTTTGACAGGGCCTATAAGTAAAACACGTTAATCTGACACCTCTTTACTCATCAGCCTTGTTAGAACAGCCTAGCACCTTGTCAAATGCCTGCAGGGTCTTATGGAGGAGCTGATAATATTTGCCTCAGCTCAAGTTTTCATTCCAAAGTGAATCCTAAAGCCTTCCAGGAATTTCAAGACTACACAGTGTGCCTTACCCTCCTCTTTAACCTCTCTACACGCTTGATCAGTTGGTCTTTCTCTTCCTCCATGGCACTGATGTCCTGTTATAACACACAAAAGGAGTTTTTTTAAAACATATTTTAACATCAACCCAGCAACAAAATAATTGTCCATAATAAATAACAGAAACATGATTAAAAAAACAGCAATACGTGTAATAACAGATTCTTTTACTGACCACATCTGGACATTACACATGTCTAACAGTGGATTCAAAACATTTACCCTTCTGATTTCTGCTGTGGAAAAGCCTGATGTCCTCAGATGTTCACACTCCTTGTGATATGTCTTAAATCCCTCCACCAGCTCCTCATACTGTGCACGAACACACAACATTATTTAGTACAAGTCCCAAAAACTAAAAAATAACTTGGTGACTAGCATTTTTACTGTGACAAACCTGATGGTATGTGTCATTAATGACATCATCCTGCAAAAACTCTGCAGGCACCTCAAGCTTCACTAAAAATCGTGCCAAGTATGCTCTCTTTTTAAGGTCAGGGACTCTCTGCAGAAGCCAGTGAAGGATTGGGTGAATCACAGGTTTGCTGCCACTAACCAGACCCTGTCGAAAGCTGCTCCTGTAGAAGGTTTAATAAAAATTATTCTATTAAACAACAGGCAGATGGAAGACATACATTAAGACTTAAAGGTATTGAAACACTGGATGGTTGTATAAATGATACTTACACATCAGAATGGTTGCCAGGAGGCTTGTACTTCAGCATCCCCAGCAGAGAACACACCCTCTTCACAGTTTGCTCAGGCATTTCTTCACGAATATCTAAGGCTTGCTAAAAAGCACAAAATGGCGTTAAATATCACTTGAAAAAAAGACATATAAGCTATCACGCATAAGTAATAGCACTAAAACAAGAAAACAAACTGATGAAACTGTCATTCCACCTTTGGGTCTATTTCGGCCAGAACATCGTTTAAAATCTGCAGTAGCAGCATCGGCTCCAGAGAATCAAACGTGATGAGGTTGAAGTTCTTCTTGAATGGGTCTTTGTTAAGCTGTTCAACGATAAATTTCAGTTGCTCACTCATCTTGTGAATTTGAAATTATTCCGCAGCTCTCTTGGTGCTGCTTCTCAACGCTAATTAGCTAGCTAAAGCTGTCTTTTCTGAGCTTTGTGCCCTCAACACAATCAGGCCAGCTAACCAGCCCGTGAGATTAATCTCTAAATCTTTACTGATAACGTATAGAAAGCTTTTGCCGCTCAAAAAAGCAAGTTTGCAATATGTTTTGTCGCTAAGAGGTTATGCTACTTAAGCTAGCTAAGTAGAGAAGAAGAATATGCTCTTGTCAACAGCGCCATGGAAACCGTACAGGCGTCACTGATTGGTTGCTAACACGAAGTAGTTTTGCTGGTATGTTCAGGGGACCTTTTGGTTATTGGGATTGGGGAATTAAGTATTTAAATAAATTCATGCAATTATATAGATATATATCCTCACTCACTATCTGATAGATTTTTATAAAACTAAATAAACACGACACGGTAAATTACTATAAAACATTGATGCCTTAACCCTTTAACGAGTAAAGATATTTTACAACCCTTTCATCCTCCTGGTTGAAGACAGTGGCTGAGCAAAGATAGATTCTTTATAAATATTTCAATGAGCATATATATTCTGACCACTCTTAGGCACTGAAATGCTGTTTTACGGCCAGCAAGCCGTTGACAACAAAATCACTGAATGTCGAGTGCACGTAAACGCACCACTTTGTCAACAGTCTAATTGAACCGTCAGGTGGCGATGTGTGCACGAGGAAGCGTTGCCCAGTAACGTTGCGACACAATGAACTTTGGTAGGATTAACCAGTTTGCAGACTACAAATGAAAGAACGGGTTTCTGTGTCGTAAACCGACATGTGAGAGGCTGGGTGGGAATGGAGAAAAGATAAGTTTGTTTCCCTGTTCCGTTAAGTTGTAAACTTCGAAACTTAGTGTGAACAACCAGCTGAAGGGCGGTTGTTACGCGACAGAGCATCGTTTTTTTTGTTTTTCTCCATTTTGAGGTTATTCACCTGCACGCGATCCCTGAGAACACCGGACTTTATGTATTTGTAAACCCCTTTTTCTGTCTCTTTTGGGTTAGGGTTAGTTTCATGACATTTTTCCTGCTTTGTGGTCGCTCGGACTTGGCGTTTTTGTTTTTAAAGACCCAGCTTGGAAACGGCTTTCGACCAGAAATATCGCTTTAAACAAATCTCCCTTGTCTTTTTTTGACGTGTTTGGAGTGTAAATCCAAATCGCATCCACGTCGCCCCTCCTCTCCCCGCTGAAGGAAAGCTCAAACACCAAAGTGCTGTGAATCAGTCAGAAGCCAAACACTGGGGAGGGTGGACAGGACATCCAGAGAATAGACGGGAATTAGGATAAATCCCAGTTTCTTGGACTTCGCGAAAAGGAGTACAGAGATTGGACTAGCTGTTGCCAATGCTAAACTTAGTTCTTGTACTTGTGAGTAAAAACTGAACCCATTTATTTTGATTCTTTTTTTGTGTCTTTTTTTGTATTTTTTTGTAACTTGGAGTCTCGCTCCACGTCTGCGTTATGGAAGCCGTACAGTTTAGTCCAGTAGATGCTGTCGGAAAGTGCGTGTTTATGTTGTTAGAGCATTAAAGAGCAGTTTCTTAACCATGGTCGAACCACTGGGGTTTGTGGAGGCATGGAGAGCCCAGTTCCCAGAGTCTGCCCCCCCTAATATGGAGCTGAACTCATTAGGGGACATTGAGCAGGAGCTGGACAAATGCAAGTCCTCTATCAGACACCTGGAGAAGGAGGTCAATAAGGAGCGCTTTCGCATGATCTACCTGCAGACTCTGCTGGCGAAAGAGAGGAAATCTTACGATGGACAAAGGTGGGGATTTAAAAGGCCGTCACAGTCCGGTGAGGGAGAGGTCCCGCTTGGCCCCGACAGCCTGAGGTCTCCCACAGATGAGGAACAGCATCCTGAGAAGGCGGCCAAGTGTAAGCCTCACCCGGAAGGAGAGCTGGATGGTTCTTCCCCAAACAGGCAGAAAGAAGGGGTGTCACCTGCCCGCCATGAGTCGGAGCCCCCTGATATCCCAGTGGGAACAGGCTCTGTGGCGGCCCTGAGATCCAACTTTGAGCGCATCAGGAGAGCCAACTCGCACTCGGCCGGCGATGGCCGGGGGTTGTCGGTGTTGGCCGGCCAGGAGAAGCCCTTCTACGTGAACATGGAGTACCATCACGAACGCGGACTGGTCAGGGTGAACGACAGGGAGGTGTCGGACAAGATCAGCACCCTGGGGAGCCAGGCCATGCAGATGGAGCGGAAGAGGTCCTTGCATTCGCTGCCGGGGAACCTGTCGGCAGCCGTGGGAGACCTGAGCAAGGCCGTTCAAAGGGGCGGCTCCGCTGAAGGGAACTGCAGCTACAACGGGTCACATGACAGCCCTGAGGTCAGCCCGCACTTCCTGAAAGACGGTGTGAGCAGGTCTGCCGTCGGGAGGTCCGAGAGGCCGCCGGTCGAGTGCCAGCCCTACACCAGCGTGTATGTAGGGGGAATGATGGCCGACGGGGACACGCGAGTCATCCACATACGGGACCACAGCATAGAGGAGGACGCCCACCTCACCTGGCCAAGGCGCTCCTACTCTCCCAGGAGCTTCGATGATGTGGGAGGAGGCTACACGCCAGACTGCAGCTCCAACGAGAACCTGACCTCCAGTGAGGAGGACTTCTCCTCAGGCCAGTCCAGCCACGTCTCTCCCAGCCCCACAACCTATCCCATGTTTAGGGAGAAGAGCCGCTCGCCCTCCCAGCACTCCCAGCAGTCCATTGACAGTGGGAGCCCCCCCACACCCCTGTCACAGAAGTGTCTGAAGCAGCAGGGCATGGTGTCGGAGGCCTCCATCATCGGGATCCGGAAAACGGGCCACATGTGGACCAGTGATGGGGACTCCACCACATCCAGCAGGACCTCTCACGACAACAGTGTTCAGGGAGATCTGGGTAGGTCACCGCAACACACACACCTTCTCTCTGCCCCTTTCGTGTTTGGGAGTTAAAAAAATCTAAAGCGGATGTAGCATTTAGGGATGGCAAAGTGCTGAAAAGTCTCACTTTAATCACTAAATTAAAGATGCATGTGCACGTGCAGACCTAATCCAGAAGAAGTCACTGATGTGTAAAATGCACCGGCTGTCCCTCCAATTAATGTTCCAGTTTTTTTACCCGATATTTTAAATCCATCAAACACCTTTGCAGGACTAGGAGTTATTGGTCCTATTTTTAAAACCCTTGAATCTATTTAGATTGTTTAAACTGTTTTTAACTGAAAGGAGCAAAGGTGTTGTTATCAAAACACCACAAAAAGGAGGCCAGGTTTGATTTCTTTTCTCAATGAGCGCTTTATTCTCCCCATTGTAACCGAGGAAAAAGTGAATGTTAACTCTTTCCCATCTGGTGGGGGTGTCGGGTAGAGAGTTTCCTAACCCCAGCTTTGCATTTTGGTGTCTCTTTTAGCTGTTTTTAATCTTTTGTCAACAACTCTGTCCTCTGCTTTTTGCCCCTGCTGATCTGACCGAGACAGCGAACGCCCCTGGGGCTTCCCCCGCTCTCAATCCACCCCAAGTGTTTTTGTGTCAGCACACATCAGCGTTGTTGTCCTTGGTGCAGAGTAATTAACTTAAAGGGGTTTGTCTTGCGTGATAAATTTACGGAGGCCCTTTGTTGCAGGAGGTGGGTTGGAAAAAGCCCTGACAAGTCACAAAGATTAGAAAAAAGAAACCAGGATGGAGGGGCTCAAAGTGTGTCAGGCAGCGTCCAATCAAAACTCCTGGAATCGGTTTGTTTCCTGTTGTGATGTGAACACAATAGAGGAATCACTCACTGAGCACCAGGATTGACACGTTAACAATATAACAATGTTAAGTGGGATAAGGACTGGGGTCTGGGGGACTTGTTAGTCCCAAGGACGCTTGTCAGACTCAGAAACACACGAGGACACACAGCTGTTTGAGGCCGAATGCTCAGTAACCAGCTCTCAGGATCGGCCATAAATCATATTGGAGGAAGGTCTGCTTCTGGCCCAAAATAAGTGTTGATGATCATGTGTGTGGGTTTAATTGATCATTTATTGAAATATGTATACGTCTCCTTTTTTACCTAAAACTTAAAAAAACTAAGTCTTTTACTTTATGATTCATGAATTCAATTTTTAACAATTTGTTAATTCCTGAAAGGGAAATAATTGTGTTGCTGTACTATGTATTAAATTGGTAACAAATTAAGAAATCATCTTGCAAACATGTAGACAGCTGGAGAAGAGAGGAAGGGGTGGCAGAAGCCTCTGAACTTCTGCATAAATGGGGGGTTGTTTTACGCTGATGAAGTCACACACTGCATCAGCAGGTAACATAGGTGAACCCTCAAGACCAACATGGACAAGCTCAACATGTGGGGTGCAGATGTTCTCCTTCTCACTGATGTATTCAGAATTCCAGAATCTGTTGTCAACCGGCTCTGTAATCCCCTTTCTCTCCTGTTCCTGCTCTGTCTGCAGGCTCTGTCTGCCCGGGTAGTCTTAAAGCTGAGCAGAGAGCTGTGTCCTCATCATGTTCATCATGTTTTCTCAGATATTTCCTGGGCTTTGGAAATCTCGGTTAGCTTCTTTCCAGCCGCAAAACAATCAAACCAGCGCAGACGAATGTTTCAGAAACGTGACAAAGGTCTGGAGTCTCTGAGTTTTTATGTTTTTCTGCTGTTTCCGTGGTCATAAGTGAAATGTCATGCTGCTTTCACAGAGAGAGTTGTTGTCTGTTGGCTAGTCAACTGATGTTTTATGTGTAAAATCTGTGGAGTTCCCTTTTTAGAGACCCCCCCCATAACTTATCCTGCCCGGCTTTTGTCCAGAGGAGGCTGTTTGCTGACCGAGTGGCGCAGCTGCCTCGTGTGGACTTTGCTTTGTGGATTAACAGAAGTCTGGATTTATTTTCTGATGTCGTAATAACATTACTGTGCACGCTGTGCACGTTGATGGATTAGGCCGGGGGCCAGGAGGCGGTTTTAGGCCGTAAACCGCCCTTTTGTTGTGGCTTGTGTTTTTTCTTTAGGAAAAAGTAGTTTTCGGTTGCGTTTATCATAAAGAAATGTGCCACCGACAGACATCCATTTAACCAGCCCAGAAAACCAGAGTTGTAAACACACTTTGTGCTCTGGCTGGCAACTTCATACACAGCACAGCACAGCTCAGTAAACATGTCTGTATCCTGATTTGGAACATATGAATACTGCAGCTGGTGATGCGATGTGTGTTTCGCTATCATGGCAGAGACCATGCTTCTTCATTTGTCTGCCTCTTTGTAGCATGGCCATCTAAAAACGGGTGGATCCCAGAGGATTTATTTTTTCATAAGTAGAAGAATAATCGTTGTCTCCTGGTTTCTGGTTATGTAGGCCAATTGTCAACCTCAACTGTGAATAGAGCTGCTGATTAGCTGTGGACCTTTAAGGAGGCCAACTCTCTAATGGGTTTATTTTGCCATAATTAATTATCATCATGACCCTGATGTGCCTGTGGCTCTGCGTGGTCCCTGCCGCCGCGGTGGAGCGGCACGGGCCCGGATACTGTCTCATGGTTAATGTGTTGCAACACGGGCAAAAGGGAACGATAAATCTGCCATTAGTTTAATCATAATCCCCGCAAAAAAAGCACGAGATTGTCTTTTAGGAAGCATTTAGCTGAGCCTGGGTTTGCACGTGGCCCCGTTTCTGACACAGACAGGTCTGTCTGGGATGGCAGCGACATTAGCAGGAAGCGTCCGTCTGAAAGGTGACTGAAACCTGCCCGAGCGCCTCAGCGTCACACCACCGCTCACCCACCTTCTTGGCTAATTGCAGACTCGTGAATATTTTAGGTCCTCACTGGGGGCCCAGACAGGCCTGTCATTGTACCTGGATGTCAGCATCTGAGGTTTAGCGGTCACGGAAGCTGAAGAATTCAGCCTCTCCCTTTCCTAAAGTAAATGTACAAGAGGAAGTGCTGGCAGCTCCAAAGGCTGCCAAGTTTGCCTCTGTGCACGCTTGCACATGCGTGTGTGAGCGTGAGACACCTGTTCTACTTTGCAGAGTGCTGGGTAAAGCGTTCAAAAGCTGGCAGGCCGTCAGCACACCAGGCCAGGCATCGCCAGCTGCTCTCGCTGTGAAAGCCATGAATGGCCTTTGTGTTCCCAAATATCACAAAACAGAAAAAAAAATCCCTCACAGAACATTGCACTAAGGGACATACGTGTGTCCATAGATAGACCTGACTTAGAGAAAACATCCCTGGCATGTTTTTGGGGCTGCGGGCCTCCCTCGGCTGGGTGATCCTTCCTCGTGCTCGGCCTCAGGCCTCTGAACTTGCAGTCTCAGCTCCCTCCCCTGGTCCCGCTCAAAGGGCCCTCTGTGCTAGTGGCTGGCAGGCCAAGTGTTTATGGAATGTCTCAGCTGCTTGTAGGGTGTGGGGGGAAATGGCTAATGAAATGTTAAGTGTTATGGGTCCACCTCTCTCACAACAGCTTGACCCGCTGGAGCCTGTTGTGTCACCGGCCACAAGAGTTTGTTTAAGACCAAAGGTTCTGTCCCTAAAAGGGACTCAGACAGCAGAGCCTGTGATGACCTAACATGTAGTCACGTCAGCTTGTTATTTTCTTTAATTACAGCATATCTTTTGGGTGAATTCCCATTTTTAACCATGGCAAATCTCTGTGACATCATCAGGTTTTTTTAACCATTTATTTTACCCCTTCGCAGCTACAGATGAAGGAAAACAAAACATAAAACCAGCATCCATTTAAATAATCTGTGCCTCATAGCCCAGATAACCCCAGTTTCACTTGATAAGACCTCACCTGTGAGTGAGCCAGCATGCTCCTCCTACAGACCGTTAGCTGTCTGCTGAAACCTGTGTTTCCAGGCAGATTCAGACTCAGCCAATCCCATTTGAGCACACTCACGAATATTTAATCCTGCTCAGACATGCAGATGAATATTTCTGTGAACAGGGGGTCACTCTCATCTTTTATTCTTGTCACCGCTCATATTTCAGAGCAGTGTTCGTCATCCATGGATTTTTAAAGAAAGAGAAAAACACTTGCTGGTTTAGAAATCGTTTTCTTTTGCTTCATCAAATCTGATCTTTGTACAACCTGTTTGCTCTCAAGCTCCATTGTCTCTTTCTTCTAACAGATTGGAGCAATTATCAGCCTGTTGTTGCTCGTTCCCCTCTCCTGTAATAAACCACTATGAGCTATTTCAATATTCGCTGATTAGTAGGTGTGCTGGGCTGGGCGGCTAGTTTCTGACCTCCCCCGCTCGACAACTCCCACTAATTTCAGGCTGCCCAGCAGCAGTTCAGAGTGGAGCGCCGGTGGGCCTCACAGCCCAGCCGCCCTGTGGATTCAAGGCCCTCCCAGTCCAGCAGACACTTCACATGAGCCAGGATATGATGTTTTATGGTTTGACATTGTTGTAGTATGCCAAAACGCACAGCTGGTGTCTGAAGGGTTTATAGCCTCCTTGCACACATGAATGTTGAGATTTGAGCATACATAGCTCTGATCTTCACTGATGTCCTGTATGAAGGCTGGCTGGGACATGGTTTTTATACAAACATAACTTTATCAGTCCCTTAACTATTGTCAGGTTTGATTTAGTCCAGTGTAGATGCAACCAAATATTAGAGCTACTTTATAGGCATAAACTCTCCCCTTTTAACTTTATTTATATCATACTGTCCATTAGGAGAGCCAAACTAAACTACAGTTTTTAGACACATGTACTTAACATGTTAAGAAATTAGAATTTTTAATCTTGACCTATGCACCCAAGGACCCAAATGAGTGTTCCAAATCTACAGATGATGCCCCAGATTTTGACCAAGATCACAAAAGAATCCGTAAGCATTAGAGAATGACCACAAAACAACAAAGAGGAAGCACAGAGAATGTACAAAATGTGCTGGGCTGTGAGATGTCCAGCCCAGTGGCTGATATCTGTTACAGGCCACTTACTTCGGGATGTGAAGTAATGGGCCAACTGGAAGTAGTCCAACGAAAACAGGCCTAAGGTGGCACGCATCGCAATGAAGTCGGACATGTTTCAATCAATAAATCGATTGCCCTTTGGAAGGGGAATCGTCAACTCAGCTGACCCGGGCGTGTTAGTGGCACCCTCTGGTTTGACGTAACCTAAAAACAAATCGGTGAATTAATATCCATCAACTCTCCTTTTAAAATAACAAAATATTACAGGTAAGAAAGGCTTTTGTCTTCCCATCTCAAAGCTCTAAAGGCCATCAGCCTGCAACCAGCTCCCCTCTGTTTGCTCTGTCTCCCCAGTGACGCCACAGTCCGAGACAGAATCCATTTACTGGAGTCATAAAATGGTGCTGAGCTTTTAACAACATCTCACGTTGGCATCTTCTGTCTGAAGGTGCTACTTTTCACTCCAGATCCATTCTGCCATTAGAGAAGTGGCAGAATGGCAGCCCCTCGGGAGTTTTGTTCTTTACTGTAAAAGGTGGCTGCACCGCACATCAGTTCCAGCCCTTTCCGAGCGGGATCAATCCAACATTTGTTTCAGCGTTTATTTTTGGAGCTTGTGATCTAAATTCTGTCCATCAGCCGACTGGTCTTTGTGTGGATGGTCAATATGGCCTCAGCAGGGAGCTGCGAGCTGAGTGCGCCCTTGCGCAAACAGGGCCGGGTGGTATTCTGTTTCCCCGAGCTGGAAAGGGTAAATATGGCTGCTGCTTTTTTCTGCTCCATCTTTGCTCAGTCAGTCAACCTTTTTTTTGCTCTTTGATTTGTACTTTTTCGGAGCTGGTGACCGAATTTGATCCCATTTTTCAAGCAGAACGTTGCTGAGTAAATGTTCAGATTTCTGCTTCATACAGAGACATAAACAGTTTAACCTGAATAAATTAAACATAAACGTTGCTAACTATGAAGGGTTTTTCCATGCTTGTTGCATTTATGGGAATTAAGAAGCACAAGCATCTGAGTTCTGATAATAAATTGGATTAATTGGTCTTTGCATGTTGTTTACTTAAGGAGCATTCAGATGTCCGGGTGAAGGGTTATAAAAGGCCCTTTCCAATCGATGTGAAGTCCATCACTCCACAGAGAGAAGGTCACACAAAGGTCAAAACCCCAACAGCTACATCTCACAGGCCTCATTTAACAGGTTAAAGGTCAAAGGTTAGGACAGCACAGTTAGCACTGACCAAGTACGGCTTGTTTGTTTGGGCTGAAGAAGAAAAAAAAGAACATGGTTTGCAGAGCTGCATCTGAACAAAGACTTCTGGAACAATGAGCAGAGCAAAGTGGAGATGTCTGATCATAATGGACAAAAACCAAGCAGCTGTCAGCACGGTGGGGGAGGGATGATGATCTGGGCTGCCTCTGCCGCATCAGGACCTTAAAGTCCACCATGAACTCCTCTGGATCTCAAAGTGTTCAGAGTCCGATGTGAGGCCGTCTGTCCCACAGCTAAAGCTGGAACCGGCTCGCCAACAGGACAAATATCCAAACACAGCAGCAGATCTGAAGCAGGAAGTCTGAAAAAAGAGGAGAATCAAGGAGCTGAACACTCCACCAGACCACTGCTGTCACGTTTTATCTCGGACTTTATGGAATACTTAAAGACGCTGGTTAATTCTGGGTTGTTTTTGTTATTTTAATTAGTTTTTACCTCATTTAAACAGAAAAACAAAATCTTAATAACAACATCCAAGTTGAAGCTGCTTCCCTCCATTTTGTCCTGGTGTTAAAACAAGGCTGCGTCGTTATTCCTGTGTCAGAGGATCTCTGATGCTGTCACAGTGTCTCTGCTTCACATCTGCCACCCCCGCTCATCGTTCATCTGCAGGGATTAGGATAAGGGCTTTAAGAGTGTCTTTGCTTTGTCATCAATGGGCCGTCCAGCATGCCGGTGGCATTAAACCCCTGTAGCCGTCCGCTAAGCATGGCTCTTGTTTACATGCTGGAGGAAGGAAAAGTGCTTCATGATGACAGATTATTCTCCAGAAGCTGGCTCGAGAGTCAGGAACCAGATGTTTGAGTGAGATATATATATATATATATATATATATAGATAGATAGATAGATAGATAGATAGAGAGATAAAAAATGTCCCTGGCTTCTATTGAAGTGCTTCATGGTGCTTGTGAGGAATAAGTGAGCGTCTCGCCTGGCATGGTTTACCAAAGGCTGCAAATGAAATTCTTGAAAACCCCAGATTTACAGAGTTCAAAGATGCCCGAGAAACTAAATCAGCCTCTCTCTGATCCACAGATACAGCAGCTCACAGCCACAGCTGTAGGGCTCAGCTGTCTTATGTAACGTCATTAGAATGTATTTATTACGTCTCTGTTGCACAGTTAGAGGGATTTTAAGGATTTTAAACTTTATATTTAGATATCTAATGTGAAAGGCAATGTGACATCTATTCACTCGCCGCAGAGTGGATGAATTCTCCTTTTTATTTGGGACTTTTTAGACAGGTTTGAAAGTCTCTGCGCTGTTATGGAGCAGATACTCGCTGTAAATCAATTGGAAGCATATGTTAGCATGGTTTTGGTGTGCGTTTTGGGGGACTTGTGTGAAATGGCGTTTTGATTTTGACAAAAAACCCAAGTGGTGACATTGTTTTACCGAAATTTAAAACCTGTGGCCTCAAAAGAAACAGCAAACAACCCTGGCGCCTGTGGCTCACTGACACGTTTCTCTTACGCTAACTCCAAAGCGGGATGGCTGGGGATGTGAAGCCCAACCTGTTGGGAGTGGGAGGAGGGCGGGTTGTTGATGACCTTGTGTGGAAAAGCCCGCTTCCGCTCCGAAGCAGATGAATTGCTGAATTTTCCGGGCAGACCTGCACGGACACTTCCTCAGTAGCCGTCCTTGTGATCGGCACAACAACTGCTCTCACTGAGGATCTATTGTCTGTGTCCACTTTCTCACACTGACCGCAGCCAAGTGAGCGCCGTGTGTTTAAACGGGCACAAGTGGCTCACTGTTTAAGATTTAAGGACATGTTTTTAAATCCCGGCTTTACTTATTTGAAATGTTCCTGTGGGCGCTGGCTGTGTCTTTTTTAGCTAGGTTGGATAGTTTGTGGCTCTGAGGCAGTTTCCTGAGAGAGGACATATTATCCATCCTCCCCCGAACCCGGTGTTTAATTTGGGCATTCACACGGACGGCCCAGCTCTGAGAGTAGTTTCTTCTAAAAGCCGCTGAGCCTCTGTGTTTGCTTGAGTCCTTTGTCGCGGCCTTTGTGCTCGTCATCTTTTCTTTTGCCGTCTTCTAGGACTGTACAGAGTCGCCTGTCCTTATCTACCCCCGGTTTCCGGGATCCTCTCTTTCCTGTTTTCAAGCTGTGGTAAATTGTTTTCCTGGCCTTCTGCTTACACCCCACAGTCCTCCACACCAGGGACGTGTTTCGTGCCTCTGATTCTGATCTGTAGGCTCCAGCTGCCACATACCTGCCCATAATAATGGTGATAATAATGATTATAAGTGCCGGTGAGTCGTGGCGGCGAACTGAAATCACAGGATGCAGAAGCTGTCGTTTCTCCTCTTAAAGGAGTCACAGAATGACAATAATCATACGTATGACAATCCAACATATGTTCTGACCTTTTTACACGCTTTCCAAAATGACTGCGTCACTATTTTGCTTTGAGATATCTTCATTGAACTGGGTCTAAAGTGAGTATTAGAGCCATAAGTGAAGAGGCCACACTGAGAAAAGGCATGAGCAGACACAAGCTGGTCCACTCACCTGGCAGCAGCTCTGCTGGCTGGAACGGGCCGTGTGATGGATTTATTTAGGTCGCAGGTTTATGAGGGGTAAAAGAGGATTTAGCATTAAAACAGAGGAGCTCTCTGCATGCAAAGTATTTCCCGCCCAGCTGAGAGAGCGGGTTGAAATAACCCACGCTAGAGATTTAGGGTTTGACTATCTTTTTAAATCTCATCCAAAAAAAAAAAAAAAGACAGCAGATTTTAATCTAACGTTGAACTCATTCCAAATTATATCAGAAACTATGACTGATCGGTAAAACTAACATCAGAAAATGATAACAATTAGGTTTATTTTTCTCCCCTGAACATGCAAATACTTTTCCTCCCTCGGGTGGAATTCCCTCTTTGGAAATTCTGACCACCTAATTGGTTTAGACGTATCAGAGTATTTCTTAAGGAAATATTTAATATGTGGTAACTTCATGAAGCCCAACTCCGATATGGCCTTTAATCTGCAAAACGGTCAACGTGATCTGAACTTGTGTAAAGAGGGAGGCAGGGCTGCGTCAGAAGATACAACACTGGGCGTATGGCCAGGGCTTCCCCTGCATGAAGTGCCCCTTTTTTTGGCTGCAAAATACGTTTTTGAATACAAAATTTGACCTTTTGAGATGTTGAAATTAAAAGTTTCCACAGTAAAGATCAGTAGGTTTATCAGACATGTAAATGGCTGCCTCAAGCAGGAAAACGATCCCTTTAAAAAGTTTAAATTGTTACTATTTCTGGACTATATAAGCTCCCAAAACTGGTTAAACGTATGATATTCACAAACCAACCATGTTCGTTTTATCCACCATCCATCACTCATCCAGCCAGACGTGAAACCTAAACTTTGACTTGATATACAAGCAACTTTGATAATCTTGGATCAGGAAACTTAACAGTCACTTTCAGTTTGGGGTCTTTCCCATAAGGTCTCTCTGTGTAAACTCCATGACCGAGCAGTTTGCTGCTCAACCATGTGACTATTGTCCTTTGTTTGACTGCTTCTCCAAGACGCTCCCTACAGCGAGAACCATCCCTCGTATGGCTACGACCTGGAGCAGTCCGAGGAGCACCGGCCTCACCACGACCCTCTCTCCTACTCCGGATCTCCTTCCTCCTCGCCACGGCTCCGATCCAAGAACCGCAATAGCAGAGACACCCATTCTTCCGGTTCTCTGGAGTCCACGCAGTCGGTAAGGTCACTGAGACCAGCAGATCTGACCTGTCTCTGTGGGCTCTCAGCGCTGATTTCTCCTCTGCTGCTTTGTAACTTACCTATTTATCTGTTCTTTTCAACATGCTCACTTGCCTGTAACTTTAGTTATAATACAGAGCTCACCCCAACAAGAAGGTCCTGCTCCTTGTTATTTTTGACTGGAACAAATTTAAAAGATCACAGGTTTCAGGGCCGCTTTACTTTATGATCATGTTTTTTTTATTATTAAGATGAGATTTACAAACCTGTTCTCATATGCTTATATGATCAAAGCTCATATAAATGATAAAAGTGCTCCAACTCCAATCTGTTGTTGCATATTATTAGTTTCCGCTGGACAAAGTGGATTTTTTGTGAGACGAAGACAGAATTGTAATGTTTTTACTCTAGTCAGCGGATTGATTGTTCCATAATTACTATAATCTGGAGGAATTCATGTTCTTTATAGAATGTTATCCCGACTTTAAGTTAGAAACATTGCAGGTTCAAAAACAACAGATTTTACATTTCCCATAATTATTTTGATACCATTTACTGACCATTTGATTTCAAACAGCACATCCTGCTGTTTATTAACTAAGATTCCTGATGAAGAAATTTGGGCCCCAACTGTTTCACAGGCTGAGTGGCGCTCTCAGTAACCAGTGAGCCAAACTTCATTTGGAAATAAAGTGGGTGCCTCTCGGGACGACATTTATAAAGCAGCCCTGGCTGAGGCACCCACAGCCCACCAATAAACCACACAGACAGCACCACATAACTCCCAGATGGGAGCAGGGCGCGGCTGAAAAAGACCTTACATACTCAGAAAACATACTCTGGCTCAACAGATGTTAAAAAGAGATGTTCCTCCCCTTGTTGCTATTTTCTTGTTCTATCTGAGGTATTCTTACCCTCTGATGTCTACACTTGGTGATCTTCAAAGCTTAAATCATACTAGAGGGCGGGGGTGGGTGGGTTCACCCAGCTCACGGCTTCTCTTTCAGCTAGTGTACTTAACAGAGTTTCTTATCAACACTATTCTTCCCTCTAAGATGACTGATGCTTTCTACATGTCTGGCATAACTCTTGTAGGAGAGTCAAATTTGTCTTCCTTGGGATACTAGGAGTCAGTGATAGAGGCCTCTTGGAATGTAAAACTCCTACAGCGTTTAATCAAATCTGATTTACCCAAATTTCCCAACAATACAGTGCGGCCTGGACGTTTTTCAGCTCCCATTTTTGCAGAGGCTTTATTAAAAATAAAACACAATCACTGCTGTCATATCAGTGTGGCTTATATATATATTTTCATTAATTTTTTTATATTTTTTATTACGTTTGTTTTAGGTGGAGCTGGACCAGGAAAAAGGACTGGAGATGAGAAAATGGGTTCTGTCAGGAATCCTGGCCAGTGAGGAAACATACCTCAGCCACCTGGAGGCCCTACTGATAGTATGCAACACTCAAAACATATGTTAACTTTCAGTTTGCACTTTAAAAGGAGAGTGTACATGCATTCTATTTGTTTAATATTTAAAACAGAAACCCCAGCTAGCGTCTCGTGATAGTTTCCCAGTAATAACATGCTAAAATCAGACAAATCAAATAATTAATTCCCTGTGTATCATTACTTAACCTTACTGGTTACTTTTGCCAGCTAAAATTGGCCAGAATTGTCCTGTTAAGCTAGCATCTTCCTGATCATTTAAATTTATTAAGTGTTTATTTTCATAAATTATATCAGTGGTAACTACTACTACATAATCGGTTTGCTTTTTAATATTTCTCCTCTATTGTGCTACGTACAGATTAGCTCTTATAGAGTAGACGCTAACAACATTTTAGCATTTACCATTGCTCTATTTTTATTGTTCAAGCAGACAATTAAGTTGTTTATTATTTACCAGTTATTCTAATGTTCACTTATTCTATTGAATGGATGCTGATCTAAGCAAAATGTATGATCAAACAGAGAAAAATGGTCAATTTTCCATTATTGAGTGTTGACATCCTCACCAATAGCTTCAAGTGAACTCTGAACGGTGGTTATCACCACAAAAAAAATATTTCTAGCCATTTTCTGTTAGTCATAAAAAATAAAAATATTTTCATATCATAAAAAATTGTTGCTCAGTAGATAGTAAAGGAAGTAGCAGCTGATATACCATTAATCTGATCAGCCTTAGTTTGTGTAGGGTAGCTTTAACTGAATAAAAACTTTTACCATCAGCTTGCTTTTGAAATCTGTGTGAAATAAGATCAGCCTGCATTTAGTTTAATTCAACACACCGACATATGAAGCATAATGTTTAAGGAATACATTCTTTTTTTAATTTAATGGCAGCTATATGGTTTTGAAAGCGAGAGAAAAAAAGAAAATGGACCATTCAAATGATACAAGGTGTATTCTGGTTTAAATTTGGCATTTCAAAGCAGCTGAAATAAAGACAAGAAACTGGTTTAATCAGCATATGAACTGAGGGACATTTCTGAAAACAGTGATTATGTTTCCAGCCTATGAAGCCCCTGAGGGCCGCTGCCACAACTTCCCAGCCAATGCTGACCATCCAGCAGATCGAGACCATCTTCTTTAAAGTGCCAGAGCTTCATGAGATCCACAAAGACTTTTATGACGCCCTTCTGCCCCGAGTCCAAAACTGGAGCAACCAGCAGTGTGTGGGGGACCTCTTCCAGAAGCTGGTATGTTGGTGACACACTCGCTTTTCTGCTTATTTGCCTCACATCTGTCACCATTAACTTGGGGATTGGAAAATACTCACAAAAGAGAAATCTAATGCTTGATTTATGCGTCTGTGGTGTAATCTAAGAGATGTTTTTTGTGGGAAAAACCAGTGAAGACAATGTGTCTGAGCACGAGCTGCAAAAACTTGTTTATCTACTTCCTCTGACGTAACGTGAATACGGGGGAAACACAGTCAAAGTAAACAAGCAGGTCTGAAAGCAGCGGAGTGCAAAAAGTTTGATGGACTGATAGAAGTCTTATTTTGTGACAATTGGCTGGGTTGTAACACTTTAGCTACAACATTATAAAAACCGGGAGATCCACTTTGTCAGCTTTTAACATCATCAAATCCAGAAAACCTCCAAACACCCAAATTGTATGTTGGTTTGTCATCAAACGGACCGCTATGCAGCATGTCGGTAGCTTTCAAATTCTGATTAAAGTGCTCCTTAAATGTCACCCCTTGATCGTTAATGATTGTTAAAAGAGAGCAGGCTGGCAGGGGGAGAAGGTGGTAGTTTCTGGGTGAACAGACTGCCTGGAGTCGACTCCTGGACAGATAAAAGGCTTGCTGCACCGCAACACAAGCAGTAAAGGAGCACAAAATGCTGATGGACGAGAATTAGCTCAGTTTTTGCCTCTGCATGAAAATGATTAAAGAAGCGTGCATGGATACATTTATATAAATCCCACCTGCCAACACAGACTCAGTCTCAGTCATCGCAGGTTACTTGACTCACCCTTTGGTTGTCTAACGAGTCTAATCTGTGTTCTGCCTGTGTTGTGCAGGCCAGCCAGCTCGGGGTGTACCGGGCCTTTGTGGACAACTATAAGGTTGCTGTGGAGACGGCAGACAAGTGCTGCCAGGCAAACTCTCAGTTTGCAGAGATATCTGAGGTATGTAGTCCCGCCTCACAGCGGGAGCATCGGGAGGCGTTTGATGTTTCACCGCTGCCTGAGACAAATGATGACAGGGCAATTTTCCTTAGTGTTTGTTAGCTGATCGTTTTAATTGCCCTGTGGTGTTGCGGGGTGTTACTTTGATTTCTTTTTGCCTCACTATATTCCCTCTGATGTCATCTCCCTCCCAGAATCTCAAAGTCAAAAGCACAAAGGACTGCAAAGACCAGTCGGCTAAAAATTCTCTGGAAAGTGAGTGATCCCCGTGTGTTAGTCAATACTGCTGTAAGTGACAAAGCTGACTCTTCCTCCTCCTCCTCCTCTTCCTTTGCAGCTCTTCTCTACAAGCCTGTGGACAGAGTGACGCGCAGCACTCTCGTTCTGCATGTAAGTCGATCTGCTGTGTAATTATCTGGAGTCTCACCTTCTCTGTGTGTCAAGGCCGAATCTGTGTTATGCATGTTTTTTTTCCTGTGTTGCAGGACTTACTGAAGCACACGCCCTGCAGCCACCCAGATCACCCGCTGCTGCAGGACGCCCTGCGCATCTCCCAGAACTTCCTGTCCAGTATTAATGAAGAGATCACTCCTCGTAGACAGTCCATGACTGTGAAGAAGGGAGAGGTCAGTTTACGGTGCTCAGTCAATCACCTCGCGGTTGTAACGGCTCCATGACTCAGCTCCTCAGTAAATACAATTTCGCTCTTCATAAAGCTAAGACGTGCTCCAGGATTAGCGTCTTGTTGGTGAGATGCGCACTCAAATGACGCTGGACTGGAAAGTTATCTGAGAAAATAATTTCATCTGCAGTCAGACCGGATTAGAAACGGTGGAGGAAAAGGCCATTTTAGGTAGCGACATATGGGCCACTCCTACTTTTATATGGTTTCATATTTAATTTGTATATCCCTCCCTAGCCACAGCACATATTTGAGCCCGACCGACTTTGGAATTTAAGCAGGAATTTTGTAGAATTGGGTTTGTTTTATTTGAACCGAATGAAGAACGTTCATATTTTAAATACATTGAGGAAAATACTGTTACTGTTAAAATACTGTTACTAATCTATCAAAAACACTAGCTGAGCTCCAGAACAATATACAAAGCAGAATTCCAATTCACTTGAATCTCTATTCTCCGAGTTCCTTTCTCCTCCGTCTCTGAGCCCTCTCCAAGCAGCTGTGTGTACTTCCTTTAAGGAGTCTTCAGGAGCAGCTCTCCAGGCTTCTTGAAGGACGTCCCAAAGCTCTTCTTTGGATGTGGGCTGCCTTTGGCTCCGTTCTCTTTCAGATGATCCCACACTGCTTCATAATGTGGAGCTCCGGGCTCTGGGGAGGATTCATCCCTCCATCAGAGCTGCTGGTTTTCAGTCCACTTTTTGAGTCTTTGGCAGAGCTCAGCCTTCCCTCCCTGTCCCCCTTCCTTAAGAATGGCTTCTTCACAGCCCCCCTTCCATGGAGAGCGTTTCTGATGAGGCTTGGTCCAACAGGAGATGATCAGCTGAAGGTCCAGATGCATATCTCCGCTCCTGGTTCAGGTCTTTGCTGGATCTGTTCTTCTTTCTTAAGGACCTCGCTTTCAGATCCTCTTCATATGCTGGAGATATTTTTTTAGCCAAACTCTTTTTCTTTTGTCTTCTACTTGTCCAGTTTCCTCAAATGTTTTAAGGACACACTGCACACCATGTTGAGATATGCCAAGTTTTCAGCTAGCAGCTCTTTGGGAATCACTAGAAATCTCACTGCATTACTTTTACCCAAGGTATATGTCAATACATCAGTGGCCATCCCTTCATTTACTTTACATACTTTACATATTTGAATGACTCACGGGGTCGTTGAGTTGAGTCTGGAATACATTCCTATGAAAACTGAGGTACAATGAAGCCCAAAAATAACTTTTAAAGGCCTTTGGTAAGCCTGCAGAATGGTTGTTCAAAAATCACAAGAATTTCTACTTGTTTGGAGAGAAATGAGTGTTTCAAACACTTGCACAGTATTGTTAAATGTTCACCAGCTCCACCTTTTTAAGTAGTTTCTTATGGTGATGGCACTGGCTGATAGGCAGTTAACATAAAGATATTTGTGGGCAGTCACTGTGTCTTAAATGAGCTGTATTATATGTTAATAGGTGTGTTTACACTGGTGCTGGACGGTTGCAGGCAAAGCCAGTAGATGAACAAACCCCATCCAAAAGAACTTAGACATGAGGTTGAAAATCTGTTCAGAAACTACCTGAGAAAATGGATAAAGCTGCCAAAGGCTGGGGGTAAATAACTGTCTTTCTTTATGGACTTCATTACCTCAAGTACCTCTCTTCTCTTAAGCTGCTTTACCTTCTCTAAGAAAGCAGCTTTGTGGGATTCAGAATGATATAATTTCCTCCTTCCCTTGAGCTTTGACGATAAAAAGCTCAGAGAACGAGGTGTCTGGAAGCTGCATTAAAGGCAGAGTGTGAGTCAGGTGGCTGCTGACTCATCCCAGCCAGTCTGCTGAAGTCGTAAAGGAAGTTGAGCATGGAGGAAGCGCGTGACAAAGCAGTCCAAACACAGGAGGCTACCCCGGGAAAACCAGCGATTACCACCTCGCTCACTCCCATCCTTCCCTGCCGTGGTGTCAACTGTGCTTCCCAGAAATGGCCCACAGCCCACCTTATCAGCGCCACTCTTCTTACCAGTCTTTTGCACTGGGTGTGTACTTCTCGGAGCCCCTTAAACCCCTCACGCCACACACTTCCAGGTCTCTGAATCAGATGACCTGATGGAGAACTTCCTCTCTTTACTGGGCCTGCCCGACCGGGTAGGATATCAAATCAAAGAAACTTCTTAGGAGCATTCTTCTGTATATTGTCGAGGAAGTCTGAAGTCCCACAATGAGATTGACAGATAGCAAGCCGGGTCTTGAACATCGGTTTAAAATATGGGTTTGTTGTTGTATGTGATCAACCCTGAGCTAAATTTGTAGCCATAGTTGATGTTCCGAGCTCTGGCTGCCTGTAATTACCCCGGCCATTAAACCATTGAGTTTATTTAGCTTCTTCTCTTCTACATTCCTCTGTGCTCTGCGTCTCATTGTGGAGAATAAAAGAAGAGGGGGGCTGGGGGGGGTGTTTAAAGGGTGAGATCTCGCCTTGCATCGACAGCTCTTATTTTTCCATTGGATTATTGACTTGCGGCCGTGTTTGCGTCACAAAACAATAAGCGGATGCAGCCCTGCCACGGCTCAGTGAAAGCAGGACAGTGTTTCCCTGAGCGGTGCGTTTGGAACAAGCCGAGCCGCTCTGCAGCGTGCAGAGAGCCGGGGAGGGAAACCAGGTTGCAGCGATTTCCTTGTTTTTGTCAAACTGTGGTTGGCGTGGGATGGCGGAGTCTCACATGGGCAGAGGCACTGTAAAAAAGCCTCAGACCCGGGTCAGAGGCCAGTGGAAGAATTTAGACGCACGCTGTGGCAGGAAAACCTCAATGTCACCCCCCCGAACCTCAGGCTGGACAGTTTTACCTGGATTTGGATCTAACACTGAAACCCACCACCCGACAACAAAGCTCAAACATTAGCACAACACGAACTGGAAAGCAGTCACTAACACACTAATGGAGACCAATGGCAGACTGGTGTAGCATCCTCTGTGATAAATGGCTTCATTTGAGCTTAGATTTTAAGACAAATTAAATCCAATTTACTTTACAACTAATTTACTCAAATCTGTCATTTGTTCTTATGTTTAGATAGTTGTTTAACAGACTCAAGTCCAGAATCACTCAAGAAATCCTCTCTGACATGGATTTATATAGAAAATGTAAACAAATCAAGACATCGGTGGCAAAAAAAAAACTTGTGTCCCCTTTTGTTCCATCAGATTTCTTTTAATTACTGTACTTTTTTTTTAAAGCTTGGTTTGAGAGGATGACGCCTGTTTTTGCAGTTTTTCAGAGGAATCTGTGTCCATTCTTGCTGAATTAAAGGGTTCATCTGTTCAGCCTGGATGCTCTTTCTCAGCTTTTTCCAAAATGAAGAAACTCATCTGACCACTGAGCATGTGTCCATTGTCTCTCTGTCCCCCTGAGAGCTAATCGAGTCATGGCTTTTACCTGCTGTAACCGTTTTAGGTCACATTCTAGTTTTCAACATTTGTTTATTTCTCTTTCTCCAGACTTTTCAAAGATTTAAGGTCTGAAGATGCCAAAAGATCAAAACATTTAATATAATGCTCAAATATATTCACAAACCCACCAAATCTCTGATGTAAGCTTCTTTTATACCCAAACCTGACATCCTTAACCAGGGTCCTCCAGGTTTAAGTCCAAATCATGGAAACCTGCAGGGCAGCATCCCTCAAGGCCTATAGGTTCCCTCCTATTCACTGACCTGCCACCAGTAAACTGCTTTAGTTTGTTTTCAGTTAAATTAATTCAATCAGAGTAGACGCAGAAAATATTTACTTTACATTCTGAACCCTGAGAGGGTTTCTAGTTCTTTGTGTGGTTGTGTTTCTCTACCGCAGAACCGACAGCTGCTGAGGGATCGATTCATGGTGGAGCTGGTCGAGGGTTCCCGGAAACTGCGCCATGTTTTCCTCTTCACCGACCTGCTGCTCTGCACCAAACTCAAGAAACAGACTGCAGGGTGAGTGTGGCCACAGAGGTCCTCTGGGTCAGCCAGCCAAACTCTGCTTCCAAGTTGTTACTGTAACTCATAAATGTTTGCGGTAATCTAAACATAAGAGGGGTGTTTTAATCCCATGTCTTTTAACAGAAAAGGGCAGCAGTATGACTGCAAGTGGTACATCCCTCTGGCTGACCTGACTTTCCAAACCATCGAGGACTGCGAGTCCAGCCCCATTCCTCTGGTCCAGGATGAGGAGATTGACGGAATGAAGATAAAAATCTCCCAGATAAAGAATGAGATGCAAAGAGAGAAGGTGATGATATACACAGCCCACCACACCCTTTCTCTTCTAAAAGTGTATCATTGGAAACGGATGATGAGCTTTTCAGGATCCACTGATGTCAAACCAGCCCCAAGCACAAAAAACAAAGCCTCACAGTTTTCCAATAACAGATACAACTCCTGTTACTTATAAAGGGTCAATTTAAAGTCCTCCACATACTTATAAAGAGTCAATTTAAAGTCCTCCACATAGTTTACAACAAATGGGACGTCCACAAAGACACAAAGTCCATGCTGAGGCTGCAGAGATGTGCATCAGATATTCCACAGATATGCGTTTGTCAATTCATGTTGCAGGCTCTTTTATGCGTTTTACGAGAAAATGTGACACAGTTTAGGGGTTAACGGCTTGAAATCTTCAGCTGAACAGCTGTGTGGTGGCTCACATTGTCACAGCAGGAGGGTTGCTGGTTCATATCCAAACTGTGCATTCGTGGGATCTTTTCAGCTGCTCCAGCGTCCTCCCACTGCCCCAAAACAAGCATATCAGGTTAAACGGTGGCTCTAAATTCACCCCAGGAATCAGTGAGAGTTCCCTGCGATGTACTTTGCCTCTCGCTGTATGGCAACTCGGATAGGTTCCAGCCACCCCTCTGAACTGGATTAGAAAGTGAATGAATGGATGGAATCATCCAACCATAGTGATTCTACCTAAACTGCCTCTAAAACTTGTTTTAGATGCATCAATCTAAAGGAGAGTAGCTGTTATTAGTGTAAAAAAAAGCGTAGTTTTTTAGAACGTTTCCTTAACAATGCTTCAAGAAGACGAGAGAATGCACTCACATCTGTCCCCTTGAATTAAAGATGAATAAACTGAACTCTGGTTTAACTGCAATATTTTTCTGTAGAGGACGACCAAAGGACCAAAGGTGATGGAGCGACTGAGGAAGAAGTTGTCAGAGCAAGAATCCCTTCTGCTCCTTATGTCGCCTAACATGGCATTTCGAGTGGCCAACAGAAACGGGAAAGTGAGTTAAACTGCCTTTTTTTTTTCTCAAACCAGCCACAGCAGCTGTAGTTTGGCGTATGTTGCCCACTGCTGTCAGCTTCACGCAACTGCAGGACTGGAACCTAAACCTCACATTGTTTCTCAGGGTTTCACCTTTCTGATCTCCTCCGATTATGAGCGAGCAGAGTGGAGGGAGATCATTCGAGAGCAGCAGAAGAAGTGTGAGTTTAATTTTGCTTTGCCTGCTTCTCTTAAGGTGTTTTTAACTGAGCAGCTGCAGAGTAATTTTCCCCTGAACCTTTCAGGCTTTAAGAGCTTCTCTCTGACATCTCTGGAGCTGCAGATGCTCACAAACTCATGTGTGAAGCTTCAAACCGTTCACACCATTCCAATGACCATGAATAAGGAGGGTAAGACCCGCTCCGAGATGCCTTTTTCAATGCTCCCGCCGTACATGCTGAACCTGAAATCCTTTTTTCTGCAGACGATGAGTCCTCTGGTTTGTACGGCTTCCTGAACGTCATCGTCCACTCTGCGTCGGGCCTGAAGCACAGTTTAAGTAAGCACCGTTCTCCTGTGCATCTCCCTGATGAACTTACAGGTTACCTGCTGTGTCATCATCCGCTGCCAACTCCACTCTCGCTCTTCCTCCCTGTGTGGCTGCCAGCTGGGAGAGCAGCTGGAGTGGGATTAGTCAGGAACACTGCGTACAAGCCGCCTCAGATGTGTCGCTAGGGTTTCAAATCACTGCCCGCTGGACAGAAAAACGGTCCTATTAGGGGAGATGTCCCGAGCATTGTTTAGTTTAGTCACTTTGACCCGACCGTTAAAAGCAGCTCTGCTTGTATCCGTCAGACCTGTACTGCTCCCTGGAGGTGGATTCCTTCGGCTACTTTGTCAACAAAGCCAAGACACGTGTTTACAGAGACTCCACAGAGCCCAGCTGGAACGAGGTGAGAGTGCAGAAAGCGAACCAGTGGGGATTACACACTCCCCCCCCCCCCC